ATAATCTTCCCTAATGGGATACACTTTTAAAAAATTGGATTGCAGGGATGATTAGAGGATAAGAGAAAGGACGTTCATAAACAGTTGATTTAAGGAAGTTAATAGTAGAATTATTTAATAGAGTATTTGTTTGGAAATCTTTGACAAGACTAATATAATCAAAATCTAATTTGTTGCTGAATATTAATCATTCTACAATTTTAAATTACTGAGTTTAAGTAGCATACTCTTAGAATAATTATTAGGCGTTCTATATATGTGAAAATGCTTTCATCATATTTTGAAAATTATGTGGCTGGATAGTAGGAAGATAAGTAATTAAATATCTAAAACAATGGTATGTGAACTTGTGGTAAGATAGCAGTGTTACAGAGATAGGAAATTGCATTTTCAAGCTATAAGATTTTACTATTAGGAAATGTGATTTCTAATAATTTTGAAGTTGTAACCTTTATAATTTATTATAATATGTTTACAAAATTAGAGCAAAATCCATATATTATTTTCAAGGCTCTATTTAATATAGTTTTAGCTTAATTAGATTTTGAAATCTTACTTTCAAAGAGTAGCTAGATCTATCACATTATATACATTCAATAGATATTGAGTTACACTTGACATTTTATCAACAGTTTAAATACAATCATTGATTTGCTATTGTAAGATTTATCGAGAAATTTGAATTTAATTCAGCTGTTTCCTCAAAATAGATATTTCCAATTCAGATTAGGCAAATTATTATCTTTGTTTCTTTTTTAGTAATATGTTAGGATAAAATTTAGTAAATTGTGTGCTATAGTAATGCGTATTATTATTTTCTGAACTAATTCTTTAGAACCCATAAGGGTTCAATTGTCTTAAGAGATATATTGGAATACTTTAAGAAACTGGAAAACTTTTAATGTCGAAAATATATAGGAAGTATCTTTGATATCAAGGTAAGCGTATCAAAAATGATAAATTTGTCTTCTGAATCATTCTATATAAATAAAATTTTTGTAATCTTGATTTTATTTTACTCATTTACTTAACCTCAAGATTTAATAAAATATATATAAAAAAATAGATAAAACTATAATTTTAAAAATGGGAAAGCCTACATAATATTTTTTAATCTTAAACATATCCCATTTTATGAGAATTACTAGTTTGATAAATTATTTTAATGTTTATTATAGAATACTTAAAATAGAATCAGGCTTATGCTTTATGAGTAGACACTTTCTTGGCTTTATGTTATTATAATTCGAATTTGTAATCATCCAAATATTCCTGAGTAGCCTTCATGTAATTCCAATTATTCATATCTAAGTAAAATCTAATTTAATTTTATTGATTACATCGCAACTTTACGATTTTTATCTTCTGGTTAACAAACTGCATCTAGAAACAATCCAATTTTTAATTCTTACATGTATTTCTCCATATTGCTATATTAATTACTATATATTACATTTCTTATTTTTTATTATCACTTGTAGGATTAGGAATGCTCAATTTCTTCAAATAAAATATATCATTTGTTTGTAAATTGTTATACGTCCTTATTCTACATGCAGGCACTCCATATTATAATTCCAGCCCTTCTATTGTGTCATCTGGACAAATTAAATGAATAATTTCATTGTTTCCATCAGCTGTAGATGTTTCCTATGATTTTTAGATAATGTTCCTCTATGCATCAAACCAATCTTCATCATATAGATTATAATGATCCTTCAATTCAGTTGGCTTGTATTCTTCTTCCTTTTACTCTGGTTTAGATTTAGACATTCCGAACATCCTTGCCAAAAAGCCAACAGGTTCTGATTGAGATACTTTAGGTTTTTTTTAATTCTCTTCATAAATCAATGATTAATGCACATTCTCGTCATTCTTTAAATTCATTTCTTCCATTTCAACTAATCGATGAACCTAGTTCCTTCTATTATAAACTTCGTTTGGAATGTCCCCGACTTTCATAATATTTAGATAAAATATTAATTTTAAATAATGAGGAAAATTGTATAAACCAAAATTAAATGTTAGTTAATAAATAATCTAAATTTTAAAACTAGGTATTATGCTAATCTTTAAACTTAGAACTTAACCTTAAAATAAAAAGTAATATTATTGGTTGTAATTTCTCTTATAAAATAATCAATGTTAACTAACAATAGTGAATTCCTTAAAGATCCTCAGAAAGAAATAGATTTAATTATAAATGATGCTATAATTTTTCTTATCAAAAATGATATAAATGATGGACCTCATTAAAGCAAAACATTAGAAATAAAAAATTAGTCAACACTGATGGATTTTCAACTTAATATGCAATATTTTCCAACTTCTAATCAATCTAAGGGGGAAAGTCCAATCAAAGAGAAGAAAATTATAACTTTTCCAAAATGTATCTTCTTTTGTGATGTAAAAAAAGCTCGGACAATTTTTCTAAACACCTAGCTAAAAATGAATATAATCATCTATGTTTTTATAATTAATAGAGAATCAAATACTTAGAAATCTAAAATTCTCTTCCCTATCCTATGGTACTGTTATCATAACTTTTTCATTCTAACAATTTGATTTCATTACTCTTAATACAATTCAATTGTAAGATAAATATTTAGCCATTAGATTTCTCTGTTCTAAGTAAAGATGAAAAAAACTAATATATATCATTATTTATTTTAATTCCAAATTCAACAACAATTCTTATATACTTTCTATTTTCCATTTTTATTAGTTATTACTGAACTGACTATTTTAAAGTTGACTTTTTAATTCTGAATGTTGGAGTATCTAATGATTAATCAAGTTGGCTTCTATAGAGACTATTTAAAACTTATTTTAATAAATTTCATTCAGACAAGGAAACCTTGGTTATTTTTACATCTTTCTTATTTTATTTGAAAAGACCTTTCATTCACGTGATTTCGCAGCTGGGTAAATCTTAAATTTTAAATTTTGCCTTCAGAAACTAAATTTTGATGTGGTTGTGTCTTTATTCTTGCTTCTCTTTGATATCGGTGATTTTAGATTACCGAATCAACAGATTCATTACCTAAAGGTTAACAATTAAATTATTTTTTAGTGATGCTCTAAATTAATTGGCCTTTTAAGCAGATCTTTTTTTTACAGATTTTTAGAAAATTCTGTTTCCTCTATAATTGTGGAAATTGTTCATAAATAAATATTATAAAATATGAATCAAATCTTTGAGAATATAGATAATGAGTCATCGATGATTTTTGTAATCGTTAAAATATTAATAATTCCATTTTTATTAACATTAATTAGAATATTAAAATATATAAAACTATTTAATTCAAAACTCTTTGATTTTTATCAATACCATTACTCTACTTACAATATTCACAACACTTTCTGACATAGGTTCATTCTTTATAACAATCATAAAATAATAAATTCTTATAATCCAAATTTTCCTATCTAAACTTTATGAAATCATTTATACATTATGGAATTAAAAAAAATTGGTAATGAATTCGAAGCCAACTTATATAGGAAATTATCTATTAAAAATAATCCTATTGCCTTTTAGATGCTATCTCAATACATATATCTCTTAATATTTAAGGGTAGGTAAAATGGAGAATTAAGAATAATAATTAATTATAAAGGAGTATTGACAAAGAAATTAAATTATGATAATAAATTAATATATCTAATAATAGAATTAAAGTTTTATGTGCTTCTTATATATCTCATACATCAAAAAATTCTACCAATAATATGGGTTCTTGTTTAGTACTTCTATTTCTTACTTTTTAAACAATGGATATACTATTACCTATAGTAGTTAGCGTTAACTCTTTCAAGTTGTTTTAAGCACTGTATTTAGCATAGATGTTTATTGAATTGATTGATCCATGACAATAATGTTTTAATTTACGGATCTTATTAGCTCCACTATAACTATTACATTTATTTAATTTAGATTGAAAATTTTTCTTATTTGAATTTAATTTGGATATTTAATTAAGTTATTGATTCATCAACAGTTATGGATTCTGATCCTATTGTATTTACCACGTTATTAATTTCCTTCATTTCCATCTAAAAAGCTGGTTTCTAATCTGAATTCCGTCAATTAATTTGCTAACTTTAAACAGTTACACTTTCCATTGCCAAAAATTTATAGTTCAAAGTGTATTTAGCCAAAATGATTAAGTAGATGTTGGGTATTTAAATGTCAGTATCTACCTTCCTCCTCAGGTTGTATGATTTTGGACAAGGCATCTTAAGTAATTGGAGATCTTAATGTGACTACACCAATATGAGGGAGTCCTATTTTATTTAAGACCATAGCAAAGTAAATGTGAATTTGAGAGGGATCTTGTAGGATGAGATTTGCGTTTGTGGATGAGATTTTATCAATATGACTTATGATTTCATCTGTTCCTAATATGATTTGATAATGAAGGGGAACAAAATTTGAGTTGGTAGTATTTACGTTCACAATTATGGATGTTAAAGTTAATTCTGAGACCTCTAATAATAGTTATATGATGGGGATAGAGTTACATCAAAAGATCCTTTATATAAGGGCATAAGATAGAGAGAATAGCTTTTTTGATATTTGCATTTTCAATCGAGTATTATTTTTTGCTTTGGGATTTAAATTTACTTCTTTAATAACTTCTATACGACTGTCATCAATATCAAACTATTTGAATGAATAAGCATTTATACTTTTGTAAGGGCATATCATTTTTATTTGGAAATCTTAATAGCACAACACCCTTCATATTAAGCAGTTTACAATTCAATTCTTGCAGTCAGTTGGGAAAACAAAAAACTAGGAAAACGATTACTTTTGGAATATTTTTAAAAAGAATTTGGAAAATTGATTATTTACTGATATCCATTTGAACAATTAAATCCACACGCTATCTCCTAAACCAAAATAGCCTCCCTGAGTTATATGTTATAATTGCTCAAGCTAATTAGATTAATAAAATTGAAATATAAATATCATGATATTAATATATTTTATTTGTTGTAAATCTGAAATATTAAAAAAAAAAGACTCAAAAAAAATGATGTTTGAATTGAATTTTCGATTATTCTCCTGTTATTGAAATAGATTTTATTTCATTTGATGTCATTGAAAAGGGACAACTCTGATTTAGCTCTATAATAAAATGTAAAACTATAAATAGTATATGATGTTACATTTATTTTAACTATGCGAATCTATAAATGTCAATAATTAGAATTCTAATGCAAAATCTATTATATTAATTCAAAAAGAATTCTAGCTTTAAATTTTATATTTATTTTTATTCTAATTTGTATTCAAATTCTATTAAAATAAAATGTAAAACCCTTAAGAGAAAATTGATCCTTTGTTTTAATTTGAATTTATTTTCAATAGCGAACTATCACAGAATATAGATTCTGTTTATTAATAAAACCTTGAGGGATTCAAGTGTTAATCCATTTTATATAATTAAGAGATAATGATTTGTGATTTGATGTTGCTTTTAGAAGATGGTAAATTAAAGAATGATAAATTAAGCATTTCAGGCTACTTCAAATTAATGGACCTGATTTAAGATTTTGTATAAATTCAAACATAACAAAATCAATTTAGTCTATTAAACTATTGTGTAATAAAATATAAAGATGGAAAATTATTGGTGGAGTCTAAGATCAAATTTGATATACATTATCCTTCTTTAACAAATCAAATTGATGAATTGCAAGCTAAATTTTCATAATTTGTCGATTAAACAACTACGCAAGGTTAAGAATTAGAAGAAATTATACGAAAGGCATCTCTTATTTATTCTCAGTATAACTCACCAATCACAAAAAACTAAATCAACAATAAGAATAATTAAGTGTTTTATTATATTTAGAATAGATTTTTTATGAAATAATATTTGATAAATCAATCAATTGAGGAGTAGAATAAGTCTTTACAATATTTCCAGTAAATTCTTGCGATAATTTAGTCTTAACCTAATTGTCAGTAAATTTTGGATAAATTGATTGAAGTTGATTTTACAACTTTAGAATAAATATAATAATTTGTGAAATAATAGGAATTTCAACATTCAGAACTATGTATAATGGATGATTTTGAATTAAATAAGTATTACATAGTGCATTTGTAAACTGCAAAATCTTTATAATAAAAAATAAAAGAAAAAAATGCTTATGCTGAATACTAGAAATAAGAAGATAAAAAGAAATTCATTCAAAATCAACTTAACGATATTAAAGCAACTTAATAGTCACATCCCAATTTTTTAAAGTCATTTTTTAATTAATTAAAATTAAAATTTTGGGTTCTCCTAGATGTACCTTACCAAGAATAAAATGAATACTATCATAAAGAAATAAAAACATTAGAGGTTGATCTTAAAAGTTAAATACATTAAATAACCAAATAATATTCTGAATCTATTAAATTGAAATATGAAAACAAACATTAACTTGAAAAATTAGTTAAGATTATTGTAAATCATAATGATATAGGAAAAATTATTGGAAAAATATTTGAATTCAAAATAAAACTTATCCATTAATATGTTCAAGCAAGCCTAACTTTTAATAAAAATGAATTCGAGAAAAATTTAGATGAGTTATATGAGGTAAATAAAAAAATATATTTACCATAATTATAAAATCATCCATCCATTAAATAATAAGTCGATATTATACTTGACTATTGTGAAAGAATTAAAATAATGATTCAAAATAAATATTAAAATGTGGAAGTTGATTTCAAATAGAAGGAATAAATGAATACTTTATTAAAATTATTAGAATCCATTAATTATCAAAATACAGATCTATAGGACAAACAAGAGAAAGAATTATATGAGTTAACTAATAGGTTTTGTCCTAATTTATGTATTTCCAAATCTAGCAGATTTTAAATATTTAAAAATAGAATTGAGTAGAAAATATCAAAGTAGAAGTTGTGGACTAAAATAACTTCCAAACAAAAGAGTGAAATTAAGGCTGTGGAATTTTAAAATTAATATTAGTTTCCTATATCAAATTTTATGGAAAACTCTTAAAACCTTGATTAATTGATGTGCGCTATTTATGCAAATAACACATGGAATAGCCTACGAAATTCACTACAAGTTGAGCTCTAAAAGTAGATTGAATTAGATTAATATGCAGAATAAAAGGAAAAAATTTACAAGTAATATTAAGATCGAATATTCATTCCTATAGAAAAATTTGATGTCATTTTTAAAATTCACTTTGAATAACAAAATGAAAAAAAAATCATGGAAGAAATAGATTAATTTTTTGATAAAAAGAGATAAGAAGAAGGATAGATTCTTAGAGATTTGTAAGAATTTGTAGAATTAACAGATGAATTCATTAAAAGTTTAGATTAGGAAAAAAATGATTATTTCTAATAATAATTTGTGAATAAACCAGAATATAAATCAATTGAAGAAATGTAGGATGATGTTTAAAAATTAATTCAAGATTTTAGACAATTGAAATTTCAGAAATATTATGATTTCAAATCCTTAATTGAAACTATACATAAAGAATATATTCATTAATGTTAATATGTATTCATAAACTCTCCTTCAAATTTCAAAAGATTCAAATTAGAAAAATAAAACAAGGAAGATAAAGATATTAAAAAAAAGATAATAGAATTTTATGGAAGCTAATTATTAGAGAATTTGAAATTATAATTATGAAAATAATCAAGCTTTTGATTTAATATAATATCCGTTTTACTCTAATTCTCTTTATAGAATATAATAATTAAACTGAGATTGAAGAGATATACAATACAGTTTAATAATTGCACTTCTATTGGTTGGAATTACCAGTAATAAATCATATTCATTTAATTTTTTAAGTATTAAAATAAATCAAAAATGATGATAGATTATAATTTTAACGATCGAAATTCTGAAATATAGAGAAAATATATTATGTATTCATTTTAATTCTGTTTAATCCTCAAAACTATTTCCAGAATACTTTTTTTATGGTTAATCCCATAAAATCATACCATTTTCTTCATTATCTTCTTGATTTATATCTATTTAGACTTTTTAATTTTAAAATAAAGATTCTCTTAATTTTTTAAAAGTTATTGAATGCTCTATCTAATGTTCTTTTTCCATCACTTTTGGATCTCTCCAAAATTATGGAAACTACCAAACCTTAATTCTTTTATCCTTTGATGCAGTAACTAATTTTCTCTCTTCTTCTAGCCAATGCACTTTAGTAATGTCCAAATCATGGGCTTTTAAAACAACTGAAATTGCATAATATTTTACATAATTAATTGGAATTTCGGGCATCCCAAATAGTGACAGTACCATCGATATTTCCGACATAAATTTCACCTCTTTTGGAAGACCAGCATATCTCTCTACTCTTAGGTTTTCCATTTAAACTTGTGATTTATTTGGCAAATTGTTCTTACCCAGGGTTTTGAATGTCAATTATTAAAATGACCCCATTTTCATGACTAATTGAAAATAAATAATTTCTTTAATGATCAATAAATAATCCTCTTAAAAATAGTTGATTCGTTACAATTTTAATCATATAAGAGGGCATTTACTTGAATAATTATTTAAATCTACTTTTTCTATATCATAAATAAAGATTTAACCATGTCTATCCCCAATAAACACCTTTCTTCTTTCATCACTTGCTAATAAACTGGTCAATTCATACTAGTCTGGCATAAAATCTACTTTAGATAAATTATCAACCTGCCACCAAATCTTTCATCCGCAAATTGAAAACCTTATATCTACGATCCTTCGAAATTGAATGCATATATTTATTTCTTCTATCATAATACAAGCCCATAATTCTACTTTTGTGTTACTCATATTCTTAACTATCTGAGTATCTTTAGAATCCTTCTTGCTCAAGAACAATTAATTAATTTATCTATCCACTATCTAATCCAATAAGAAGAACAGATGCGATATGATCCCAATAACATGTTATTGCCTATGAATTGTATACTTTTGCCCATAGTTTTTTATATTCCCCATTTAATGTTTAATGCCAACATTCGACACTCCCTACTGCTAATTATGCTTCTTCATCTTTTTTAAATTCCCAAGGTGCCTTCATATTTGTTAAGTAGGCATCGATTCTATTTATTACAGAGCAATTAGAAGCAAGAACAAACATCAAGCCAGATTCAGTATTTAGGATAAAATCTCTTACTCCTAGTTAAAACTCTTTAAGTTCATAGAGTAATTAAGGAGGATTAACAACAATTTCATTTGCATTCTTATCAATCTCAAAAAATTCTGTAAAAGGACTAGAAGCTACAATTTCAGGTCTGTTAACCAAATCCTATATTCTCTTAACCATTAATTACCTAGACAAATTAATCTAGTCCTATTTTTCGCTTTTCTATATCCTCTATAGATCTACCAAATAAAAATGTTATATATTTCTTTTTTGGTAAGGATGGCAATTATTCTCCAAAAAATACCTTTAATTTTTTTAATAACTCTTCAAATTATGAGAATCTTGAATCTCATAATACAAAACAACTACCTTCTATCAATTTTCCAATTATCCCCAGTTTTATCTAAAATTTATATTGTATAATATATAGCACTTTCGTTAGGATCATTTCTATGCGAAATCACATGGGCCTTAGTTTATTCATTATCTATTACTTAAATAGGGGAATTTGGATGCATAATAATAAATAATATACAACAAATATAACATACTACAAAATGTGTAATTATTATTATAATGAGAAGCCATGAAGATATCAAAAGAATTTGTAAAAGTTAGATTTATGTAAATTGATAGATCACTTTTGTATATTTGATCAAAGAAACGTAATAGAAATTAGTAAGCTTGAAATAATATGAATAAATGATGGTTTTTTGTTTCTAAGTTCTAATTGTTTGGAAATTTCAATATTTTTGGATACCAGAATGTCATTCACGTTATCAATAAAAATAGAGCATCGTTTTCAAATTTGTAGGAAGAAAAGTTAAATTATAATTATAAAATAATCTTTCCTCTAATTTCTGCTTTAGGTTGAATTGATTTTTATTTATAGCATATTATTTACTGAAATGATTATATTTAAGAAATAGATAATTTATAAAATAAAAATTTTAATAGAATACAAGATTAAATTAAAGATTTATCGCTCAAAATCATAAGAATTATTAGAATTTTATGGTTTTGGAGTAAATTGATGGAATGATAATGCGAAAAATCCATCAAAGATTAATAGAAGACTGATTTAAAGGCTTTTCAACTTAGATAATCCCGTATTCTATCTGTGTTTTAGAATTAATAGAATAACAATCATTTTTATTTGATAATAATATTAATAAATCATAGTCGCTTTTGCTATCTTGTTGTTAGTGGGCATAGCTTCTACAACATCAGCATTTAATTAAACAATGGCCCTACTTTAAACAGTTATAAAGGAATGGATGCCATTGATGCAATATTTTGTTTATTGATTGATTTAATAAAATCTAATAAGATGCTTAATTTGCTGCTAATTAAAAGAATGAGTTAGAGCTCAGCAATTTTAGTATATATAAAAGAACAATTGAATAATTTACAATGATTAATCACTCTACTAAAAGTTATTCTAATAATGAATTGAAAACAGAGGTCAATTTGGATAAGAGTTATAATTCACTAAGAATTATCTTGCATGGAATGAATAAAGATAAGAGGAGATCACAAGAAAGATTGGTGTACTTCTTGATAAATAATGTCTTAGTAACTAGTTGTTTGTGAGATTAATTAAGCAAAAAAGAGAAGCACTTGAAATTGAAGAGCACTTAAACAAGATGTTGCTGGTTATATTCTAAATGACGATTCATTTGAATTAGTCAAAGAGAAAGCAACTAATGTTGCTCAAAAACTTAAGCATACAGCAATCTTGTCAATAAAAATGAAGTTAAAACTTTCTTGAATTTGGTTTAAACCTAATAAAAAGAAGGAGTAAGCAGAGGAGCTACATTGGCTGAAAGGTGCCTTGCATTTCTTGAATCACTTGAAGCCAATCTCAAATGTTTATGCTGGCAGTTTGGCTACTGTATTAATTACAAATTAATCTATTAGTAAATCCAAGTAGCTTTGGAGTAATAAGCAAAGTCAAAGATCATATTAAAAGAATTTCAAGATGCCCTAGAACAAGCATTAGCAGACTTAGAATCCAAGAGAGCTAATTATGCTGAAGCCAAAGCTAAGAGAGATGAAGAAAATACCATTTTGAAATAGGTTATCATTATTTGAAAGAAATAAATTACTTGATGGCCTGATAAATGATAAATATAACTAAACATGTCGATAAAAAAACACCATTTTGGTTTAAATTAATCTTCTTATATATAATTAACATATTGAGAGAGAAGAACTTATTAATAAATAATGTTTTAACATTTATTGATTCACCAATCTTTGAATGGATCATCTTATGGTTTTACAGGATCAGGTAATTCAGTACTGTCTGGATAAGTAGCAAAATTGGAAGTATCATAATCTGATCTAATTATTCTATCATTTCATATTACTGAATAACAGGTGTATATTAAGGCTTTATTTTTTTATTGATAATATCTTTCCAATTAAATGTTTCATACCACTTGTGTGATTTTATGTCATCTACTCCATTTTTAAGATTCCCAAATCGTTTAGTGACATCCTATTCTAATAAATGTTTAACTAAGCTTTTTGCCTCACTAATTTTAGTTGAATTGCGAACTTACTTATCAAAATTACGTGGGAACTTGACTTTGCCCTTCAATATTTTCTAATAGATAGCCATTGGATCTTCATCGTTAAATGGGTCAATTCCTTTGTGAGTTCATCTATAATACAAATACCTGCAAGCATCTCATAGATGAAGATTCCCAAACACCACCAATCAACTGGTTTACTATGTCCTATAATTAAACAAAAGTTTACCCTTGTTTAATAAGATTTCTGGGGCTAAGTATTCTGGTGTTCCGCATAATGTGTAAGTTCTGTCCTCAACTACTTTAGCAAAACCAAAGTCTGTCAACTTTAAATAGCCATCTGACTAGACCAACAAATTCTCAGGTTTCAAGTCTCTATACACTATGTTTTTTGTGTGAAGATACTCAAACATTAGAACAACCTAAGCAGAGTAGAACCTATCACTATGAATAATCATTTACTATGCTTCTTCATTTTGAACCGTCCCAGCATTTCTTAAATATGTAAATAGTTCACCTCCTTATATATATTCTAAAACAAAATATAAGTATCGTTCATCTTAAGTGTATCCGCTCATTTCAATCTACAATATTCAATCTTCAAACATACCAAAAAAGGATGCTTGATCTATTTCAAAATATTAAACTCACTAATAATATGATCAACCTATTTGAGTCTTAAAATTTCTATTTTCTTCAGCATCTTCAAAGCCACATATTTGTTATTTGATTTTTGCTTAGCCAACCTCACCCTACCAAATGAACCTGTTCCCAAAGTATTCATTATGTCATATTCCCCTAATTTAACTTTTTTAGTTTCCATTTAATTAATATTTATATTTTCATGATCAATTTCAATCTACAATTGAATAATAAGTCTGAAACTAATATCCCATCATAATTTTTGGTTCCCTTAAATACACCCACATCCAGACAAATAAAACAAAATCCATAAGCAAATATAATTTACTTAATTAATCATCAAAACTCCATCCAGACCATTAGTTCTATCATCCTGATTTCACAATTAAACCAAATCTAGTTCGATATACCTCTCGAATTTAATAAAAAGACTGAATTACTTAAAACTAGAATTCAAGCTCAATACAAATAAAAAATGTTTATTAGATCTTTTTGCTATTCTTACCTTTCTTCAATCTTTCAAACTCCGATAATCTATATATATATTAAAAGTTGGAACTATTATAAACTTCAGATCAGTTTCATTGAGATGAGCATCATATATTTTAATATTATTAAACATCTGTCTATGATAATTCTTCCTTATAAAAGTATATCCATATTATATATTTCATTTTGTAATTAATCCAAAATATGATAATGAAAAGAAAATAAACCCAAAAGATTGAATTTGAATAACCTATTGGTAAAAGTTAAAATCCTGAAATCCCCAAAAGGCCAAACTCTGGCAAATTAACTCCAATCATTAAATCGCCTTTACCTCCTCGGAAGGCTACTCTATCATAACATCATAATCAAAAGAAATAACAATAAGAACCTCTTTAATCTCAGGACATCAAAGTTATTTAAATTCGAAGTATGACTCCAAATCAACAAAAACTATTTCAGCATAATGTATAATTCTTTATTTTATGAAAAACAGAACCCAAGTCCAATTAAATTAGTATAAAAATAGCAAATTGCTCAATCAGAAAAGAAAATTATTGTTATTCCCAAACGACCAGAAAAATAATAATTTAGAATAACAAATAAAATAGATTCATCGGTAGAAAAAAAAAATTAACCATTCAAAGGAAGAAGTCCAAATCAAGAGTAAGCATTTAATTGGGCTAATACTGAATTAACAAAAGTAAAAGATTTTTTAAAGTAGAAATAAAATAATATAAGAGAATAACATTATAAATAGACAAAGCAAGAAGTTTTCAAACATCAACCAAAATGTGCATAAGATTTCTCAATGACTTCTCATAAAAATGATTTGCCTTAATTATTAAAAAATTATTAATAAGAGATAAAAGAAGTTCGTTAGTAATACATGCATGAAAATTCACCTCCATTAAATATGAGTGGTATCAGATTATATAATAATAGAAATTATGGAAATCAATGAAGATGGCCTTTCCTCTTTAGCACAAAGCACCTATCATCATTAGATGCATTGAATGAAAGATAAACTATACTTTGTTGTTTTTATAATATATTTTTCATTAAGGATCTTCCTCACCTTCTTCTTAATCAAATTGTAAATTTAATGCTTTTCTAGGTTTATTATTGTCTTCTTCATCAATCTAGCGTTTGTTGTTCTCTATTTTTGCTTTTTCATATAATTCTTTTTGTTATTCCTCTAACTGCTTCAAATGCTCTTCATCTTGAAATCTTGCTTTATTTTAATTTTTCACCTTTACATAGCATCAAAACTTTACATTAACCTCCTCTTTGATTTCTTCTTCAATTTCTTTTAGCAATGGGATTTAACCTTCCAGCCTTAATTTTTAAATGGCCTTATAAAAAAACTCTCCTGATATTGTTTTTTTTCCATTTTCTAAACAGATTGTATTAGCTTAATCAGAAACCAATTAGATATATTCCCTAGCCATCGACATGACTTATGTCACAAACTCATTAGAACATTTCATATCCCCATTGGTTGTTGCTTTGATAAACTATTACACAGTGGCTAAGATCATAAGAAGATAATACCTTTTGGGAGCTATTCCATATTATATTATCTTTTTCATTTTTAATAATTCAATGTTTTCTTTGAAATAGGATAGATGCAGTGTTTTTTTTTATAATTAATGATTGGTCATAAAATAACCCAGAAGAATACATTAAGAAAATCAATCTCATTTATGAATTCAAACACATCTACCACTAAAATGCATAAGCTTAAATATAGTACAGAAAATTATATAATTTCTATCATCAAAAAGAACATTTTTCAAGATTTAATCATGTTCTTCTTTATTTTTCACTTTATATTAATGAAAATCCACTTTAATTTCTTTGGTAATACATGTTTTTAATAAAATAGTCTGTTAATTTTTACATAATTATATTTATTTTCAAATAAATTGTATGAGCATCAACCACAAGAAAAAGATTTTTGAAAACACTGCTCCTAATCCGTATTTCAATACTATTGAATCTCCATAAGTTCCTAAGATTCTCGAATAATCAATTATTTAATAGAATCCTTATTTCAACAGTCAATTAGGCAATTCAAATTAATTCGAATTAACAAAATAGGTATTAGATGAACGTCAAAGTTTTTCTCCTAATGATTTAGAGTAGTTTCTAATATTATTTCGATAGCCACAAAAAATCAACATGAAACTAGATAATAGTTAGTCAAGTTAATCTAATTAATAACAATTCTACGAATAGCTTGAAATAGAAGGAGAGAAATTGAGAGTTAAGTTAAAGGCAGACGCTCGTATAGTCTCATCAATTATAGAAAAACATACAAAGATGAAATCTAATAAATAACGATGTATTGAATAGATGAATCATCTCATAAATGAAATCAAGGCATATAATAATGTTTCTAGGTATTCTGAACTCAATAGATCCATAAAATACAATTTCAATTAACTTGAATCTAACCAATTAGAATTAAGAGATATTTAGAAGGAAGCATCAACATTTGAAAGAGTCATGTCAGTTTCAGTTTAATAGTAATAATCTCATCAACAAGGAAAAAATTAACTTGATCAAACTATTGGACATTCATCAAATGAAACTTCCGAAGCTGAATTCACATCATTATCACTATAAATTTATTCATCAATTGAAATGCATGCAAAAGAATTTGAGCAAACTATATCAGAGAAAAAAAGATTAATGCACATAAGTTAAAATTATCATTAATACAAATAAGTCTGTTAAGGCTTGATTTAGCTCATCCAAAAATATCCATAATTTGAATAATAATAATCTTAACAAATGTTAAAGTTAGAAAGCATTGCTTCAATCTATTTTTTTCACTTTTAAAAAGAATTAAGCTAACAGAGTTTACATTACACATAAATCACGGAAGACATTAGATTATCTTTGTCTATTATTGATAAAATGAAATATTTGTTGGATTAGGCAAAAAGTTTGGATTGCATAACCGAATTTTATTTATATATAGAGAGCTAATTGACTGGACAATAAATCATTATTAAATCAGGAAATAATCTAAAGTTAGCGAAAGCTTACTAAAAATAATTCAATATGCTTAATATCAATAATTATCAATATTTTCACATTCTCAGACATAAGGTTTATAATAAATGTCTTCTAGAGTTTGATAAAATATAATTTGACATAAAAACAGCCAGAAATTTGCAATCAGTTCTATTAGACTATGTAAAAAGATTTAAAAATTATATTTCCATAGATTATATTAAATTATTCAACGAAGTATTAGTAAAGTTACAATAAGATCTAAAAAAAGAGTCTTGGCTCTATTTAATCAATCTATATACTGAATTAAGCTCGAAAAAATAAGACTTATTAACTATTATTAAACATTTACAAAATATAAAACACCAAAATTAATATTTAACAAGATTGATTTCAGTGTTTTAGTAAAATATTGAAAAAGAATTAGAATAAATAAAGGATCTTTAGCCTAAATTAAATCAATATTTACAAATATAGGATTTTAAGGCTTAAAAAGAGTTTGAAAATTTTTATGACCAATATTTAAAATGTTATAATGAAATACATCCAAAATAATAAAGCATATTAACTGATATTAATTAATTCTTAGAAGATTCAATCAATCCACAATTAAATGATGAATAATATCAATATTTGAGATCCCTATAAACTCTATAGCCTAGTATTAGATCATTAAGCAATAAAAGAATTAGTGGAAATTTTAAAGAAATTAAAACTTAATTTGATGAATTACTATAATTTGAGGTAGATATTGTTTAACTTCAAATATCTATGAAATCGATTATAACAACAAATTTTAATCTAATTTTAGATGATTTTTTAGATATTACAAAATCTAATACCAATAGTGTTTTGTCATAATTAATGGAATTCATATAAAAAAATATTAAGATTATTTCTGAAATTAAAAGTCCCTCCCTTTATAACATTAAGGAATAATAACTTCGTTAATTTTAATGGGTTTGGATTTTCTTTGAATAATTTGAAAAGTTTAGATCTTCTTTATCATTGTTATTTAATAATAATCAGACAATTAATTATTCTTAATATTTATAGTTTATGAACAAAAATAAATTTAGCTCCTTATTCTATCAACTTTCAAAATGTAATTATAAAATTTGTAAAAAATGGCATGATTTTTAATTAGATTTAAGTCATATTAGTCTTAAATCATATATATAATACATAACTAAGCTTCATGATAAGATCATTATAATAGGACAATTTGATGTTCCATTGACTCAAATATAATTCAATGAAGAAAATTGTTAATTACTTTTAGAATTTTTAGAATTGGATAATACAAGTTAATTGTAAAGATTCATTTGCAAATATTAAATATATAGGAAGATGAAATAACTTCAATTAAACTAAGTAACTTTCAATAAGTTAAAGTAATATTTTGAACATTTGCAGATTGAATAAGATAATGAGGATTTTATAGATTTAAGGAATATTTTGATTGAATGTTCTGACTCTTAGTAAAAGGATAGCGAAATATACTCAACCTTACAAGAGGAATGGATTTTAGATCATTTAGAAAAAGGGGATACTAGTTTTATATAAGGTTTTGTGAATCAAGAAGGAATTTTCAGTAGCAATTTAATGAGAAATACTGCAAAACTGTAGAGATTGGCCAAATTGTCTAATGAATAGAATTTAAATTGGAGAAATATCAAATAAATATTAAAATAAGAAATTTGAGTATATATTCTTTTTGTACTAATTAATTATTTAAAAAACAATAATTAAAATCAATGAATTTCTTAGAGTAACTCTTCAAGTAAATGATCAAAAATCATATCAGATAAGTCTATTGCAACTACTGTGTGTTCTTCATCGTAACTTATCCATTTATCCTCATTTTCAATAACCTAGAAATTTAATTGAATAATACCTCTGCAGATAGCATTCTAATCATCCTATCTTCTTTTATTTAAGCTAAACATTCTTGATCAAACATCAAAATTTTTGGATATGGACAATCTTCCTTATCAATCAAAAAGCCAGCCAAATAATGACACCATTCCAATACTTTATCAGAACTAGATTTAATGATGTTTGGCATATCCTGTAAACTTTTTTTTCGAAATTGCAATCTAACAGCGTCGGATTTCCAAGCATAAGGTTATCCTGCCATTCCATAAGGTCTGTGATAATCTAAGGCTTCATTTAAAGCATCGAAAATTGCTTTATTGTGAAAATGTTCCAACTCTAATAATTAAGATGATTGACTTTTCAAAATTTATTCATTCATCAAAAACCTTTCAAAAGTTCCAAATAATTCAGAGGTCATAATTATATTTTACAAGTAATTTTCATTTGAATTGCTTTCCTCATCAGAGCCTATAGTTGAATCAGAGATGGGATGTAAAAATCTTAGCATGTCTTTTGAAGATGGTCCTAATGGAACATTAATTTTGGCTAGCACTTCATCCTTGTAATTGCAAAGCATAAATTCTGTCAAATGAGTCAAGTAAATCTTGACTGAAGGAATTCCTGTTTTGAATCCTCTTGTTTAATTTGTTCCATAATTGGTTTACAATTGTGATGGGGGTCTGTTAATTTAAGCTTTAGTAACTAATTCAAATATATCAATGTTGTGTCTACCAAGTTCTTAACATAATAATTATATTTCCTGGACTATCAACATATTTGAAATGAGAATAGAGTAAGATTCTGCTTACTTTTCAGACATTGATGATTGCTCTCTTACTATATCTTAAACTCTCAAGACTTGTGATTATGCTAATTAATGCAAATTGAATGGTTCTGGTTCATAATCTGCATATTATTAATGAGATGGACTTGAGTTATTTTTAAAAATAACTTCATCATCAAAATTTTGAGACTTACTTAAATCTTCATCACTAAGCAAAGATGACTTTTATGGTAATGATAATTAAAGTTATTAAAAATTTTAATTTTGTATATCTATAATACTATTCCTTAATGATTATTCTGAATATAGGACAGAATCCTAACTAAAGCTATCAATAATTTTGATGTAAGATTGAGAATTAGATTGAGACATCTATTTCATGAATAGAATATCTCTTTAAGTTTTCATAACCGTCTCATAAGTGCTTTATTGACCTTTAATAATCTCAGTTTTTTTCTTTTCTAAGTCTTTTCTTTGTTTGGTAACCCATTTTTCAAGTTTTCTGTTCTATTAATCATATGTCTTAGGAGAAATTTGTTTATTTTAATATGCTTCATTTATGGTTTTAATCTATTATTTATGTCTCTCTTCAAGAACCTTCTCTCTCATAGATATTAACTCATCCATTTTATCTCTTGCCATTAACTCTTTGAATTTCACTTGAACAAAATCTTAGAATGAAGATTATTCGAATATGCTCTTCTCCTAATTAAATGTTTAATCTTCTTAAGATAAACTTTTAATCAGAGACTCAGATCCAATAGCACATCTAATTTCTCCTATTTCAACTTATTATTAATTTTAATATTCTTTCTCAATTTCATCAACATCAATTGATAATCTCTTTTTCTTTTTGAATGTGATCTATTAATTCATTATCAGTGAATTCTTTTCAGTACTTTCTCTACAGTTTTCCATTTCTTACTATTCAGAAATTGCTGATAAAAATTACTTTTTTTCTGTAGTTTTCTTTCCTTCACTCTCATTTGAATCACTAAAACCTTCTATATAATCGTGATAAGTAACATCGAACATCTATTTTTGTGTTTAGGGTGCTTCTTCTTTAGAAGGATTTGGTTTCTTTTTCTTATTTTATACTGAAGAATTAGAAGATCTTTCACTTACCTTCTGTTCAATTAATTACACCTTTCCTTTAGAGTCAATTTTTATGTAGCCCATTTTTATCAATTCTTGAATTTAACTTTAATGCAAATCATTTAAATTAAATTCTTCTTATTCTTCTTCTTTTTTAAAATAATCCTAATAATAACTTAAAATTTATCTAGTCTTATATTTTCTCCAAACTTTTTATATTTTAATTGCTGCTTGTTCATCAGTTTGAGATTTTTATCTTTTCTCACTATATTTACTAGCAGCTTATTCGATTGATCTAATCTCTTATATTTCTTTAATATCCTATTCATCCCAATCTCTTTATGAACTCAACATTTCATCTTTGTCTTCTCCTAATGTTATCAATTTCTAACTATAAAAACTATTATCAAAATTAGCAAAATCTTATTCGGGATCACTTTCATTCGGTATGTTTGCGCTACTTGAATTGCTCATATATTGATATATTGACGAGCATGGCTACCTCATGGATTCATGATTTGACGATTATACTAACTTAGATTTATCTGATTAGTTTTTAAATTGACATAACACTTTTCTCTTTTTCTTTTATTCGTATCTATCAGATATGAGATTTTCTTTTTAGTCTTCATAAATAATTCCATAAGTTGATGCTGTTCTATTCTTTCTTCTCTATTTTGTATCCCCAACCGAAAGACTTCTATTTCTTGATCTTATGTATTCATTAAGATTTTGTAAATTTTGATGAATTTTGAATTGCTTTTCATATTATTTCTTTTTCTATTCTTATTTGGCTATCATATTCATTTTTTATTTGAACTCCTTGTATTTTCTAATTTCTTCTTGGTTAATCTAAATTTTTGGTTTGTTTTGATCCTTTTTGGTTGGAGTCATTGATTTATTTAATTCTAGATGATATAAATGATAATTGCTTACTTTTCTTTTTTAGGAATTTATCCATTGAAACATTATTTAAAAATGAAACTCCTAATTGATCTCTTCTTTATTTAATGTCTACATCAGTTTTATTCACTCTTTTCAACATTGTTTCTTAAACATTTCTCTATTTCATCTATTCATTTAAAATATAATTTTTTAATCTTTCCTAGTTGACTCCCCAATTAAATAAAGGGGAAGTGTGAACCTTTTTTTATTTTTAAGGCTTATTCATACTAGTATTGATAGCTTTTTTGGGTTTAGGGGGTTTTTCAAGCTTTTCATATGATGCTTTAGTCACAGGAGCGCTAATTTTGATGTTTAAAGTTTTCTTCTTTTTTTTCTTTTTGGTTTTAGCTTTTGTAGACCGATTGATCAAATTACCTAACATCATATCATTTTCTTCTTGCTTGATTATATTGCCATATTGGGGATGTTCTCGAGAGTTGATCACTAAAGGAGTATTAGAGTAAGAGTCTAATTTACGTCCTTTAATAAAACTGTTCTCTTTGATTTGAACACTTATATTTAATTTTGAATTGTCTTAACTTCTCATTTTGAAATTTTATTTAGTTAAATATCAAATATAATGAGAATTAATACAAATGAAATGAATTCTTCCTGTAATTATAAATAAAGACACTATTTATTTGTTCTAAGCAATTATTTTGAGATTGGCTTATTTTTTAATAAACCCATAAAATAATTTATGTATTAGCTTCTACTTTATAAATTAATGAATATGTAATTATATTGGAAGACCCTTCGGGGTCATCCGTCAAATTTGGAACGTAACAGAGAAGATTAGCATGGCCCCTGCGTAAGGATGACACGCATTAAGCGAGATGGTAGCTCATTTTTTTTTGATTTTTATCAATTTTATAATATTTTTGTTTATATCTATTTTTTGATATATATTGCAATCAACCTTCAGTTAAAGTTTAGACTGATGTTTTGGTTGATCCATCCTTGAATTTATATGTCTTTGTTATTTTTGTAATTTTTTATCCATTCTTAATAGTGACTGCGGTTGATGTACTAACTGAAACACATCCAGGTGGAAGTTTTTCTAAACTCAATCTAATTAAATACCTTCTTCCTAATTTTGAGGGGCTTGAGCATCATTTCCACCTTTGGCTCCCAACATCATATTTTTCATTTAATCTTTCATGCTTTAGGGTTAAGATTATTATTATGCTTTAGGCTTTTATCCTTAGGCTCCCTTTGGAGTGAATTCACCTGCAAAATCGAAAACACATTGAGTTTAATATTGCTTATGATCTCCTGCTGCAATTCCAACTAAATAGAAGTCAGGACTAAAACAGTTTTTTCTATGTCCTCTTGAACCCACTCCATCATCGATTAGTAATTGAATAATTACATCCTACCCATTCTTTTGTCCATAGCTGATATTCTCTCCAATTTTGCCATTCCATTCTCCATATCTTTCAATTCTGTCAGATAGAGATGATCCATCAGTACCAGTGTGACCACAGACACCTTTTGGACCTGTATCATTCACATGATCAATACAAGCTTGTTCCAATCCCTTTTCGTATGTCAAAGGTTATAAAGGCTATTGTTTTTATAAAAAGGCAATTAATTCTATATAATTATTCGTTATTTATACCTTGGATAACTTTGGTACCCTCATTTGTTTATAATGGTATCTCTCCAGGCTTATAAAGGACGTTACCCTTGAATAACTTCATCAGTTCCTATAATTTTGGTATGGGCAGTGTTGGATTTTGTCTAACTTAATTCAAATAATCAAAAGCATCTTTGACAATTTTGTCATTGGGATCTTTGGATTATGCTTTAGCAGGGGCTGCTTATTCTCTGGATTGCATAGGGGCACTTTGACCTCCCTCTTTTTATGGTGCTACTCCTTATTAAGAATTTCCACCACCAGCATCTAAGCCAGCTTTATCTTGAAAAGAGCCTGCAAAATCAAAAACACATTGAGTTTTAAATTATTTATGATCACCGTCGAAAATACCTACTGCTCCAAATTCTGCCTTAAAACAGTTTTTTCTATGTCCTCTAGATGATACTCCATCATCAATTATCAATTAAATGATGACTAAGTTGATAAATGGATATTATTACCATCTTCACCAGTCGTTTGACCATAACTGATGTTTTCTCCTATTGTAACATCCCACTCACCATATCTTTCTATTCTATCACTCATTGATGATCCATCTGTACCGGTATGGCCTGTAACACCCTTAGGTCCTGTATCTTTTACATGATCTCTTGCTGCACACTCCAAACCCTTACTCCAAGTCAATGGACCAACTGGTTTTTGATTCTATAAGAACTAGATGCATTCTGAGGTATAAATAGCATAAATTATAAACCATTGACAACTTTTGGGCCTTCATTTAGTTTGTAAAGGAATTTCTCCTGGTTTATACACTACATTTCCTTTAAACAGCTTTAGATGTTCCTGTAACTTTGAGATAGCAATCTAAGGATTTTATCTCATCTTATTGAGATATTCAAATGCTTCTTTAGAAATTTTGCTCATTAAAATATATATTTACAACGTGCAAAATAAATAATATAAGTTAAATCACATTAATATAATACTATTAAAATTTATACAAAACAAAATCAATTCTGTTTAGTTTTCTTCTTTTTCTATTATTCATCTGCTGAATTTAATTTCCGTATAATCCACGTTATACCTGCTCCAATGCAAAGAAATACAAGTATTAAGAATACAATATCTGAAAGGTTGGCTTTTTGTAATTTTGGTTGATAATCATATAGAGTTCTATGTTTCCCTTTTGTCTACTATGCAGCAATCTTCAAGTATTCTAAATCTAAATCATCGTAATCGTCGTCTCGCTCTCTCTCCTATTGTTTTTTTTTGTTTGAATCTTCTGCCAATGCAGATTCGAAATCCTATCATTTTCAACAAATTTGATACTTCAATGTATTTCCACACTGCGTTCTCCTATTCACTGATTTCTCTTTCCCAAGAACCATTTCTGAATTAATTAAAATCGATCTCAGAAAATAAGGCAGGCAACCTTGAATGATCAAATTCCTCAGATCTCACTTATAATAACACTTAAACACTTTCATCATAATTGAGCTATTTGGAACATGAAATTGCATGGGTTGTATATAATTTAATCCAAACACTTTATTGTTCTTCCTTCGAAGCTTGACTATAATAAATAATAAATACTCACTTATCTACAATCTCAACAAGTTCACTTCCATAATTTCCCAAATGCATTCTGGCTAAAATGATGCACGTATAATAAATAGTGTCTCTCTCTTTCTTTAGTTTCTATTCCTATAGCAATCTAAGTTGTTCTTCTGGGGAGATTTCTTGTATTGTTTCAATACCATCTTGATTTATAACTTCATCTTAGCATTTTGCTAAAGCTAAGACGAGAATAATTGGAATTAACATTAATTAATTAAACGTGTAAAATTAATATCAAGACTCAATTAATGTTTAATGAATTTGTGTATTTAACACAGCTGCCTTTTGTTATTCCAAAAACTTAGTATAATCGTCATCCTTAATGGGGATTTCATCAATTTATATAAAAAAGTAGTCCTCGTTCACTTCTGGTTACCAATTCGTAAGAATACGCACAACCTCATCGAGATTACTCATCTAATTACTAATTTAGATATCTTACTTTCAATTCTATTTAGAAATATTTCAAATAACAAATTCCAACTTTGAACAAGTAGATTTCTCCTTCCAATAAGAAATTATCCCATAATCTTGAGAGCATAGGAAATTTAAATTGATGCAAGAATATTTTTAAGAACCATTTCATCAAATAGAGTTTAGTTTCTAATTTAATGGCCTTAAGATGGTTGTACACAAAAGGTAGAATTCTTTATAGATTCTCTTCAAAGAATCGTATTCTCCATTCGATCTGTCTAGTATCATTTTAAAAGACACTTAGGAAATGATATTAATGGAGCAGATTGACCAAGGCCTAGAAACTATCGTATTCTTGCAGATGTTTGATAAGAACTACTGCAATATCAATTAAATCTGGTATGTATCCGAAATCTGGTCTATAATTACTAAAGGCATGTAAGATATTTGATAATTCCTTGGCTTTTACATCAGTTATGAATGGATATTATTGTTTTGCCCTTATGATATCTCCTCTAATAGCTAGAATTTGATGATTCGTGATACCTTCTTAAATATTGGTAGTTTTACGAACAAATATGGCATAGAGTTCTTCTCTAATCTTTAGGTTGTTGCCTATAATAATAGGCCATAGAGTTCTCCTTGCAAAATCAGGCAATCCGAGTTTCCATAAGATCATTAGTAACATTGACTTATTTTTCTTTCCTTAGACGATCATTTCCTATTAGATATTGCTACCATTATTGATTTCTGATTGATTGCTGTATTGTTAATTTTAAATTTGCTATCTATTCTGGATAGGATTCAAGGAGATAGTTTTTTTAAGACAACGACATAAACTTTCTAGAACACTAGCGGAATTGGCTTGATTCTATGCTTTTTAAACGGCTTCTTCTTTTTTGACACTTATATATTTCTTATAATTCAAAGGTTTATTTGGTTCATAATCCCAATGTGACCTCCAAAAAGGCAAGATGTCATTTCTCCAGATTTCTGATCTCTTCTCCTCATTCTCTTATCTCCTTTATTTCTCTTCTGCTCTCTTAGCCTCCATCTCTCTACGATTAATAATGACTGCTCTTAAGTAATTGATCCATTTTGATTTAATTTCCAAATCATTCACCTTTATATCAACTGATCTATGTATTGTAATGATTGAAAAACAAAACATGTCAAATTCAGGGGGAATATTATTCTTTATCATAATCTCGGTTGTATTTTGTCCCAATGCTATGTCATGAACATCACACATATTGATATATCTAGCTGGTTCATTATCATTATTTATGGATCTCCAACATATACGTCTAATTTAATCATTTCAATTACTTCTCATCACTACTTAAGAAAAACTTTCTTGGTTATCCACCATTGTATCTTCCATATTTAACCAAATTGCATCCTTTCATTAGATCAAATGCTACTTACAACCATTTAGTTATCTACTCCCCTTGTATTTTCTCATTGCATAAAATCATACGATTGTACATCTATTCTAAATAATCTAGTGTCGTTTGGAATGGTTCCCTAGTTATGGAATCATAAACCTCCTCAAAATATTTAGGTGAGATATCTGGAAATACTGGAATATTATTTTTTAGGAATTGCTCCTTTGTCATCTTATTCTTTGGTAAGATTTTAGTAGAAGCAGCATCAGTTGACAACATTATGAATGAGTAAGCCAGTACATATGGGATATCATCTGACTTAAATTCATGAGGATTTTATTAATGATAAACCTTTGCAAATACTTTGACTACTCTATCTACCATTTATGCTTCTCCTGCTAATCGAAATCTCTATAATAATAATCTCATTGCATCCAAATAGCTCTTACCTTTTAAATTAAATTGTTGACAATAAGCTTCAAATACATCCTAATGTTTTTGATCTGGTTTACAAAAGTATTTGTTTATTGAATCCTTATTCAATCCCTTTGTATTCATTAGCACTTTCGCTATGTCCTCATTTGTATTCTCAATCACCTAATTATCAATCAAATATTATATGGCCTAAAATTTAAATTATTTTCTTATTACACTATTTTGATCCTTCGAAAATCTTGTTATAAACTAATCAATATGAAATCTCTCTTGAACAGCCTTTTCACATATTGTAATTTATTGGATTAATGGGTTATTTCCATTTACGATCTTATCCATTTTATTCTATTATCTCTCATACTATTTCGTTGAACTCGGCTTACTCTTTACCCCTGGAGAATCCTCTTCAACTATGATGACTTAATCTTCATCATCTGACATTATTTTAGAATTTTTAATTTATTAAAGAAAACACAACTATTGTACTTAGTTTATGCATAATGCTATTTAATAATCAAAAACTAGATTTTATATAAACCTGCATTAACGATTCAAAAAGCTGAGCCCAAACATTTAATGAACAAATATGTAGAATAAAATGAGATAATACCTATTTACTTTCATATTGTAATAGAAGGAATATTAAAAATTAACTTAAGTATTATTCTAAAATTTGCATCAATTTAATTCTGAAATTCCTTTATTACATAATGAATATTATTAATGGAGGAATAAGGAAAAAATGATAAATATGCATAGATTAATAAGATTATTAATATTATAAATATTAATCATAGGAGACTAAGATTTAGAGTTCATTTTAATTTCATAAAATGAAACATTAATTTAATGGTTCTTAGATAGAAATGAATAAAGAAGATTATAATCTTATCAATTAATAAACATTACCAAACAATTCTTAGTCGTACTAGAGGGAACTATTGTAAATTCTTAATAAATAATTTGAATAAGGGTTATTTTATTAAATAAAAGAGATTGAATCGGAGAGGAATAAGAGCAATAATTAGAAATTTATGATATTAAAATTTTTAAATTAATTTTAAAATGGTCAAGAATGTTGCTTAAGAGAGTGTCAATTAAAAACTTTAATTGGTGGTTAGATCAGGAAAGATCACCATGGGTTACAAATAAACCTTGAAGGCCATTAGAAATGGAACAGCCAAGCTTGTATTCATCTCAAACAATTGTCCAACAATCAGAAAGACCCAAATTGAATACTATGCCATGTTGGCTTAGATCACCATTGTTTTATATCAAGGAAACAACGTCGATTTAGGTACGGGGGTTATTTGGGAGGCTTAGCTCTTCCTAATTGAGTTTATGGGCATGAGTGATTTTATCTTATTTTAGGTACCGCCTGTGGTAAATTACACAGATGCTCAAGTTTAGCCATCATTGATGCTGGAGATTCTGACATCTTAACATAATAATGATACATTTTTTATTAGTACAATATTATAAATCATAAAAATTCCGTCAAATCCAATATTGGAATCAATAAAATATATTAAGAACATCATATAAAAGATGAAAGTTTTGTTCTTTATGTACATATTGCTGCAAATTCTTAATTACAATTATCAATTATTTAATATTTCTTCTTATACTCTTATTTTTTTTGTTTAGTACTCATTTGTTCACTTTTTGTGAAACCTCTTAAATAAGTTTATCAAATACATCTAATTATTCTGTCTATCTTAAACTTTATAAGTAATTCTAATCTTCTCAGAAACATATCTTAACTTTGTAGCAATAATAGGATTAAGTTTTTGGGGTTGCAATATTTCAAATAGTTAAAATTATGAATGTTTTATATTTGCAATAATTAGTATTTAATTTAAAATAATCGTTTATATCAGACCTATTTGTTTCTAAAATAAAGATTAGTTATTAAAATACTAATAAATCATATATAGAGTTATCATTTTTAACTAATAAATGAATTACAAATATCAAATTAATTTTGTTTATTAAAATATGTTCGTTAATAACTATTGCTTGTCAATGAATTGTATTGTTGCTCCACTTAATGGTTGTGGAGGTATATACTTAGGGAATGTGGACGCAGCCTAAGACTCTCAATTACTTAATTAATACAAAATTGGAGCTGTATTGTAAATATTAGATTAATCAGTCCCTGTCAAAGGAGCCTAGAAATTAGTAATCTTTTATAATTATGTTTAGTGGATTATGGCTGAGGATTCAGAAGACTTTCCTCTATATAAATACTTTGATTAGAGCATAAGATTTATAGAGAATTAAAGCAAAAAAACCAATGTGTTGATCCATTGTTATGCTGGTATATCTAGATCTGCTGCAATTGTGGCTGCATACATGATGCAGAAATACAATTGGAGTGTAAATTAGACCATACTTCACATCCAAAGCAAAAGAAGGATTGTGAGTCCAAATTCAGGATTTATGAAATAATTAAAAGATTTTGAAAGGAAATTGTCAAATCAAGATCAATAATTATCATTAAATTCATTTAAATTGGATATGTCTAATTACAGGCCAAGTTCAGCTATGTCAAATTACAATAGTATAAGCACTACAGCCATGGGGAATTACAATAAAGTAAACACTTAAAACACAAAGTCATCTTCAAGATTAGATGATTTTAGCAACAAATTGGATCAATTTAGACATTAATTGAGGGTGAGACAAAAGGCTTATTGAATTTACTTAATATAAACTCAATTATTAATATAAATATGTTTAAAGACTTAGGATATCAATTGCTAATTAAATGGAAACTCTGGAAAGTATTGGTAGTGATATTTCCATTTACATTTATTTATGGAATATATCTGCTCTTTGTGATATCTTCGAATTCAGATCGTAATTCATTTGATGGAAGTCAATTAATTCATGCTGAGGTCAATAATTAATTGGCTTAAACTTTAAGTTTAGCTGCTGAGTCATACATGAAAGAATTCGGAAAGACAAATGACATCCATTAATTATTGATGGAAAAACTTAGTAATCTTGGTTTGGAAACATTTTCTTAGGAGAAGTACAAAAATGTGATAGGGAAATTGAAAGCACCAAGAAGTCCTGATTATGAATGCAGTTTGATATCATTTGAATATAACGACGAATCTCCCAATATTAAAATTAGGAGTATTGCATATGTGTTGGCACTCATTAAACTATATTAATCAGATTGTATTAAAAATATGACTATTCTTAGAAATCAATTATTTATCAAGAGACATAATATTTGTGGGCTATCATACAAATTATAAGAGATACGGTCAAGGAATCACAGCATTTTTAGAAGAATATGTAAATCCCTAGAGAGTATCATTTATGCCAAGATCAGGAACTATCAGATCTTCTATTAATATCAATCTAGATGATAAATTTGATTCTGTTGCATTAAAGGTGTTTGGATTGAATGGCAAAGTCTCAGACAGAGATTATTACAATAGTATTAACATGCTTATGGAGAAACAAAGCTTTTAGTATCAATTTACAGAAACGAATTACAATTGGATGCTTCAACTAGAAAAGTACTTAGAAAAGGAATTAAGAACATATTGGAAATTATTTCAATTAGATTCCATTTATTAACTACCCCAAAAAAGATTTTTACATATGGACCCTTATTTTTCAAATTAAATTGAGATGTTCCAAGGAGATTTACATGAGGCACACTCATATATTATGAAATACGGAATTTATTCATTAACATTGAGAGGGTACAATACTTAAAATAAAGATGATTCAGTTTTATTGACTAATAAGTTGTTGTTGGTAGGAGAAGCAAGTATCAAGGCTTTGATGGCTAATGATGAATTCATCCATTCTGGTTCAACTCTTTATCTACCTCTAAACAGAAGTTTCACATTGACAATTCAGAATTATTGTTTACCTTATGTCTTTGTGATATTGAGTTGTGCCATCTTTGCCATCAAGTCTGTTTATAGCAGGTGGCATTTTAATCTATTTAATGATAATAAAGAAGAATTGGGTAGAAGCAATTCAATGGTTGCTCATAAAGCAATCATTGAAATCTTTATGGGGTTCACTTTATGTTTCATTCCAAATATGATAAGTTATTTTAATAATAAATAATATGAGTATTTCGATTAATATTTTGTAATCATGCTTGTGATTATAGTAACTTACTTGATACTCATATATTCTTCTAGGAAATAAATTTTTGGATAATTTTCATTGCCTCGTAGAGAAAGTGTTGCAGAATGGTTATGGGTTGAATTAGTGATCTAAGTGTGCTTTGTTATGATGTATGCAGGAATAGTTCACATTCCAATAGCTACTTTTATTGCCATCTTCTTAGGACCTTGGTTTTTCTTTATTTAACCATTGAGATTTAAACGTACTATTATTTGTTATTGTAGCTAATTTCAAGTTGTGGGATATATTCACATATGTGATTAATTTACTGTTCTTATATGGATATTTCTAGATATTATCATACTTTGGATTTGATTCGATGCTGGCATTTTATAAGCAGGTGGTCATCAATTATAATAATGTTGGAGTGCATTTGTTTTATTACTTAAATGGGGCCTTGATTCCATCTTTATTAAGATTTGCTGAGTTGTTGTTATTTTGATGTTGATTTAAGATAAATATATATTGTTAAGGGGATAATTAATTACATTAATAATAAAAATTTATAAGTAATCATGGTGATTATTATTATTTTAATTTGTTTTAATATTTATCTAGTTGAATGTGTAAAGTCTGATTAATCACTTTCATTCCCAAATAATCAGAATTCAAGATTGTCAATTTCTAATTTTACTTTTGAATCTCTTCTTAGTACCTAGACTCTTATTCTTATAGTCTTTACTCTAATTTATCTACTGATTCAACTCTAATCTTAATATCCTTTAATTCTTTCTAACACTACTACAATTCTTAAGTTTAATTTGTTAATATCTGCTCTTTTATTGTTAGTTCCACCTGGATTGCTTTTAAACACTTTTAAGTTTCTACTAGTTCTCTTTTTAATTCTGATATCTTAGTTACTAATTTCTGATTCTCTTCTTGTTGTAGGATTAACTCATCTACATTTAAAGGGTTAAAATAAGTATTTTAAACACAATTTTTAATTTTTTAATTGTTCCCTTTTTTCTTGTAACTTTTTTGAGAATCTTTTGGAGATGTCATTGTTTCAGCACTGCTTATACTTGGATCTTTCGATTATAATTCATATTTCAATTACTCAATTTCTTCATTCAATTCCTTTATTTTCTTCTCATTTACTTTACTTTCAGATTGAATGAAGTAGTAATCACTTACTAATTAATCATACTATTTTCTTTGAGTATTCAAATCTATCGATTGTTAATTGTATTGTTTTTGTAATTGTTTTTATTTTTCAATTGAAATCTACCACTCCTATGCTATATTTTCCATCTTATCCCTAAATTCCTCTCCTACTTGAACACTCTTATTGTCTTATTCCACTGTAATTTGGGTTTCTCTATTTACATTTTCTTTACTAATTTGTAGCAGTTCCTTTAATCTCCTATTCTCAAAATCATAGTCTCTTAGAACCAATTTATATTGTTCAACTTCCTTATACATTTCATCCTAATTCTTCATTGAAGCTTAATGATAGAATTAAGTTTCTGTTTGAACTAGTTTAGATATTTGTTCCTTGACTTTTGTTGTTGACTCCTATTGTTTCACACTGTAGTTCATTCCTAAATCAATCTCTGTTTATGATGTTTCGGAAACATTATTGTAAACTAAATCAGCCTGAGTATTTTGGGAAACCTTTATCATCTAAGTTTTTCTCATTAGATCCTATTGCTCCAACTTTAAAAGTAATTCCTTTTTTTGTTGATTAGACTAGAGGATCATATTCTTAAAACTGAGAATCTATTTCTCATATTGTTCTATTGATTTATCTTTCTATTTTATAATCTCATTTAATAACTCCTATTTCTTGTCTTCGCATTGGATCTCTTTATCAACAGAAACCTTAGTTTTATCCTTACTCTTCGAAAGTATTAATTCATTTGTTAATCTCTCCACTTATTCACGTAACTACTGTTCCTCATTGATGTTTGGCTTTCGATTCTACATAGAATAGGATTCTAGTAAGTTTCTCTTGACTGTCTCCCCTCCTGATTCAAATAGTTTTTACTGTCTTATATGCATATAAAAATAATTAATAAATTTGAGAATTATGTTGAACTTCCTTTTCCAATAGAATTACAATTAGAAGAATCTAAAAAGTTAATTACTGTTACCAAGATACTTATATCCTTATTACATATTGTAATGTTTTCTCAAAAATAATTTTTTTTTCTTCAAACTTTCTTATTGATAATTCACATGACAAGGTTGCTTTCATGGCATGACTACTTCCAGGTCTCTTTCGATATGAATTTTACACTTAAATCAATTTTAGACGCAATACAGTATATTTTTAGGTTTGGATACTAGGGTAAGATAAATTTAAAGTAAATTAACTCTTAAGAAAACTTAAGATCATAAATAGAAGTAATATACTAAAATTATTTAAAATATTCATTCATTAAATATTAAAGAATTCATAATATAAATTCATTAAAAAATGGAGATTTTATAAAAAGGCTATTGGATATTTATAAGACTTTTTTTGATTTAAAATATCATTGATCTTTTAGATTCAAAAATAAGCTTCAAATTTTTCAAAATTTAACTTTAACTCTTTAATTAGATCGCATGAACTCCAGTCTAATTAATCAATCGCTTTTTAATATCTTTTAATTTCACTTGAATAAATAGATTTGCTGATTAATTTCATATAATTTTATTGTTTTAAACTAATTGCATCGCATTATCTTTTCAATTAATTTACATAATTCTTTTCCACATCATAATCAAATTTAAGAAGTTTTTCTTACGAGAATTTTTCTTTCTTAAATTGATCCCCTACAAAGTATTTTACCTCATTTATTAAGTTAATACTTGTAATTTGTTTGAAGTCCTCTATACTGAATATTGCAAGCTCTTTTAAAATTAATATAAAGGTTATTTCTTAAAAGGAAATTAGAAAGCCTAAGATGCAAAATAAAGGAATGTGAATAAGAGAATTAATTTAATTATGCTATTCAATAATTTAGCATAATGTGCATTTTGTTATGATTTCTTAGGTGTTTCTTTTGCCTCATTTCGAGCTGCACGTCTTTGAAACTATCTTTTTAAACTCTTGTTTCCATTAATATGATAAATATAATACCTGTGCAAATAGTTCAAATTCTTCATCTGGTTGAAAGTGCCTGTAATATTTGCCTTAATGAGGATGTGCTTAAGGTTTTTATTGCTAGAGCGCGTAACTCTCTCTTTTTTCAGGAGATGATAATGTGGAATAGGCTTCTGAAATCCTTTTGAAAACTTCTTGTGCATTTTCTGCATTATTTTTATCAGGATGATATTTCAATGCTAATTTTCTATATGCTTTCTTAAGTTCATCGTCAGTTGCATTTTTCTAAACACCTAAAATGTCATAATAATTCTATAATTTCAGAAGATGATTTATCTCCTCTTTCATTTTTTGGATGTAATATATAAATAATAAACAAATATAACATAAATTAATAATCATGAAAATGAAATTTAATGTTAAGTGTGATTGTTTGACTAGTCTATCTTTTGATTCTAAAATATTATTAAATAAATCTTATTACTTATGGACTTATCTGCCTGTATTATTGAGCTTTGCTCTTTTCAACAGGCAAACCATTTAACTGTTATCTAATTTTACCTAACATCCTATTTTGAGGTTAGAGATCTACTGGTAGTTCATCCCTCTCAACCAATGGGGGATTCATAAACTCAATCTGTCTATAAATGAAGTCTCCCCAAGTTTCTCTGGGGTCAATGACAGGATCAAGCAATTATTGCTTTTTAGGTTTTTCATAGATATTTGGAATGCGTTCATATGGTGTTCGCAAACGCAGATGTGTTATCATGATTTCATAATTTACAAATCTGTAATCATTATCTTTGGCGAATTGATAGTAGGAAGTGAACTCGAGAATTTCTTGTATGAATTCAAAAAGAAAAAAGGCTGGACGATAATTTCCATGTAGAATAGCATAATCTAAAGCAGAGAACCCTTGATTTGAACGAATGGTAATATCAGCACCAGATTAAATTAATAGAGAAACTAATTTTTGATTATCTCTTTTGCAAGCCCACATGAGAGGTGTAACACTTGAGGAACCTCCATCATTTGGATTAGCTCCTATCTATTTCTATTATGAAGTAAAATCTACATCCAAAAATAATTGAACTAGTGCCATGTCATTTCTCCAAGCAGCTCTGGCTAAGGGAGTTTAAAGGATATCCTTAGCTAAGTCTTCATTGATTAAATTAGGAGACATTTCTAGGATGGGTCTTATTTTTTCTGTTTTTGTCTAATCTATATACCTTAAGAGCCGCTCCTTCTAATTATGATTGCCCATTTTATTTTAATTATTAAATTCATTCTCTATTACTATGCTTGTCTAAGAATAAAAATAGAATAGAACTAGTAGATGTAAGAAGTGCAATCAGGATGTTCCTAACTCCCAATTGTATGCACATTATGAGAATTGCTAGAAGTAATGTTTAAATGATTAACCCAACTCCAAAGAAATTCCTGAACAAGTCAAACCTACAGTGATTGATGATAAACAGTAGTTGCATCAGCACTTATCTAACATTGTTCCTTAAGAAGATGAGTTATAAGCCAATTAATAATAAGTAGCAATTGGTTTTAGAATGTTGAAGCTATGTGAAACATGTCAAGAGTATTTCCAAGTGGAAATTTATTATAATCATTTGAATGAATGCTAAACACAGAAATAAGCCTAAATACTTAATCAAAATTCGATTAACACGAATACGTTGATTTTCTAATGTTCAGAAGAAATAGGTGGAAATTTCAAAGCTTTTGAGTAAGTTAAAGAAGAACATACATCGGAAATCATTCACAGCAATTATATAGTGTACAAAAAAACAAAAATAACAAAGGATAAGAACACTGGATTCACACATTATCACACTACATATGAAAGCAAATAGAATATAATTTCTGAAAATAAAATACTGGAAAATAAAAATCAAACTAAACCTAAGGAAGAGATCACCACTAATGATAAGATGCCTAGTTTGATAATATAAAGCCCACTAAACTTAGATGTTACTTAAACACCCTAACCAGATGATGAAGAATTATGTCCTATTTGCAATAAATAGTATGAGTTACTAGATTAAACTAAACTATTTGAGGATTGCCAACATTTATTTCATTTAAATTGCATCTAAAAAGATGTCTGTCCAATTTGTGCTGCATAACCATAATAAAATCAATGAAATATACTATCTCATATAATATTATTCAATTATTATTTTCCGATGCACGGCTTTGATATTCAATATTCACATTTTATTGATGTATAATTATATAATACACACTAAAAATTATATTTTACTATTCTTAATCAATTAGAATTCTTAAGATTTTTTGATTTCCTTTGCAATATATCAAAAAAATCCCATTATAAATTATGGTATACATATTGAATTGAACAGTAAGAATAAGGCCAACTTAAGATTTTAAATTAAATAGATATAAATAATGATTAGACTACAATTACAGACGATAAAAATAGGAACAACTTGGTTTGACAAAGCTAATCAGTTATATAATAGCTATTCATATCGAATATAGAGAGTAGGTGTTATAATAGAGATGAATGAGGAATTTATTTCTTATTTATTAATTCATAATAATAATTAATATATATATATGTCAAAAGACGAAGCAGTAACTGCGACTTTAAAATAGCGCTTATCTGCAATTCAGGACAAGGACATCTACTTTGAAGACAGGGACTCATTTAGTGAAGATGGGGTATTGATAAAATTAAGTTTAGAAATACGGAGAATATGTCCAAAAACAGAATAAAGAAATTATGAAAAAGGTTTAGGAACTTTTGAATGATGGATAGTCCACAGTGAATTAGCAGGAGGAATAAAGTTTTGCTGTTATGAATGAGAATCAGAAACAAGAAATTTTAGAAGACTTAGAAGAAGAATTTGGTTAGTCATATGTAGAAGCGAAGGTGAAAGTGAACACTTACATAAAGCTGATTCCTAAAAATGAATTACAATTGGCATACATTTATAGTGACAAGTATTTGAGTTGAGTATTACTTAGATATCCAATGTTGGCCATTCGAAAGTAGATTTTAATATTTACAAAACTGATATCATCTTACGCCTAATTAATTACTACTCACCCCCTGTTTGAGTTAATGACATTGTTAATGATCATTTTCAACTCAGCCATGCTTGCTCTGGATGATCCAACCACTGACGTTTAAACATCTTTCTAAGATTTAACAGATATCATTTTTTTAGCCTATTACACAGCTGAGGCAGTCTTGAAAATAGTAGCATTGGTAAACTCTTATAACTATTCAGGGATTTATATTTCCTAAAAAAGCCTATTTGAAAGACACATGGAATATTTTAGATTTTTCAGTGATTGTAACTGCCTACATTCCTTATTTTTTGGCATCCAATTCAGTAAATCTGAATGCTTTGAGATCCTTTAGAGTGTTGAGACCCCTAAGAACCGTGTCTTCAATAAAGGCGCTCAGAACTATTTTGTTAGCATTATTTGCATCTATAGCTCAATTGAGAGATGCAGTAGTGGTTCTGATATTCTTTTATTCAATATTTGCAATAGCAGGAGTCTCTTTATTTTCTGGATATTTGAAAAGAAGATGCATAGGTGAAATGAGTGGAATCACATGGATTTCTGATGAAATATTATTCTGTGCTGATGATAATAATTGCCCATTTCCAGAAGACACCATATATAATGAAAATTTTATTTGTGGGAAACAAATAGCGAATCCATAGAACGATTTGGTCAATTTCGATACATTTGGTTATTCATTCTTATAGGTTTTCATAATAACTACATTGGAAGGATGGACATAGATTTAAACAGCAGTTATGCTCACGTTTTCTCAATACGTTGTTTTATATTTTATTATTGTTGTTATTGTTGGAGCCTTCTTTTTGGTCAATCTTACATTGGCCATTATCAAATTAAATTTCAAGCCTGAAAAAATTCAGGAAGAATTGGCTTAAATTAAGGAGGAGATTGAAGAATACGATTATAGACAACTTAGACAATTAAAATTATATGAACCAGAAAGGTATATAGTAGATACTAAGGGTTATGGTACCACCTGGGATAAGCATCATGATTTCGATCAAAATGCAATTATGAAGCGAAGAGATAATTCTAGAGGAGGAGCTTCTTAGTTAAATATGATTAAATAGAATAACTTGAAGAGGTTGAGAGGAAAAAATAAGGTAAGTTTTCAACCAATTAAATCTGCAGTGTATTATAGTAATCCAATTGTATTGAAAAATAAATAATTAAAAATTGAAGGAATTTATGGGATGGGTAATCAGAGTAAATTAAATCAATAACATTAAGGAACTACCTAAAATAATAATAATAATAGATCTAGTGTAGTAAGAAGAAGCAGTCAAAGTAGTAACAATGATGATAGAACATCTTCTAAAAAAGAAGAAAAAAACAATAGCAATAGTAATAACAACAACAATGAGAATGAAAGTCTAAGTAGACCCACAAGATTTGCCCCAAGAAAAAGTATGCAATTTGGTGAACAACAAATAAGTTCAGAATTTCTGAATTCTCCTATGATGGATTAATTGACTGAGAATATTCGACCATTAAATGGAGGCACCATGCTTGTTCATCACAGAGGCTCTATGGAAAGTAGTAAGAGTGGTGAATCAAGACCAGACAAAACTCCAATAAATAATCAACTTGAAATACCTAGATTGGGAGAGAGTATATATATTGAATAATATTCATAGTTAGACAACAGTCTTAGAATGTGAAATCTAATTAGAAGTTTAGCTTAGTTGCTGGTATGAAATATTAGAAGCCTCCAAGAAATTCCCCTAAACCTGATTCATAGAAGTCTTTGGATTAGAATGAATTTGACAGTGTAAATTTGAGTGAGTTGAATACAATATCAGATGATGATCTTGATAGAAGATTAGAAGAAATGGACATATTCGTTTAGGATAAGAATGGAGATTCAGAGAGTGAAACCAAAAAGAAGTAAAATTAGAAGGAAATGATTAGATAAAAAAGAATGGAAAATAGGAGATTAAGAGATTTAAATAAGAATACTTAATAACATTTAGATGATACATCACTGAAATTGAAATCCAAACTTTTTAAAACAAAGTTTTATCCCATCATAGCAATTGATTAAGATTTTTTTAGTGTAAATGATGTTCTTGTTTCCAGGATGCTATTACAATTAGAAAAGGAAAAACTGGAGCAAGAAGAGAAAATTAAGGAAATGGATATTAAAATTACATATTGCTTTAAAAATTCTAAATAATCTTTGGAATTGAAAAAATCAAGTTCTGGCAAAATTAAAAGTATGACTAAATCAGGCTATTTAAAATCTGGATTGAAATCTAAGAAAAACAACTTAAGTTTAAGAAGAGTGTAACCAATTATGGATGAACTACATCCATTTGAAGATCTACAGTTTCCGACAGACAAGAACTTTGAGAATTAAGAGGATTAAAATCAGGAAAATGTAAATGAAAACTCTGATTCTGATGATGAACCTGAAGAGAATAATGAAAAAAATAATAATTTTAATGGGAGTGCAAGTTAAAAAATTAAAGTAAAAAAGAAAAAAAAAGATTAAGAGTAAAATGATAAATTAGATTTTGAATAAATGGGTGAAAAGTTTATCGAAAGTTCTGATTGCATAGTTGATTTAAATAGAATTCATGCTGTTGAAATTGAAAAACAATTCAATTAACAGGAATTGGCACTTATTCCAGCATGGGAACTTGAATAGCAAAAAGGCGTTTTCTATTAAGAATATTAAGATATTAAATAAAAAGATATTGAAGAAAGCAAAGGATCAATTACTGCATAGGCATCTATTGAAGATGTATTATTAATTGCTGATTACACGTTTTATGATTAAAAATTTGCAAAATAAATGAACTCAGTGATGAAAGCTCTAAATTATTCAAGAAGAGAAACCTTTATTTACCTATAAGGATTTATTGGATTTTTAAGAGTGTGTTAAAACCATTTGTTATATTTTGTTTAATCTAGCTATTTTGAAGCTGCAATGAATTTAGCAGTTGCATTAAACACTGTAATTTTAGCTTTAGATGGTCTACTGCCAGATAGCAGTGCAAATACTTTGAATTAATTCAATTTAGGATTCACTATCTTATTTACTATTGAATTAGGATTAAAATTAATAGGAATGGGACCAAAAAATTATATTTCTGATACTATGAATATTTTTGATGCCATAATAGTAGCATTGAGTTTAGTAGAACTATTTTTTCTAGGAGGAGGAACAAGTGGGAAATCATCATTGTCAGCCTTTAGATCTGTAAGAATATTCAGAGCATTCAGAGTGTTGAGAGTGACTAAATTGATGAGAAGTTTACAATTTATGGGTTTCTTAATAAAAGTATTGGGAAATGCATTTCAATCTTTTATGTACATAATGGTTTTGCTTGTGCTTTTTATTTTCATTTTCACATTGCTAGGAATGGCATTTTTTGGTGGACAGCTGTCTAAAACTCCAAGTAGATAGAGTTATGATGATATTCAAAGTGCCTTTTTAGTAGTATTTTAAGTGCTCACATTGGAGAATTGGAACAGTATATTATGGGACTTGTTGATTTAAGATGTTTCTGCATTTATTACAGTTCCTTATTTAGTATTTTGGATTATGATAGGAAATTATGTCTTTTTGAATCTGTTTCTGGCTATTTTACTAGAAAATTTTGAGGAGGAATACAAGAATGATAAAGCAGGTCTCGACACTAATATTGAGATTGGATAGGATTCTATCATGGACAATACAACCTAAGCTGTTAATTCGACTAGCACTTTGAAATCTTAAATGAAAACAAAAAAGGCGACTGTTGCTAAAAATTTAGAAAATAATGAAGATCCTGAATCGAAGAAGCATAAGTAATTATAATAAGTATTCCAATATTTTGTTGAACCAGGAATCTGTTAATTCTCATTATATATGTTCTCTTAGGAAAATATAATTCGAAGAATATGCTATAGAATAGTAAAGGATGATAAATTTGAAACTCTTATTTTCTTTATGATATTTCTCACATCGACCAAATTAGTTTTTGATACATACATTCCTGACACTGGATAATTAAAAGAAACATCATTGTAGATTGATATCTTTTTTGCTGTGTTTTTTGGAGTTGAAATGATTATGAAAATAATTGCTTTTGGATTTGTGCAGCAAGAGAGTTCTTATTTAAGAGAATCATGGAACATATTAGATTTCTTCATTGTGATAGCATCATTTATTGATGTAAGTGTTTCAACAATCAATCTGAGTTTTGTGAAGATCTTGAGATTGCTTAGAACACTAAGACCATTAAGGTTCATCACTCATAATAGATCAATGAAAATTTTGGTGTCAGCATTATTATAATCAATTAATGGTATATTCAATGTGGCCATAGTTGTGATATTGGTTTGGATGATGTTTGCAATTCTTGGTATAAATTTAGAGAAAAACAAAATGCATTATTGTGATACAGGAGATGATGAAATATGGTATCATTATGGACCAGAGGAGTGCGCATAACATGGTGGTGTTTGGGCAAATCGAAAAGTTAACTTTGATAACATATTGAATGGGATGTTGTCTTTATTCATATTATCAACATTGGAAGGATGGCCAGATCAAATGTATTGGTTTATTGATGCAGATGAATCAGGACCAATCAAGGGTGCTCAATTATAGTTTTCTTGGTATTTCATTGTATTTATTTTGGTTGGTTCCATATTACTGATGAATCTGTTTATTGGTGTTATATTGGTCAATTACCATTTAGCAGAAGAAGCTTCAAGAGATAAGATATTAACACAACCACAAGTAGATTGGATCGAATTGTAAAAATTGATTGTTCATGCTAATCCAAACTTGGCTATGTTTTTTAGTCCTGAGAATCCGTTTAGAGCCAAAGTGTTTATCATTATTAAACATCGGTACTTTGATCCAACTATTCTAATGATTATTGTATGCAATATAGTAACTATGGGGTTATCTCAAGATGATTCTCCATTGCCTATGATAGTATATTGCAATCTCTTAATACTGCATTCACTTTTGTATTCATCACTGAAGCACTCCTGAAGATCATCGCATTGGGACCAGTAGGATACATGAGGAATTCATGGAATCAATTTGACTTTTTTGTGGTATGTGCATCCATTTTGGATTTGATACTGTAATTCACTGGAAATTCATTTATCTCATTTTTGAGTGCAGGACCACAATTGGCTAGAGTATTCAGAGTACTTAGAGTAACAAGATTATTTAGATTGATCAAATCATTTGAAGGATTGCAGAAACTTATAGAAACAGCAATTTACTCATTACCTGCTATGTTGAATGTGACAGCTCTATTATTTCTCGTTTTCTTCATCTTCTCTATTCTTGGTGTGTTTCTCTTTGGATCCATCAGAAGTGGATGGGCAATAGACGATGTGAATAACTTTTCAGACTTCCACCATTCCTTTGAACTCTTATTCAGATGTTCAACAGGAGAAGATTGGTACAAAGTCATGTTTGATACTATGTAAGATGGCTAAGGATATTATTGTATATTCTTCATTATTTTTATTGTGATCCAATAATATATTATGTTGAATTTGTTCATTTTGATTATTTTGGATCAATACGAAATCAATTATTTCAACAGTGATAATCCCCTTAATAAATTTTAAGAGTATGAAAATATGTTTATTGAATCTTGGTCCAAATTTGCCAAGGAAGACAAAGGAATGAAGATGAGTCAACAATTACTAGTACCATTATTACTCGATATGGAAAAACCCATTGGTTATGATTTGAAATTGAAATTAAATGATGAAATTAGTGAATGGAGAAGAATCAATCCTCAATTAGACACAAAGGAGAATGTCCTAAAGCAAACTCAAATTCTCAGAGCTTAGGCAAAAAGAGATGTTTCTACCTAAATCATGAAAATGAATATCTATGCTGATAATGTAGGATAGGTCAAATATCATTAGATATTGTTTTCTGTTATGAAATCCTACATGTGGAAGAAGGTGTAAGTAAATTTAAGTCCTGAAGGGGCTGAAAAGATTCTAATAAAGGAAGACGAAACATAAAAAAGATTGAAAAAGAAGTAGGTTGGTGTTCATTCAAAGGAGGTGAATTTAGTTAATCCTATTGTACACTTCTTATTTGTTCATATGGCTTTTAAAACTTTAAGGAGGTATGGAGAAAAGAAGAAGCAACAAAAAGAGTTGCAAGCTCAATTATTACTTGAATAGGAGTAGGAACATTATAGTGATGGATTTAGTTCTGATTCCTCTTTTGATAATAAAATAGAGATACTATCCAGAAACTCAAAGGACACTGATCATCCAAGGCGACCTGATTATGGCAGAACAAAATATCTGACTCTACCCAACACTGAAATCTACAAGGAAGAAATTTGCCTCAATCAAGAAACTCCTATAGTAAATGATTCAGACAGAAGCTCAAGGGAGGAGGAGGAAGAACCAGATGAAGATGGTATTTATTTTATTTTATTCTCTTTAAGTCATGTAATAGTATAATAAGGACTTTAAAAGGCATCTCGTTAATCCTAATGGATCAAATGGAAATATTTAGGATGACAAAAGTGCTAGCAACCTAGGGGGAGGAGGAGGAAATACAAGAAGCAGTTAATCTCGAACTAGTCAAATACCCAAATAGCCTAAGAGACTGACTCTGAAACCTAGTGACTTGATTTCAGGATTGGGAGCTAGCAAGAAATCCATCCAATCCAATCAACCTTCTGCTAATCAAAATCCCAATGCTTCTTAAGACAATCCATCAATTATGAATTAAAGTAGTGGAAACAGTGCTAGTAATAAATGATTTATATATATAAATTTGCCAACTTAAATATCCAATTATTTATTAAATTAAATATCTTGAACATGTTCCGAAGGGTATTTGGAATCTCTAATAGATGCACTCCTACTCGTTTACGATACTTAAGAGAGTATGTATGTTTAAGAGAGGCTGCAAATCCATCAGCTTAATAAGCCTAAATAGCTTAATTCCAATAAGTGTCAAATAAATATGGATTGGCAGTTCCTCAATTAGCAACTTTATCTGGAATCTTTTAATTAAGTCAATTACTAAGACCTTAAAATTTCCCAAATCCTAATGATTACAAAGTAACTCACTTTATTTTGAATATCTATAGATACATGTTGAAAAGTTAGAACTATTGTTTAGACAATCCTAACAAAGTAATGAGACTTTAAGTTAATTTGCATAATCCCTCGAATTTAAAATTCCAGAAATAGCAAAACTTACTAATGATGCTAGAAAATAGGCTGCCTAAGAATTGTTTAGCATTTATTTAGAAGGAATTCATTATGATAATTTAGTCTCACCGTAGAGATTATATAATATTTTAGAGGCTATGTTGAGTAATTAGAATCAATTTACAGACAAAGAACAAAAGAAGCAGCCAAAAAAATTTAAGCAGAAGTTAAGGATCCCTAATTAGCAACCTAATTAATATAATCCCTTGAATCGATCTTAGAAAATTATTAATTCCATTAAGGAAGGTATTCGCGTATTCTAATTTAGATATGTTGGTTTGATTAAGTCATTCATAGACACTCTCTAAGGCACAGAAGTGTAAGTAACTTAAAAATTGGATCAACAAACCCAAGAGAAATAATTATTCATCCAAACTGTAGACAAAGCAACAAAGAAATTCTCTGCCGAAGATTAAGAGTATGCCAGAAATGTCGATGGACACGATTACAAATTATTCCTTTAAGAATTATATGAGAAAGAATATTAATCTGGATTTGCATAGAATAGATTTAATGAAAAAGGATAAAAATTGGTTTATGAATCATAGGCATAAGAACATCACGTTCTAAGATATCAAATTTTAGCAGGAGTGTTTGCGGGCTACTTCCTCTATTTATTCTACAGAGGTGATGCCTATTACTCAACAATCGTGACAGTTCCAGTTGTTGCAGCAGCCTTCTTCTATTTGGCTAAGTAGGGACAAGTAAATATTGTGTTGCATACAAATAGGCCAAAAAGAGCTATTCCATTTGTTAGACAAGTGCTCAAAAACACTGACAACACCTATGAGGTTGTTTTTGAATAGAATCGAATAATTAGTAGAATTGAAAATGTACAACCAGGTTAAATCAAGTAAGTAGTTTGATTATTCTTCTTTAAGACTTGCTCAGGATACTCAATTTGCCAATGCACTCGTCCTTGGCAATCCAACAGATTTCGGATATCACGTTAAGGTTGCTGACAATTCATTTATTGCACCATACTTATATAGTGGAAATGGTTTAGATTTCAGAGCATTTATTAATGTTTGATTCAATAATATAAATCACAATAAAAACAAAACTTTCATCCAATATAAGACTCAACATAATTATTAACACCATATAAATCCATTTTGTCTTGGTTTTCTAATTCATCTCTATCCAAACAATTGAATGCAAATCCAGTATGTTTTTGAGTAGCTACTTATCCAGATGGCTTATATGTTTATGGCTATATATTGGTTGATAGATTTGGCAATCTTAACGACATATTCTTGTTAACTTTAGACAACACTCTGTTTAGTTTAATATTCAATGCGATGTCAATGCTACAAATTGCAGCAATTACCAAAATGTTCCCGAAATGGAAATTTGGTGTTTGGAAAAGTCTAATAATAAATGAATAGTATACGAGTCAAACACCACATAGGCCTCTGCTGATGGTAAATTATCTAATATGATCCAAGAGAGCAAATAGGATATCATACTAAAAGAGATACTTCCCTAATAAATATGTAATGAAAAATACTAATAAGGCAGGAGTGTATGTGTTAGAGAATATCAGAATTTTAAGATTGCATACCACAACTACCATTCCAAATATCATGGTTCCTTAGGCCCAAAGGTGATGAGTGAAACCATTATCATCCACAAAATTTTCAGATATAGAATAAGTTGGAAGGAAACATACAATAGCCGTTTACCAGAATCCACAAAATATCCAAAACAACACAATTTGAATATTAAATAAGAGACCTTTGGGACCTTGTTGATAATAGTTCTGAATTTTGTTGTCAGTCAATTAATCAGCATCGTATTCCTCATCAAATATTCCATATATCATAATAGGGAGAGCTCCATACAAAATATTAAATAGTTGATAAATAAAAGTGTCATAGAGAGATTGGGCAGAATACATGGAGAGAATTCCATACCAAAATTGAGGTAACACAACTAAAATATTTTTATAAAATGTATAACAAACCAAAACACTATTCCTACGATAGCATTCTCTGCCGTGATAAAATAATAACCTTCGTAATTCTCTGAATTCCTATACACTATAATCAGCTGCTCTTGCTGCTTATTATCCTTCAACACCCCTAATGCCAACACCAACATGAGCAGCTGTTATCATATTTACATCATTGGCTCCATCTCCAATGGCTAAGGTTGAACAGGATTAATTCTGATTTCTAATCAATGTAACAACATCCTATTTCTGTTTTGGACTAACACGACAACACAATACCACTTCGCAACATTATCCTATCTCTGATACCTTTTTTTGAATATCTGGTTTCAATGCATGCAATAGTGCATCGCCAGAGATAATCAATGCCTATCTCTAGTTCAAATCTTAAGAACCGATCTTATTCAAAATATCATCTAATCTTTCCTTAATCAACGCCTCCTCCTTTTCATCAACAACATGCTGCACTAATTAATTAGTTAATAAAGAACAAGAGTAGCCGATATTAATGGCAGTTTCTATTTTGTCACCTGTCAACACCCACACCTTAATGCCAGCTGCTTTAATGGCTGCTATTGTATCAGCCACATCCTACTATAATTTATCTTCTATAGCAGTTGCTCCTAATATTTCATAGTTCTTCTCCAACTCATCCTACAATACCTGCATCCTCTCTTCTCTATTTTCTATAAGTTGTGTTGCTTATTAATATCGTTTATGCCATTCTTAATACTCTTGTTTCTCTAATTTTCTCTTTGACAACACCAAAGTTCTCAAACCTATTTTACCATATTCTTCAAGTCTTTGAACCAACTGGTGGTATTCGTTTTTAGCCAACTCTTCACTTGACAATCTCACATAATCCAATAACACCGAGTCTGCACCCTTAGAAAATAAATAAATTTCCCCTGTCTTTATTACCTAAACCAATATTGATTGTCTCTTCCTCTAAGATGTAAATTCAAATATCTCTAATAATTGATATTCAATTATTTGATCTTAAAAACTTACTCTTTTGATATTAGTTTCATCTGTGCCTAAAAATTCAAATCCCACAAACCTAGCAAAATTTAATAAGGCTAATTCATCTGGAGATGTGGCATTATAGACTAATTTTCCATCTCTTTATTCTGATATGACAGTATGACAAATTGCTATCATCATTAAACATTCCACTACTTTTTCATTCATCACATGATTCTTATCTTAAATTGCTTCAATTAGTTTTCTGTCCCTAAAATCTACATTGCTGACCAAAGGGAAATTCTATAACTCATCATCTGTTATGTATTCTTCTGAACTTTTTAAAATGTCTCCATAATTCTAATTTCCTCTAAATTGAATTTATATTATTACATTATAATTTATTTAAATTCCATTATATTACAGGTTAGAGTTCCAGTCTTATCACTGAATATGTGTTCAATTTAGCCCAGTTCCTCATTTAGATTTGATGTCTGCACTCTTGGTTGGTTTAGTTTCTCATCTAAACTCATTATCTTTCCTTATATGAATTTGACCATTTCCAAAGTAACCAATAAAGAAATGGGCACAAAATTATTAAATATCAGCATCCAATTTCCAAATCTCACAAAAAAATTATATGGAATTGTATATTCTGATGTATTAGCTGCTATGTATAGATAGGTTAATGTCATTCTATTGTTGTAATAATAAATGGAATAGACAAGAGATGCAATGACACACATGATAAATTGTATGATGAAGATCATCAATATGAATTTTTGCATTAATACTTCTAATTTACTCCTCTTTGTTCTTGCTTTGAAAGAATTCATCATAATCTTTGTATCATGTCCAGTGTAAGCTACCAATCCAAATATATATTTCACATTTCTTAAATTGCACCCTCTTAATAAGAAATTGTTAAAATTTATCGATGAAACTTAGAAACTAGAGGTAGTTGTTTCTCCAATGAACTTATATAAGTATGGAGTTGGAGCCTGGTACTTTAACACGATTCTTTTGTCCAATTGACCAAAACAATCATCGGATTTGAATATTTGCAATAAATCGGCATGCACATTTTTTTATTTTAAATTGGTTTCCCCATCCAATGATTTAGTTTCTACATAACAAATTCCTTTCTTCTCACTTGACCTCAGAAGTAGCATATCCGCTGGTATTATCTCATCTTAATGCACCTTCACGATGTGTCCTACTCTTAAATTATACGATGCTATCTTCACAAAACTAGTTCCATCAAATGCTGTCACCTACTATTTGTTTTCTTCTATATCTGATTTCCTTCTCTTGTAATCTTCGTAGAAATCCTTCGCTCCACTGACCAAAATAATAAAACCTAATGGTAAGTATATTGTTGGAATTCCAGAACTTATTGAAACTTCTGGAACCATTTAAAGCGCTCCCATTATCTAGAGGATAATATTAAAGACATACCACAAAATAAACATTGGCTAGCTTAGAGAATTACTCGAATAATTATTTTGGAAAAAAATTCAACAAAGTGTATTTAGATGTTTGAATACCATTATCAGGCAACATGAAATCCGGTCTATTTGAAGTGATTTTCCTATTTTTAGATTGATATTTCTATGCGTAATTTCCCTTACTCTCAACATTATCGTACTGATATTCTATTCTTATTTTTTTTTATTACCAAATAAATTTTGTGTTTCCTTGTGATCTTAACTACTGAGAATATGAGGAGGGGTTTATAACTCTAATTAAATCATTTTAGTATCAGTCATATTGAGAAAATAAAATGTTTCAAATTAATATTATTATTCTAAATTATATAATTGAACTCAGTTCCAAATATCTTGGCATATAACAATTACGGTTTTCATGCATTAATAAATCCATAATATCCATAAAAAACATATATATACTACTCTCATGATATTAACTGATTTTATTCGACCATCTCTAAATCAATGCCATCTATCTAGTTGAAATTATGCCCCATTTTTAAACCAGTAAATTGTCTTCTCCTTTCAAAGTATCTCAAGTAGAAAATTAACGCAATAAACCAACAGATTATTATATTCAAAACATTCTTCACTTCTGACTATCCTAACTAATTATAAATTATTAGATATACAACTTAATTTTATATTGTAAATGAATGTTAAATCTTACACAATGTTAACTATCCCTAAGTTGTTGTTTCTATTTGATCATGTGTACATCTTGTCGAACTAATATCGACAAGGAATTAACTCTGCAATTTTTCACTCTTTTGGCATTTTATACTTGGAACACTTATAATTAAATTTAAAATTTAAAATTCCTATCTTCCAATAACAGCTACACTTTATAAATTGGAAAAATCTAAATTATTTTATTTGAATTTCTTTGTTTTGATTAACTGGGGTTCGTAAAAGGATTTATGAGAGATAACCTTTGATTCAATGAAACCTATTTTGGATTTAAATAGTACCTGAGTATATTGAATGCTATACAATTTTATGATCATTTTGTCCTATTAGAATAGCATAATAATTTAAAACGCTAACCTCATTTATAATCATATCATCAAAATAATGATTGTTGATGTAATATTGCTTGGCTTATAAATTAACTAAAATCTCCAAAGCGTAATCTTGTTTGTTACTTGTTTTTGCAACTACAAAAAATGTATTGTTGTTAAAATCAAAACTTTTAGCATCAGGGATATTAATTAGAAATTGATATTCATATTCATACTCATCTATTATTAAACAAAATATTAATCCTTATTCTCTATCTAGGATATATAAGTTATCTCCACCATCACTTTTTATATCTATTATTTAGGCGTAGTTTAAAAATAAGGAATTTATACTAGGCTTTAACATTATAGTTCCATTTGATAATTTATAAACATCAACTCCTTAATGACCTGTTGCTACAAATACTAAACGATGTTTCTCATTGTAATGAACACAAAATATTTTATGCCTTTATTAAATTTGATCTTCTAAATTAATTTAAATTTCTTTCTGAGCCTCAAAATCAAATTGAAAACTAACACCTCCACTTTGAGTGAAAATGTAGGCTTTATTAGATTGATCATCAATTATTAATTAAGGAGTATCATCCAATTCGATCTCGTTAAGATTCAAAATATCGTAGAAAGAATAATCAAATGTTCTTAAATAAATTCCATATGCCGATGAATTAAAATTCAATTGAAATAATTTGAAATCATTCCTAACTATGAAAGCTTAGCTATATTATTCAGAAATTGCAATATCTGTGATATAGACTCCTTCTGTGATCCCTGTTTTGTCGATCCAAAGTTTTAATTTCCTTCTTATTTCTACATCTCTTTGAATAATTTTGCAATCTTCAATTTTAGAAGGATCAACTTTTTCAAATTCCCCCAAAGAAAAATTAACATTATTAACTTTCCCACTTATTCTTTTATGTAAATTTATTGAAAACATGTCAAGAATACTAAATTTTACTAAAATTGATAAATTACTTTCCATATAGAATTTCAATCTCTTTTTAAGATTCTAAGTTATAATTGCTTGGTGTTAGAGTTTCATTCAATATAGATACTTAAGGCCTTTTAATTTAAGTATTTAACACATTTTGTAATAAATAGAAGTAAAAAATAAAATTCATTATAATAAAATGTAAGATTACAAATATTTTAGTGATGATAACCCATACTGTGATCCTCCAGATATATTCGAGCTGTTTCAATTCTATAATCAATATTTCTTTGAAGGGATATTAGTTACTTGTACTGTAAAATGGAGTACCCGAATGACTCTATGTGCTGGTAAATAATTCTTCTTAAGTAAAGGCACCTGTAAATACGAAGGATAAAAATCATGTACTATAACTCTTTCTGAACCACTTTTAAAATTTCGTTCAAACGATGAATTAAAATCTACTCTTCTACATGAAATGATTCATGCCTACTTATTTATTACAAAACCATCTGAAGCATTTATAAATGAAGGTCATGGACCTGCATTCCTGGAGAAAATGAACTTTATAAATTAAGTTACTGGATTAGAATTGAGTGTCTATCATCAATTTCATGATGAAGTTGACAGATGCAGAAACCATATTTGGAGATGCAATGGCAGATGTCAATAAAAACCTCCCTTTTTTGGCTATGTTAAAAGAGCTATCAATAGACCTCCTGGGAAAACAGATTATTGGTTTTAAAAACATTAAGAAGAATGTGGAGGGATTTTTGAAAAAATTAGTTAACCAGAAAAAAAACAGCCTCAAAAAAAAGTTTAGAAAAAGAAAAAGTCTAATGATGTGAAATAAGAAAAAATGATCAAATTATCCAATTTCTTTTAAAATGAACAAATTTATGCAAAATTTTAAATTAATTAAAAAGAAATAGCTGTAGAATTTCTAATGGTTCTCAATTCATTATTGAATTTTGAACTATTCAATCAAAAATTGGAATCTATTATTTCATGTTTGAAGGAGACATATTAGTAAAATATCGAAAAATTTAATATTAAAAAACTAATTAACATCAAACAAAGTCTAGAGAAGTGTAATAATATTACTATTCTTAAATGTTCAAAAGAAGTTGGTGAGTAAATGAAAATACTTTCCATTTCTGTTCGCACCAATGGATGTCCTCCTTAAGTGAGTATATTAATGTAATTAAATAAATTATTGAAATGAAAAGCTTTATAATTTATATATGATTACCATTCTTAATAAGGCTGTGAATTTTTATACAAAAAACAAAAGAAGAATTGATCCTCATATTACATTGCTAGGGCTCTACTTAACAACCAAATTCTTAATCAAAAAGACAAAGTACATTCTATCAACTTTAATGCTTTCCCAAGTTGATATTGTGAATAAATATGGAAAAGGATCATATGCCTTAATCACAGGTGGAGCTGGAGGAATTGGAAAAGAATTCGCTATTGATTTAGCAAAGAAGGGATTTAACTTGATTATCGTTGATTTCAATCAAGTCAATTTGGAATCTGTATAATAAGAAATCCTAAAAATAAATAATAATCTGATGGTTAAGACAATCTAATTAGACTTTAGTCAAGGCAATAATCCCGACTTCTTTAAGAAATTGCAATAAGAAGTAAAATACCATTTAATATCAGATATCAAATTTAGATATTTCCATTTTGATTAATAATGTAGGGACAGTCAAAGGAGCCACTGGTATATTTGATAGATAACCTATTTAAAATATCATAGAAGGCTTTAACATTAATTTTGTTACTGCCATCATGCTCACCCATGCAGTCATCAATTAAATGCATTTGAGAGATAAATATCAATCATTAATCATAAACCTAAGTTCTGCTTCCTCTAATTTTCCTTTGCCTCATTATTTTGGATATGGGTCCTCAAAAGTAAGTTCGTTATATTATTGTAGATTGGCATGGCTAGCTTTTTTGATGCTTTAGCCTTAGAAAATAAGGATAATAAAAAAATAGATATTTTGACATTAAAGCCATACTACGTGAGTACTGCATTGATTAATTACAGAAAAGGGTTATTTGTTATATCCCCATAACAATTGGTTCAATAAACATGGAAATATGTTGGTAGAACAACAGAGGCCATTCCAAATATAAGTCATCAATTGTAATATTATTTTGATTCATCAATACCTTATTGGTTAATGATGAAAATTAATCAATTTTAAAGAAGACCTTAAAAAAAATGATATTGATAATGAATTATCTAAAAGTAAAATATTAATAGTATTCATAATATATAATAAATAGTCTTTAAAATATATTATTAAATAATTAAATGATTTAATAATCGACAAAACTCTCCATAATCTAAATTTATAGAATAATTATAGAAATCAATTCAAGTATCATACTTTGAAGTTGAGACAATACAAAATACATATATTAATTATTTCTTTTGACTATTTTATTTATCTTATTCAACACTCACTTGCAAAATCTCCTAATTATTTCTTTTTCACTCTTTCCATTTTATACTATTCTTTGTTTTATTTTATAAAAAGTATACTTAATTTAAAAAATTTATACTTAATATTCCTAGAATAATACAATATTGAAGACGATCAAGGTCTTTCTTCCGTCCTTGATATTTAATGAATTTGAGCAAAACTAAATTAGAAAAGGTTCTTGATTATTAAAAATGATTATTGACCATAATGATGGAATTTTTATGTTATTTGTGATGTATTTTTGATTACCTAATATAAATTAAAGTGCGTATTATCTGCATTTCTAATAATAAATAAAATCTTAAATTTATATATGCAAGCCTAAAGAAAAAGATTCATAGGAGGAAATTGGAAGAGCAACAACACATTAGCCAAGTCTCTTGAATTAGTTGACAGTGTTGTTAACAAATTAGAGTTTGATAATTTGGATGTTGTGGTTTCCCCAGTGTCTCTACATATTGTTCCAATCTAATAAGCAATTAAGAACAACGTATAGGTCGCTCTTTAAAACATTGGACACAAAGGATTTGGAGCCTTTACAGGTGAGCTCAGTTTTGAACACGTCAAAGATCTTAAAATAAATTGGGTCATCTTGGGACATAGTGAGAGAAGAAGAACCCCAGAAATTTCAGAGAGTGAAGAGTTTATTGCTAACAAGGCTGTTTTGGCAATAAACAATGGATTATCTGTGATCTTCTGTATTGGAGAAACCATCTAAGAAATGGAAGCCAAAGAAACCTAGGCTGTCTTAGAGAAACAATTGAAACCTTTGGTTGATTAAGTGAAAGATTGGTCCAAGGTTGTGATTGCCTATGAACCAGTTTGGGCCATTGGAACAGGTAATATTATATTTAAAGAAATTTAGGTAAGACAGCAACTCCAGAATACGCTGAAGAAATCCATGCAAACATAAGAAAATTACTTCCAGATTAATCAATCAGAATTTTGTATGGTGGATCAGTCACTAAGGACAATGCAGCAGTTTTGATTGGACAACCTAATATCGATGGCTTCTTAGTCGGAGGTGCTTCATTAAAAGAAGACTTCATCCATATTGTTAATGCTTGCAAGTGAGTTCATATTAAAAAAAATAAAAATTTAATAATATATGTTTTATTCAACTGAACCAGAACCCTTTCCAATTGCTGTAATTAGTTTAGAATTGGAGGATCAGACTGAAGAAATTAAAATTTATGAAGGAGATGACATTGAAGAAATAGTGGAAAATTTTTGTTAATATAAAGGTCTAGAATAAAAGTATGTGAAATACTTGATCGATCAAATAAATCAATAATTAAAAAAAGAACCCTCACCAAGATTTGGGGATAGTTTTGGACAAAATTTTAGAACTCAATAACCATTATACTCAAATTAAAGCTAATAAAGTGAAGTCTGCTACACTACATAAGCAAGCAGTGTCGAAGAGAATTCTGCATAAAAAAGTTACGAAAAATGGTAATAAATGATGAATAAAAAGACTGATCTCTAATAATTATTGAACATGTCTTCAAATATAGTTTAATGGACTGTTCCCAATACAGCAAGATGTAAATATTTCAAATTTATTAACATTTTAGCTTTCAACGAAAATAAAAAAATTACAGCAAATGAACGTCTCTATAGAGATGGGCTAGATATTCAAAAAAATAGAAATGAGAAGGCTGAAATGCTTAAGATTCAAAAGTTATAATAGGAATCCAAATAAGCTACATTTAAACCTTTGATATCTCCTCGATCTAAATTGATCACACAATAGAAAAAAAAAGTGAGTAAGCCAGAAAACAGTATCAATGAAGACGCTTTCCATGCTTAATAAAAGAGTTAAGTTTAAAATACTTAGAAATTATAAAATAGAACACAAGTTCAAACCTAAAAAAGAAAGGAGTCTCCCTTTTAGCCTAACAAATAGATTAATACAAGCAGAAATCGCTCTCAAAATAGGTCTGTAACACCAATTTATGAAAAGTTATTCAAATAAGCTTAGGAAGGTAAAAAAAAGAAGGAAGAATTTGCTAATTAAGAATTTCAAAAGATACATACATTTAAACCTCAAATTAATAATCCAACTACTAGTGTAGATCATGAGAATTAAAAAATTCTTGTTTAAAAATTAGTCTAAGAACATGATGAGAAAAGACAGAGAATTGAAAAGAAAAGGTAAAAACTCTAAATTTAATTTAGGCATCAAATGTAAATGTAAAATTAACCTACTTTCCATCCTAAAATCACCAAAGATTAAACATTTATTAAAGTTAGCAAGCAAAGAGATTATGAAGACTCTTAACTAGCTATTGATTTATAAAAAGTCCAATCTCGTCTAGGTAGCAAAAACTCTTTTAGTTCTTCTGAAACCAGAATTTAGTCACAATAAAGTGAACAAACCTTTTTTGATAATTAAATGATTAAAATTTTCAATTTATTAGATGGAGACAAGGATGGTTATATAAACAAAGACAATATCGACTTGCATAAAATAGATATAGATACTTTAGAAATAATTAAAGATGTCCTAATTTATATAGATGATAATAACATAGTCGCCGATTAGAATTCATTTAAAAAAATATGTTACACTAACGGATTACAAGCCAAATTCAATAAATCCTGATAAATTTTTCATTTTTCGAGATATTTATAATAATAATATATATTCCTCTAAACTCAATATGTTCATTAGACAAATTCTGTTTATAATTTTATGTATAAAATAATTTAACCATCATAAGAAGAAGAAATATATTTTGGTTAGAAATAAGGTCAATAAATTCAATAAGCTTAAGATGAATCATTTTATGAAGATATCTCATAAATACCAACTCAATTATAGAAAGAAGAATTGGAATAGATACTCGATCTCAAGCCTCATTTCGTTAATTCAAAGCTTCCTTAAAATTAACATAATTTCGACTTGTGGAAATCCATTGAATAGATCGAAACGAGAATTTAACTATAAGAACATAATTTTCAAAGAATCAATTTTGAACACCAAGAAGAAATTAAAAAACTAAAGAATGACCTAAACTAACAGAAACATTTATATGAAACAAAGATAGAAGAAATCAAATAATCAAGAATATAAAGCTCCAATTCTTAAATTTCCACTCCATATTCTTCTGAAAATAATCGAGAGTATAATTATCGTACTAATAAAAATTACACTGAAGTATCATAAGAGAAACATTATTTGCAATAATTAGTCCAGGATTTAAAATAACAAATTTATATTTTGTAAACAAAATCCTTTTCTGCTCCTAATTAAAATGACTTTTCGTGGGAATAAAAGACAAATTATCTAGAACAATAAGATAAAACAAATATTGATAAGATATGCCAACTTGAAACTTAAATAATTAATTAAAAGCTGTCCTATGAGAATGATATTTCAAAATTGAAAAAATAATTAGAGGAAAAAACTTTAGAAGAAATGGTGCAAAGAAATTAGGTTTAACAGTTATAACAAAATTTAAATAATTACAAAAATAAAGTATTATATTTAAAAATTTTAGTTTAATTAAGTATCTTAATAACTATAATAATAAAGTTAACAATATTAATCCTAAATTTATCAATTATAATTGCTATAATAAAAAAACTATCCTTTAGAAAACAAGAATCAGAGTTAATAATTATTAGAATTGACTGAGTAATTGTAAGCTTCTACGATGCTTCTTGAGAAGAAGATTTAAGAATGCGAATTTTATAAACAAAAAGTCTTGCAATAGTAAACCATTCATCAAAAATAATTCATTTATTCTCATCGTTAATCTCTAACGCCAACAACTTAGAGAATATCAACTTAAAATTAGACTGTGTTTTCAATTCCCAACAAATAGCAACTATTTTAATAATTTTAATGAATAATCATAAATAAAATTCTACTAATTAACTTAGATTATTAACTGAAACTCCTCATTTTTTATTCAACATATCATTTTTTTGATCTTACACTATGTTTTTTCTCTATCTATTTTAATCATAATTCATATTTGATATGCTACGTTTCTTAAAGAATTAACAAATATAGAACAAAAAATATGCTGAGGATAAACAATGTGAATAAAATTTTATATTGTGATGTACTTTTAAATAAATACACTTCATTTGGCTTATTGCTATTGCTATAGCTATTATTATTATGTTTATTAGATTCTAATGTTGGCATTGTATACTCTGGCAATATTAACTTCAATTGTAGTGATTTAATCTTTTAGAAACACTATGTCTTCATCCTATATCAATAAATGGATATACAAATTATCTAAGATTTGAGCTGGCATTTTCTTTATTGTATGATAAAAGTCCTTTGGCTTCATTAAATTCGAATTCAACCATGACATTAGCACCTAGCCAAAGGGCAACGGTCTTATTTTCTTTAGGTAAAACAGCTTTTGAATAAATAGTGTCTGTAATAAGAAAGTCAACAACTTCATCTTCTTTTTGGTGTTCCAAATGTTCCACTATACTCAAGGCTCTTTCAATTTCTGGTAATTTATTTTGCATTGATTCTCTTTACTTGACTAATTGTGCCTCCATAAATTTGTATTTGCTAAGCTCATATTAAATTAATTCTTACTTATATGCTTCCTACAAGCTTTCCATTAATCTTTAGACCGAGTTCTTGGAGATTAATTCATCAATATTTTCAAAGAAGATAGCCTCTGGGATTTTTCTATTGTTTTATGCCTGCTTTGTAACAAGGTCCATTTATATATTAATTATGATAATTATTTAATATATATATAAATTGACATGTCGAATAATTAAACATTCAAAGATTTTCCAAATTAAAGTCATATTGAATTGAAATTTAATACAAAAGACCAACATGGACTTGAAAAAGAAGAAGCCCTACAGAAGTATAGAAGAAATGTAATCATAGTAATTTTGAGTTATTTAGATTAATTTACTTACAAAATTATTTGCATATGATGTAGACCAGCCAGAGTTGGAGAAATAAAACGATATCCTTTAATCCGAAAAACAAAATGGATAATATCAAATAAAAACCCACCTTTTAGAAAGCATGAGATCATCTCTAATTCATCTATAAAACAGACACAAAGAGACTATTGAAATGTTTAAAAAAAAAAATGAGTTATTTAAATAGAGAATCAATGAGGACAATAAGATAAACACTTAGGAAGAATTTCAATAGTTTATTAACGAATTGTAATCTGAAGATTTGCTTTGTGATTCCCATCCATTTCTAGATAAAAAATCCTCATTTTTCATGCAAACTAATCTATAATAACCTATTTAAGTATAAATTTGTGAATTATTCATTTAGATTAGCTAAGACTAGTGTTTAGAGTTAAAAGAATAATTAAAAGATGATTAATGCATTTTATTAAGTTGACTTATAAATATTTATCTACAAATCAATTACAAAAAACTTGCAATTTGCTCTTCTTAGTAATTTATTGTTAACATCATAAATAAATATATTATTTTTGAGTACTTTACTACTACAATTAATTTTCCCTCCTTAAATTAAAATAATTTTTTAGAATATAAATTCTATTTTAATATAAATAAATTATGTAAATAAATGAACCCAAAGCCATTCTGTTTAATAAACTGTATGAAAGAGATGTTTGCATCAGATGTATATTGAGACTGTTCAAAATTACAGAGATAAACTTATATAGAGAGACTAAAGGATTCATTTAATTACTATTTGATGTCGGAAAATTGATTGGGAATGAGAATGTAAATAATTGATTAATTATAAAAGAAATTAGTAGAAGATTATGATCTCTTATTCTATAAAAGAAAGGCGGAGATTGTGGAATCTGATGTATTACCTTTGACTTGTCACTCTTCATTAAAGGATTAATTCATTAAGAATCCCTTTCACATCTTTGATAAAATTAATAAATGTGTGATATGTTAAGGAATATTGTAATGTTTGGAGGATTAAAAATTCTACGCAATGTTAGTAGATGAGATATTATAAAAACAATATTAATATGAAGCATTTAAATTGTAAGTGAAAACTCCTGTTGGCTAATAAATCAGATAAATACTGATAGTGAATGAATGCATTTCAGAGATTGGCTAGAATGATCCATTTTATGAATACATCAGTACTTCAAATGTTGCAATAGACATTAAGGCTTGTGTAAAGTGGATTATGTGTAATCCTTTAAGTGAGTCACTAAAAGTTCCTAGTGACATAAATGATGATCGATTTTAAATTAGTTTAAATTTTGAGAGTATTGGAGATGATGTTAAATAATTTGAATAATTCAAAGACATAATTTAAGAAATAGATGATCAAAAATGGTAGGAGAAAATGATTAAGAAAGTATAATTATATTATAACAAAGTTAAAAATGAATGATCCTTAATTGAAGACAGAAACTGAAAATCGTTTATTGTAAAAGAAAAATCAACAATCTTAAACATTTTTGCCTACTTAAAATAATTTGGAGAAAATATCGAAATTAAACAATGCCTAATTATCCTAATTTAAAATAATTAATGTGAATTATCCAGTTAAGTTAGAAGTGACAACCAGTTATTAGAATATTTTTATCTAAGGAAATTACATCAAATTAGGGAGGTACATAAGCTAGACTCCATGGTATATAGGTGGAAATAGAATTTATGAAGATTCTGTTGAAGATTTGGTAAGTGCCGAAGCATGTAAGATATTTAAGTCTTCAAGTGTAAAGTTTCATTCTGGAGGCAGGGAAGATATCGATGTAAGAATGTTAGGGAATGGTCGACCTTTTGCTATTGAATTAGTTGACCCTCATCTTGGACTATAGAATTAGACCTAAGAAATTCTTAATCAAATAGAATCTAAGATCAATTCATAAAATGTTGTAAAGGTTACTCCATTAACTTTTACCGATACAAACATCTTTGGAGAATTAAAGAATTCTGAAATAAATAAGGTTAAAGCTTATTGTTGTGTGGTTGAGTGTAAAAATATCATCAATGGAGATCTTGTCTAATAAGCGAATTAAATAAAAGATTTAGTCATAAAATAGAAAACACCAATCAGAGTTTTACATAGAAGAACTTAAATGGTGAGAGATAAGATAATCCATTCGTTATTGATCAAATAGATTAATGAGAAATGGCTTTAGGTTTATGTACTTAGCAGTGCTGGTACTTACATAAAGGAATTTATTCACTCAGATCTGGATAGAACTGTTCCAAATTTATGTTCATTACTACAGAATGAATGCGATATTTATTAATTGGATGTGATCAAATTGTATGAAAAAATTGATGAAGATGTTATTATTAATTTTAAAAGTATAGATGCAGAATGTGGAAGCAAAGTTTGAATATAAATAAAAAAATATTTTAGTTTTTAATTACTTTAGAAATTTTCATTATTTAATAATAATATAATTTTTAATAAGTTGATAAAAGGATTTTGCTAAAATATGGTTTAGGTATTTCATCAAACTTCAGTGAGTGTCTGAGAATATCATCTAGATGATATGGTTTCAGAATAAGTTATTGGATAAGGATTAATTCCTGGAAATGTAACATACTTCTATCAAATATACCCATAGTATTATTTATAAAATAATTTGTTTTGCCTCTAGCAATATTGATTAGTAAGAAAAAGATGCATTAGCTGATTGTAAGTAATTAATATATAAATAGAATTTCGCATGATGGTATTAGAAAGAAAATAAAACAATGTTCGTAATCTAATTACCTAAGAATTAGAAACGCTATATTCGAATAATAGCGTCTGTCACTTTGTTATAAGAATCCCCCCTCTAAACTACACGCTTGAAGCTTAATTTTATCTTAACCCTGTTTTTGAATATCATTATCCTAATATAAATGATAATATTAGATTGTTTAATTGGTAGGTTGATGAAGAAACTTTAGTTGTTTTTGGAGAACACTTTGAAGTTGGATAAATGGAAACTTATTAATTAAACCAAACTTAATTTATAAAGTATTCTACATTATTCATGCTAAGATAAACATTCCTTTCAGATTAATAAATGTTACTAACTGGATACATCCACATTTAATTGCTTTATGGGTCAATAAATATTCAAGGATAATTCTAATTAAACGATTTTAAAAATAGATACAGTTTCTAATTGCTATTCTGACTTATTTTTTATTACTAAACTTCAATTGTCACAATAAAAGTTTAGTAACAAAAGATCCGTCAGAAAAGCAAAAGATGGTTCATAGCCACTTTATAAGATCTTATTATAATGGTTAAGAATGGTTACCTGAACCAGAATGTAATCCAACTAAAGTAAATTACTCAACTATGCATTTCTTAGATAATTGATACAGAATTAGAAAAAGAACCAATTACTTATAATGATGTCTATTAATTTAATTAATTTCAAAATATGTATGCTAATTTAGACTCATTGGAATTGAGCCTGCACTTTCCTGATTAATTATACCAAAGTTCATCAACTTGAATTGAATGATTAAATAAAAGTGGATGACTTTTTCCGTGAACTTCCAAACAATAAAGCTTATCTTTTGTCGTATAATGATTTATTAGAGTAAAGAATGGATTTGTAGAAATTACAGTGAATTACCCAGTTGACATAAGACATTAATAGTTGTAATTAATTGAAAAACTACACTTAATTGATTAATATGGCATTAATGTTATTGAAGAAGTGATTGATTTACTAATGTGAATAAACATATAAATATAAAATAATATTTAGCTTTCAATTTAAATATAAATAAAAATTCATAAAAAATATTTTCTTTTTGCAACTGTTTGTTACGTTTAGATTTATTTAATATTTGTTACATCACTATTTTTAAATATATCTGCTTCAGAAGGCCTTATAGTATTTATTTTATTATGATCATTTATGAGTGATCCTTATGAATTCTAAAATTTATCTTATTGAGATCGAATGCTCGATAATTTGAAATACTTTTCAATTTGTTCAATAGATCCATTTAACTATTAAATTACTAAATCGACCTTGAATGATGGTTTTTCATTTGTGATTTTTTAGGTCAGATGAAAAAGCAATCTATCAAGTTTTTCATAAATCTTATGTAATTCAACTAATCGCTTCTCTTCCAAAGCAATATTTGGAGAAGTGTTCTAGGACAAATCCAACTTCTCATTCATATCCTTGATTGTTCTTAATAAGTTATAAAATAGATTACTTTTCATAATATTCTATGTCTGCTTAGAATTTAATTTCCAATGCATGATATTTACCACTTAATTCTTATCTTTCTTACAAGAGTAATGACAACTCATTGTTATCAAATTTTAACTATTCCATAACCTTTTCTGATTCATATTTAACTTGTTATAGAATATCGAGTTCTTCCAATATTTATTATCTCTCATTCTACAGTTCATTATTTGTTTATTTCAACTATTGAATTTCTTATAAAAATAATTCTAGTTATTGTGAGGATTCCTGAAATTCTTTGTTTCTCTACTAGTATTCTTTTTGCAATAATTCATATTTTTATTAGAATTGCTGATGCTTTTCATTCAATGCTCCAAATTATTAATGAACCTAGACTAATTGATTAAATTCTTTTGACATTTCTTCATTTTATTTTAAGATATTTTCTAGTTCTTGTTATTACTTTTTGATTAATTATTCTTTTTCATTCATCATTCTATCAGCTTCACAAATTTGTCTTCCTGTCTTTGTCATATTACTTTCAATTTCATAATTTAATTATTCTAGATTTTCAATACGACTTTGTTATTCCTCAGTTTATCTAAATTAAGTCTACTATATACTTTTTTAGTTATGACATTTAGTAAACACTTTAATTAAATTATCTACTTAATTCTCTATTTGCTTATTCGCATTCTAGTAACTTATTATTAGCTTCAGTCAATTATAATTAGAAACTCATGATTTCTTTTTATTTATCAGATATATTCTTTTGCAATTACTAAAATAGGCATAAACATATGAAATACTTTCTTAGAATTCTCTGCTGAAACAACATCATTCTTTTTCGATTATAATTCTTCTTCTAATTTACCAAGCTTTTCTTAGATTTATATCATTTTTTTAATTTATTCATTTGATGTTTCCGATTGTTTCTTTCTCTCTTAATTCTCAAATTTCAACTTTTCGATTTACTGATTTAATTAATCAATTTATTCTTTTTGTTACTCAATATGGTCAATCAAAGCGTCTTTTTCCTATTCCTATTGTTAAATCGTCGAATTTGCATGAGTTATGTTCTTCATTGCTTCTTACATAGATTGTGATAGATCTTCATTTTATTATTATAATTCATTTTCATGTTTTTTCATTAACTCATTTATTTAATTTGATTATTTAAGTTAATTTTCTAAATGTTATATAATTTGATCTCTCTATTTAAATTCATTTTAGATTGTTTACATCTATACTTTGTTGTGTTATAGTTCTAAATAGATATCTATAGCATTCTCATTTCTTTTCTTGTTTTTTGAATTAGTTATGAACACTCCTTAATTATACAATTTTTTCTCTAATTCCATTTTTATAATGTGATTATAAATTCTTAATTATTCCGAATTCAATCTTTCCTACATCAATTACTGTTCCAACTCTGCTACTGTACTTTATGGTTATTACTAGGATTATTATTACTAACGTTGTTGTTACTGTGAGAGTTAGGACATCTAGGATTGTTGAGATTATTGCACAAATTGAGGTAATTTCGATTCTTGAACTGGTGTTTTAACTGGACTTGAAGGTTGTAATTGTTATTTCTTTGAACTGTCAGGTCTTATTATCTGTACAACTTTTGGCATATTTTAATTACTAACTTACTATTTTGGTTGGAGAACTTGATTTTATTATTAATCCTGTTCATTGTTAACTAAGATCAATGGTCCTTTCTAGAAATTAGGAGAACTTACCGATTGAAATATACGATTTGTATCTTAAGATGCTAAAGACGATTTGAATTTATAATTACATGCACTGTATACAAGAGATTCTTGAGTGAATCTCTATTGTTATTATGGGATTTGTTGTTGATTTGGTTTGGTTGGAGTTGGTTGATCTCTCTCCGAATGCTCAGATGGCTGATATTCATAACCCTCATTCTCAAAATTGATTTAAGACATTAAATTTATTTATTAATAATTTTAAGGTTCCCCTTAACGATCTTTTTATTTGTAAAATTTATAGATATCATTCATCGTAAATAATATGTATCTCTCCTGAACCTCCGCAATCTGATGATGCCACCACAAAAACCATGTTGGTCCAACAATCTATTTATAGTTCTGCTTGAACAGGTTGATTATATGCTTTATTTTTTACCATTTAAATTAGACCAGTGGCAGGATTTACTGTTAGGGTTAATTGATCACCTCTGTTAAAAAAAGGAAATTTGGAGGCCAAAAATAATTTGTGTGGTTTGCTTGGATCCAATTCAACAGATCCTGTTTCACACACACCTATTTAAAATGTCTATAATATTTGTTGTTGGATGCTAAACGTTATTGATTTTGGAGGCTTAAGAGGTCCCTCCTACAAACGAGGTCCTATTAGAGCCAATCTGGTCTTATTTGTTTTATTGCCTGTATTTGGGGGCACTAATAACCTAGTTGGACTGATTAATTTGAATTAAGAATGCACTTATTTAAATGTAAATGGATTGAGAAAAGTTTTCGATAATTAACTGCTAAAAGTTGATATAAATAGTTATCTTTGACTTGGACTAACATTCATTGCAGGAGATGCGAACATTGATTAAGTCCCAATAAAAGGTTCAACATTGGATAATTTACGCGATATTGAATTATTCTACATTGTTTGATTAAACTCCTCTATTTGTTATTGTATTTATGAAGTCATATCCTAAAGTGTTTCATCTAAAATGAGAAGTCTCTTATCTAATTTTTAATTAAAGAATGAATGCTCCTTTTGATTGCATGTTTATAGCAATTCATCATTTTAGAGTAATAAAAGGAGAGAAGATTTGAGATTATCAGATAATTAAACTTATCTATCCATTTAAGTAACATCTTTTATTTTTGTTTCTGCTTTAGCCTCGCTTGTGAGATGCCTAATTATTCTCTCTATTTCATTCAATTTCTAGTAGTAAGTCTTTTATAAATTTTATGATTTCTAATCTCTTTCATTAATCTGAGACTCCAACGATTGTAACAGATTATTGAACACATCTGTAAATTATTGTAATTTATCTTTTATTAACTGAGTTTTCTATTAAGGTTATTTCCATTCAAACATTATAAAATTTGTTAACAAATCTGAAGCTCTCTTCATTGACATCATTTATAGATGGCTATCAACCTCTATGCATTGTGTACAAATAAATGAATCACGAAAGTTGCATTTCATTTTAATCATTTTTGCCTTCTCTAATGGATGGCGATGGCATCGTTATTATTCGATAAATTATAATACATATTCATTCAACGATTCCATTTTATTTTTATTATTTATATTTACAAATAAATAATTTTCTTATAAATTATCAGTCTCATAAACAGAATTTATTCATAATAATCAAATTAGTTTGCATATTTATAATCATAAAAATGGATCTAATAAGTTATCTACAAATCCTTAATATTATTTAGATAATTCTAATAAGTGGACTTCAATAAAACGCATTTAAATACTATTATAAGTACATCTATATATTCTATAACGTAATTTAAGAAAATAATAAATTAAATCACATCATAACCAAATTGGAAGGTTTTAATATTTTTAATACTTGCCAAAATGTTTTGTATTCAAATTATAAATACTATATTATTAATAATTCAATTTTTGTTTAGCATGCAATTATTGATAATTCTAAGTTCTTCATTTTAATTTTATTGATGTGAATTATTAAAGTTAATTAATAATATTATATATGATAATACAATATACAATTGTGGCTATTCTATTGATTTTCACTTTGGCAAAAAGAATAATGCTCACTGAAAATTTCAATTCATTAAAGTTTAATTCAACAGGGTGGAAGTGTTTGCCCAGCAATATTGATTCTTTAATATACTTATGTAACAACGGGATGAATTTAGTTAAATTAAGTCAGGAATGCAATTAAATTGGTAAAACTTTTATCGATATTCCACCACACTTCAGTCTTTAACTTTATGTGGATTTCATTGCTTATAGGTCTATTGATGTAAACGAAAAAGCATTTATTAAAGTTGATAATACCAAGATTTACACTTATTATAATTAACAAGCAGGAAATCTTTATTATAGCAATTAATGTGAAACATCCAATGAAAAATTTAGTATGATCACGGCTATTTAGGAGTTCACTCATACAAGTACTTAATTAACAATAGAATTCTCAACTAGTTTAAATGAACCATTTTGGAATGAAGGTTATCCTTTCAGAAATTTATAATTATTCATTAGTTAATGCCATTATACTTGCAAGACATGTTCGAGTGAAGCTTATAATTCATGTTTAAGTTGCTTCACATTGAATCCCTCGCCTACCCTCTGGTAATGCCAAACCTGTAAAGATTAATAAACCTTAAGATTTTTATTAACAACTCAAGGATGCTTGTAAGAATGCCCTGATGGTTACAGTTATGATTAAGAACTTGTTTGTTAAAGAAATATAAGTAAAAATTTAGTTCTAAATAGAATTATTAACTCTTTCAAATCTAAATTAAATTCAACCCATGATTTCTTAAGACTTCCTTTTGATTACCTAAATTAATTTAGCATTAAGATCTCCTTTGGTTTGCAGTGCTACTGAGTAGTATTTACCATACTATCTAAATGAAATTTTATACCAAGTTCTAAACTTAGGCAGTTCATCAGTAGCCATTAGATTAAAAGTCACTATAATTTTAATAGGGACATGGATAGCAGATAATTCTGTCTAGATATAACTTAATGGTGAAATAATAGATACTATCAGTTTCAATAACTTGATAGTCACAACTTAAAAAAGTGTGATATTGTATTAAGATTAAATCAAATAAGTGTGCAATTTTAAAGATGTATTTAAAATACGAGTCGAGCTTTATCAAGTCATTAATCAATAAACTTTAAATCTTTCATTTAATGGGAATAATTTGATTGGTCAATCTTTGTCTTGGTCTATTTAAGATGTAGATATAGAATAGGAGGTTTGTTCTCTGAATTGCAATTCATGTTCTAATAGATATAATTGCAATACTTGTATCCCATCCTTCTATTTGCATAAAGGCTAGTGTATTGTAAATTGTCCCTCCTTTTCAAGAAAAGTCGGTGGCTAATGCATCGATTTAGATGAAGAACTAATTGATTAAAAGAATTCAAAAATAGAATATTTAGTAAAAGAATTTTATGATGTTTCAACAACATAAGAGAGAGTAAATGAGTTATTTAAATTGGTTTCTAATAGTGCTAATAATTTTGCAAAAGGAGATAACATTTACTTCTCATATGTTCCAGATAAGAAAGTTTTTGGAGGAGCATTAGTTTGGATAGATGCAATATTTCAATTATAATTGGAGATTCCAATGTATTATCACTAAGTAAGAGTTAAGTTTCAAGTAATTTTGGGAGATGATTTTAATACTGGAAGCTTCGTATACAAAATTAATAATAAGAGTGATGTAATATTAACAAAATCAACAGCGAATCCAATATAAAATGTTTAAATTTGGGGTGATTCATAACCAGATTATGTTCTTTAAGTGGACGAAACAATAAAAAATGATGAAATTTATTAAAGGCAATTGATAATATAATTCAAATGTAACAATCCAAATCAATAGGTAAATAAATAGTTCTGTGCCATATAAGATTTATTCATAACAGCTGAATATTATTGCACAAAGGAATATAGATTTGATATATTTAATTATCAGAATGGTTTGAATCCATGTGTTCCTATATGTGGAGATGGGTATGTAGTTGATGAAGAATAGTGTGATGATGAAAATCTAGATCCATTTGATGGATGTTTCAATTGTTAATATTAATGTGAAGAATTTTGTTAATACTGTGTTTAGGGTAAGTGCTTATTAAATTTGGAAGGAGGATATGAAAACTAAATGTTTTTAGAAAACATAATATTATAATAAGAGATTGTATACTATAATGATAAAATTTATAATGAGTGCTAGATAGAATGTTTAATTTGTCATAATGGAAATTGTTATCAATGTATGGAAGGTTATATATTAGACGTAATCACATAGAATTGTTATATGCTTATTATAGGTTGTAAGAATGTATAATCATATTGGAAAGAAATTTAAAATTATGCTAAAATAAGTATTTGTGAAAGTGATATCCCATATTCAAAACTAGACAATATTTATAAAGATCCAGATTATTAATGTATAAATTGCTTATCTTTTGAATATTAAAGTTGCAATAATAAATGCTCATTTTGTTATTAAGGATTATGTTTTCAATGCCAATCTGGATATACACTTTATAATAACCTAGATTGTGTTACTATTTGTGGCGATGGTCTTGTTAATAAAGATAAGTTGAGCATTGAAAATAATGAAGAATGTGACAATCCTTATATTGAAGGATGCCAAAATTGTATGATACAATCTGGATATACATGTATTTAAGAAGATAACTCAGTTTGTTGGACTTGCGATGCGAAATGTTTGAAATGCATTAATGATAGCAATACTTTGTTATGCCAACAATGTATTGATGGTTATTATGCTGTAAATAGTGTTTGTTACATATGTGATGATAATTGTTTAACATGTAAAGATGATTCATCATTATGTACTTCATGCTTTAGAGATGATTGCTAAAAATGCGAAGATATTCCTGGTTTGTACACAGATTATTAAATTAAGAAATGTGTGCCATAATGTGGAGATGGCATAAAGATGCAATTTTACGAGTAATGTGATGATGGCAATATAATTGATGGAGATGGTTGTGATTCTAATTGTAATTCAGAATTTGCCTAAGATTTATATTCGATTGAAATTCAACGACTTAGTGGAACAAATTCGAATGATTTAAATATTATTCATGATTCCAAAGTTCAATTGGATTGTTAAAATACAAAAGTTACTATTGAAGGATTCGATTAGAAGGAGTTCCTCTATAAATCTACTATTAGTGATAGTGGTTGTCAAATTTCATTCATATTTTTTAAATCAATACGAAAAACCAATATGATACATATCTATATTTAATATCGAGAAGTTTAAACAAGAATTCTTACTGATTAGTACTAATAGTAGAAAGAAATTTAAGTGAACCCTATTGAATAAATAATTTTAGATGATAGCCAAAAATCTTAAGCTGATGCAATTTCTAATGCACAATCGAGTCTATCTATACTAATTTGGATTCTGGCACCACTTTCAATTCTTTTCGGTTTATTTGATTATTTATGGGCTGTCCTTGAAATCCTGAGTTGGATTAATAACTTTTACTTTTTCAACGTTAACTTCCCTTTCAATGTTTAAACCTTTTTTTTGAATAGCGATTGGTCATCTATAATAAGCTTTCCAACCTATTAAGATTTGAATTAACCAGGTTGTGATTACTATTTTGAGTCTCCCCCTAGATTCACAGAAAAAGGAGTTGATCCATTATTCCTTAATAATGCCTAAGTGCCCATCTTCTTTATATTTACTTCAGTTTTACTCTATTTCGCCAGCTTTTTAATTTTATCATTATTCAAATTTATTGATTAGGCTACACTGATAAAAATACCAATCCATAATCATTCAACTTTTTGTATTTAAAACTAAAAGGATATTCACTTGCATCGCTAAAATCAACCCTAGTTTTTGATTAAATCTAATATTTATATTGAGTTTATTGTATAGAAGCTGATAATCATTTCAAATAAGTTTTAAATTAGAATAAAATAAACAATCACCTTATGCTTATTAGATTTAACGATGGCAATAACCTTACAATTAATCTATGGTAAACAATTTCAATACAGCATGATATTAATTAATACCATTTTAGCATTATTATTTTGTTGTTTAATTTTTTACTAACTAAGACAATCCTATTTCGTAATAGGCATTCATAAAAATCTGGCTGAATTTCCACCTTTTAAATTAAAATATGGATGCTATTATGAGAATATCAACATAGACAATGCATTTGGACTTAAATTTAATTTCTTCGGACTCATTCGAAAGATTACTTACATTATTTGCATTGTTTATTTTTATTACAATCCTCTTTTGCAAACTACTCTATGTTTCATATCATGCTCTTCAGGAGTCTTATTGTTACTTTACTCTAATCCATTTGAAAGTAAAGGACAATTTTATAAATAATTAATTTCAGAAGCAGGATTAAGTTTGATTACTTGTGTTACTATTATACTTTCTATTGACGATATATTAAATCAAATGGAAGAAACAACAAAGATTAATTTAGGTTGGGTGATTATATCATTAGTCATATTATGTGTTTTATGCGAAATCTTAACATTAATATTTGAAATTTGTAGACTACTTCATGAAATAGGAATCTAAATGATAATATCAATATTGAATAGAAATAAAACCAATAAGGAAATTGAAACTAAAGCTTAAATCTAAGAATCAAAGCTACCAGAAATAATATTAGCAAATAAATTATCCTTTATTAACCATGGCCAAATTCATCAAATATTCATATGACTTTGTATTTAGTATTATATATTATATATTAACTTTATCTAAAATTTTAAAATATACCTTAATCAATTGATTCAGGTGCAATTGAATAAATAGATAACAGAATTCTTTTAATAAAGTACTTATGGATTTATGTATCAGCAAAATATTAATAATATTTTACAAATAAAATAGCAAGGGATATATTTTTAATTTTCATATTTCTATATAATAAATTATACATTTTTTAAGGTATATATATATTTACTTTACTAACATATATATCTATGACTAGTGTTCGATATTTCGCTAATATGAATTAGTTCTATTTCGGAGGTTATCTTCAACTTATTTTAGCCTTATTATTATAATTGACTGCTTATAAGTATTTTAAATATATTATGATTGTTATTAATAATGTTAAAATTTTAAAGAATCTGTCTAAGATAGTTTAGTTAAAAAAAAATATTAACTGATGAGTAAATAAAAGAAGGTCTTAGACCTCTTTTAATGAAGGAGGGATACTTTGAAGATGATTAATATTTATATTACATTGATCGAGATAGCAGAGTCAGAAAAGTACCTAGAGAGTACTAAAAGAGAGAGTAAATAACATATTCTATGCCTTCTTAGTGGAATTTATAGAATTAAGTTTCTTGAACCTATATATAGATGGTGGATACGTAGATCACCAGACACTTAATTTGCAATAATTCCTTATTTTTTATCAGCTCTCTTCTTTACTGTGATATACAATGGAGCAAATTTCATTATCGAAAGAGAAGATCAAATAGTAGAGAAGGCTAAAGTAGATCCAAACTTTAATAAAGAAAATCTTGCAAGATGGAAGAGCGAAAAGTAATAGGAAAAGTGAAATTAATAACCATTATTATTATTATTTATCAATATGGATAAGGATGTTTCTCACTAAATTTAATGACACCTTCTATCTCTTTCATTACTCTAAGCACCATTTCTTCCTGATTGGGATATGAAATGACTTGAATGTTAACGGGTAATCCTTCAGCATTTTACATATTACGATTCATCATAATATAAACTAAATCAATAGTCCTTTCCTTGCCATCTATTTTTAAATCCTCTCCTCCTTGCACTCTTGTAATCGGCATACTTCCAGCTGGAACATCAACCGTATTCCACATCCATGTATACAATCTAATAATATAACAAATAAAGAAGTACGCTGCCAAAGGAAGGACCTTGGATGCTCCGTGTTTAACTGCTGGACAACCAAATCCAGGTACAATTACAGCATCAATTTAGTTTTATTTCAAATATTATAAAAATTGAAAATTCATTCTCTTTTGTTTTCCTGAATTTACCAAAAATTAATAAACGTCTAAACCATGAGTTTGTTTACTCATTACATATAAAGTTTTCTATCCAAATATCCTTAATAAAGGTGCCAAAATATATGTTTATAAAAACACAGGTATTTTTGTTCCTGTCTCCATTAATTCATACTCTTCAATGATTTTTTCACCTTTCAAATTTTCTCCAAAAGACTTAAATCCTCCTTCAGCTGCCACTAACCTTGGAAAAGCAACAGCTAATTCATGCTCCAATTCTGTATCCAAATTTATTTCAACAATTTCATGTCCTTTGTCTTTCAAAGCCTAACAAGCTTCCTTAACAGCTCTTTTCATACAATTGGGTGGCAATAGATCATTGAATTACTCAATATATCCTATTCTCAATTTATCCTTTTTAGCATTCTAAGTGAAATCAAGGTCTCGAGGGTACCAATAAGGATCTTAGATTTATGGTGGTAGTTCAGAATAACTCTTAGAATCAAATAAGACTCTTAACATAACTATTAGATCATCTACACTACGACCTAATGGACCCTTGGATGGCCGTATGTTAACCATTCCACTAGCTGCTTTTTCAATCACTCCTTCACCAACTTCTGTTTATCTAACCATACTTGGTTTAAAACCATAAACTCCACAAAATGCAGCTGGTATTCTTATGCTTCCACCAATATCTGAACCCATACCAATGACACTGCATCGAGCAGCTTGTAAGGCAGCTTCTCCTCCTGAGGATCCACCTACTGCTCTATCCTTATTCCAAGGATTAAGAGATCTCCCAAATATTCTATTAGTAGATTCAAAAGTCATTGCCAGTTGAGGTAAATTGCTTCTTACAAATATAATACCTCTAGCCTTTTTGATCAAAGATACTTAGATTCCATCATAGGTAGCTGGCTTATTCAATCGAGAAGCTAATCCGTAAGTGTTATCAAATCCTTTTTGGATGTAAGTGTCTTTAACTGATACAGGGATTCCAAAAAGATCGTATTTATAGATAATTTGAGGGATCTATAGAAATTTCCTAATCTTGTCTCCTATGTTAAATCACTCTATAAATATACTCAGCCTCTTGTATTGCTTCTATGAAGTTGACATCTGTGATAAGATTCAAGTTATCCGAGGTTGCTACTGACAATGTTCTATTAATAAATACTAGCAACACTTGTTTAACTGTGGCCTTTTTTTCAAACAAAATATATTTAATGTCAGAAATTGTGAAATTTAATATATCCTTTTCCAATTGAGCATTTAAACCTGTGGACAAATCATGTGATTATCTAAATTACTAAATAGATCTTTTGAGTTCCTCCCTCCTCTATTCACATAATTTATCATATTTTCTTTAAATTCTGTACTGGGCAACAAAGTTTGTCAGACCATAGAGTGCTAGTATCCCAAAAGCACCGAAAAGATACTTGTGTTCTTTTTTTGAGAACAAATTTTGTAATTTGAATTACATTAATATATATTTTAAATTTTCATAAGATATACTAATTAAGCATTCTTTTATAAAAAGTAGAGGCTTGCACTAAAAATGACATGCTTTAGAGCAATTTTAATTAATATTTAGATATGATAGTTATTTCATACAGATTTCTGTGATATTTAAATCGATAAAAGCAGATTGATTTTTTTATTAAATAAAATAATGGATTAGATCGAATATGTGAATCTTGAAAAGAAGCCATAGACTAATAAAAATAATTAAAGAGGAAGATAAAATAATAGACCAAACAAAAATGATAGAAATAGAAGAAACCAAAGAGATAATAAACCATTCAAGAATTAAAGAAAGCAATGGAGAAACAAGGATTAATAGAGATAAAAAGTAGATTATTTATTTTAATCTTTAAGCGTCCATTTCAATCTGAGAATAGGATTGTGGCAACTGGCCAAAAGAGAAGACAATTATAATAAAGAAAATTTACTTAAAGACCTAAAGCCCCCAGAAATATTTAACCAAATGTCATCATAAAAGGATTGGATCCAAAAATGACAGAAGCTGGTTTACAAGTATAGAAATCATTTCATCCTCCTTTAGGAAGCATGCAAAGATTTTGGCCCAATGAATATGTGTAAATTGGACAGAGATAACTTTGGATAAGTGAAGGTATTATTAATTATTAAGTTTTGAACAGCCAGAAGGAATTGGATTAGTTAGATTCACAAGAGTAGAAGATGCCAAGGCTTGTGTCGAAAAGCTGGATGGTGTTACTGTGTAAATCATTGGGGAGAACAACAATGTAAATCATTGAAATAATCTATAGGAAAAAGTAATATCTGCAACCTTCGTTGATGATTAAGAATAAGTTGACGATAATAGGAATAGAGGTGTATTGAACATTACTAAGAGATCAATAAATAAAAGGTATTGATTCAATAAAATTAAATAGAAACTGGAGAAGATGAATTTGAATAAACACAAATATGTTATTTTAAACAATTCAAAAATCAATCATTTAGATTTATTAATAAATAACTCATAACATTTTGATAATAGATTATGGATAAATCCTGAAAACAATTTATAATTTAGGAAATAAAAATACTCCAATTATCGGGGAGTTCAACTTATTTCTATATATTCGAGGCCTATTCATAATCTACTCTCTCACATTGTCCTGGTTTCAAATACTTTTTCTTAATAGTCAATTATTAAAATAGCCTCATTTTTGAATGAATATTAGATTTTTTAAATATTTATTTCGATACATTTTTAACTCAATCAATATCTGGCTAAATCGCTCAATTTCTAATCATGCTTGAATATATCACTCCACATTATTATTTTGATAATATTGTTTATCCTATAAATCAATCCTTAAATTATTTTACTTAATTAGATGATCTCCAAATCTCTAGAATTTCGATTTTGTTTTTCAATTTAAGTCAGAAAAATTAGAATATTTGCATGATTATAAAATTAATTATATAAATTTAGAATAATAATGCATATGATGAGGACTAGATGTAACAAACACAAATAAAATTATATACAATTCATTTGCCTTTAAGAGGATTGTGAAATTAATAAATTGGGATGTATTAGTTGTTTTCCAGATCATGATGGTCACACTAAACAAAATATGGAAATCTAACATTTCTTTGAAAAGATAACACAAAAAGATAGGGATCTTGAGTTAAAGTATCTATAACTAATTAATTCAAACTCAGCTAAGAAGAATAAGGAATAAATAATCAGATCTATTTAATAATAATGCAAAGCTATCTAAAGTAGGGCATTTAGTTTCATTGATCGTCACTGTGAAGCCTTAATAAACAGTGTTTAAAATAAGAATCTCAATGATTCAACTTCATAATTAAAGGTTAAAGGTTATCATGATGAACTTGAAAGGATAAAAAATAAATCAACTTATACGTTAGAGAATAAAGTAATTTAATTTATTATATAAAATAGGAGATTGAATTCCTGATTAACTTTGTTTTAACAAATGATTATTCAGAAATGATTGCAAGTGCTTTTCAAATAAAGGAAAAAAACATTTAAGAATTCACATATGACATTAATCAGATAGTCAATTCAATAGATTATTAACTTTCTGAACTTTACAATCAATTAGACTCACAACTTTCAGCTCAATAATTTGCCTCCTCTCCATCATTTGACCAAAAAAACAAAAGTTTTTAACACAATTATTCATTGACTCTTGGAATTTTACCAAAAAGCCCAAATAGAAATTCCACTAAAGGCAAGTCAAAATCTCCTCTAAGATAAACATCAACAAATCAATCAAGAATGAAGACTCCTGAATCAAACAAAAAACAAACTTATTCCATTGGATCCACCAGTAAAATTTAGATTTCAAAGTTCCTTATGACTTCTCCCTTAAAGGAGGAAGATGATTTTATCACTAAAAATAAAAATCTAGAATCCTTAATTACAAATGTATTAATGATCCATCTGCCATTCAAATATTTAAATGATCACTTAGTGTTCTTAAAAAACAATTATGTTGAGTTCTAAGATTATAATAGAATTACTCAATAGGAAAAAGTATAAATAATTGAAGAATCTAACTCTTAATTGCTATATGTTCTATGGGATAATTTAATGATTGAGTGGTTAAAACCTCCTCTCAACTTTAGTATCATTTAAATTAAAGTTTATGAAGTTGAAAATAACTTTAATTCTTTTCTAGAGCTATTTGATAAGCAATTAAAAATGCACGAATTCGTCGCTTATGTTATTAAATAGAAAATAATTAAACCAAAAGTTGATTATTAAACATGGTTCATTTTGGCTAGCAGAGCTACAAATTCATTTAAAATGTATAATATTAAGTCTAGTGGCAAGAAAGTAAATAGAGAAATGACAGTTGAAGATTAATCATTTTCTTGTGTTGATCAATTAAAAGCTGCTAATGTCTACGCTTAATTTCCAAAAGTAATTCAAGACCATCTAAACGGGAGCTTTTCTATTGATAAGGATCTTAAAATTATTATCAAAGGAATCATGGATCCAAACTTCTAAACATAACTATTAGCAGAAAGATTACAAGTAAAAATTAAGTTTATTTTAGATTATGTTAAATTTGGTTACAAATCCTTAAGTCGCTGCCAATCTAACATTCTAGAATATTGAGAAACACTTTGATCAAGTTTTGATCAATTTCAAGTATTTTATTAACTACCTAAATTTATCATTAAAAGATACGCTATAAAACTGATGTGTAAATATATAATCCACTTTAATAATCCTACATTATAAATCAATAATATATTAATTCTTATAGCAGCTTTCGAAATTATCCTTAATTTTATTTGTTTCTTGTTAGAAAATATTAATAATGATTAAACTTAGTTTATTATTATTATTAAATTAAAGTATTATGAAATAATAAATTTGATGATTTTTACTTTGAATTGTTCAATCAATAAAATTATAAGTAAATCTTATCAAATTGTTCTAGTTTTATAATTATATTACTTTTTAATCATAAAAATTCATTAACACTCAATTCATAAATGTAGTCTTCATTTACATACATAAATTATTTAGAATATATTGATAAAGTATGTCATTATACTTGTTTTATAAAAAAAAATAAATTATATAATAGAATGGAAGGTGCCTAATTGGTTACAAATCTTATTTCATCTACTTTATGTAAGAGTAAATATATATTATATGTCTATTAATATCCAATGTATCTACATTATAAATCTTGGATAATAGAAGAGTATTTTCTCTAATTAATTGATTTAGTCACTTAATTATACTATCAAATCTTGAAATCTTTATTTTTATATATTCTTTTAAGCAATAGCAAATAAATTTATTAGTTCTTTTTCATGCTGGCAAATCCTATAATTTGAATTCAGAAAGTAAATACTTATAGAGGAGTATGGATAATATTCATTCTATTTTTACTGTGAAAATTGAATTTTAATTATATAAATTAAATAATCATGTATGAGCTTCTTTAGAATGTGGATAACTATATTTAATTAGGTTTTGCTAGCCTTTCGATCCTATTCTTTTATATTGTTTATTAGACAGATGTAATTGGGAATTATAATTCTTAGACATTCATGATATAAAATGAAGAGAATTGGGATTACTTGAGATAGCAATATGCTCAATTGTACGATTCTTAGGAATTGGATAAATTTCATTTCCCGAATGAGATGGCTAGTTTTTGTTATAAAATTTAAGAAAAAATAACATCAATATAATGGGAATACATTTATTTCATTTGCTTATCAGGATTAGTTTTGATGCTTTATTCAGTATTTGTTTGTTCATATCCTAGTTTTTTTTTCTTGACAGCGGATTCTTATACTTCGGAATGAACATCATATTAGGAGGACTAACAATGTTTTACCTATGTTATTTTATAAATAACGTATATTTGGGAACTGTTGTAAAAGTTCCATTGCGAGTAATTTGTATATCAATCAGACTGATCCTCTGCGCTGGGCCTATGGTAATGGATTCTTCTTGAGTCTATTTTGTCTGGGAATGCTAATAATTTCAATACTTTTAGTCAATCAAATAAATAAGTTCGTTTTCCACAAACCAATAGGCATAGCCTATGTATTAGGAGGTACAAAACGTCTGATTAACAAGGCTCGCTATCCTTATATTTTAGAAGAGAGTAGCAATCAATCCTGGGAAGAAGTATATAGATAGGAACCGATCTTCATGTAAAAGACAACCTAGGATCAGAAGGTGTGATGGATGTAATTGGATATTCTGAAAAGTTAGCATCTATAATGGGTCATATCTTAAGTGATAACCATTTGCTAGATCTAATAATTGTATTGTTATTGTATTTCACATTGCCGAGAGTATAAATTAATTATTAATAGATTTTTTAAATTGGAGCTATGAACACTAATGTTTACTCAATAGTAATGTTAATCAATTACTTTGCATAATTTATTATTTCATTTTTCATTTCCTCCTTTTAATCAGAAGATATAGCTAAGAATGTCTTATAGAATGTGAGAACCTAAATTATAGCTGCTAGTCTTTTTAGTATTATCTCATTAATACTATTATACATCTACAACTCCACATATATGAGTATAGCTAGTTTTGGCCTCATAACTAGTATGCTACTCATAATCTATTTGGAATATGTTACTAATCATTCATTTCCCTAAGTCAGGAACATTGCTTCAGCAGCCCTGAATGCGCCTATGTTAAATATTATGAATGGCAATTTTCTAGGAGACATGGGTTAGTTATTCTTTGTTGGCTTAACAGGATTATTCATCTTCATTTCTAAGGAAATTGGTGGAGATGAGGGTCTTTATGCTTTTTTGACTGGATTAATTATGAATGCCATAGTTATGACATCTATATAATTTAGTGGTAATTCGATAATGATTGGCTTAAGATTCGCTTAGATTGCCTAGGTGGATTCATTGCCTTTAGAAAAAGTATAACTAAAATATATATAAAAATAGATCAATTTAGCTGCATGCAATTATGGTTTATATTTAAAAACAATTACGATTATTTGCTTGTTTTTGATCACAATAATATTTTTTCCTTTGTAAGAAATCTAGTGTTTTGCAGTGTTCATAGGACTCATATTGGCTTACTTTTTCAAAGGGATTTTTCTAAAGTTTGTTGGAACTTAGATTGTTAGATAATTACGAGGGTTTTATGAGGGAACATTCTTGGAAGGGCAAACTTACAATTTATGGGAATTAACTGGATTAATTGGTCTGGTAATATTAATTAATTATTATTCTATTAGCAATTTATTATTTTGAATTTTTTTAAATACTTCACTTCTAAGTTTGGAATGTATTCATACGTTTACAGTTACACATAGATTGTGTTGATTTTAAGTGCCAGAGCCATTATAACTGGGAGCAGTCTTAAGAATGTGAGAGTTCTTGAGGGAACTCTAAAGGAGAACAAGATAATTTATTTATCTCATATGTATGCAGATATTCAAGGCATAGCTATGGAAGAATCTCCAGCATTGCCTTAGATAGGATTTTTAGGGATATCAATCGTGCTTGGGTTAACAATTTGAATAATTCCAGTTTAAAATTTAATCGAACTTTTATTAAATGGATATTTAATATTTATTATATTAATTCTTCTTTCTCCTCAGTTTTCACTTACATCATCAGAACGAATGTCATCTCAAATTACGAAAAAGCCATCTTTAAAGCTCTAATTAAACAAGAAGACATTGGATACTTTGGCTAAGGAGAAAACCAACATTCCTCCTAGTTCCAAATGCTCTCAAAAGACAGTCTCCTCTATTAACGTAAGATATAACCTTAATAATCAATTTAGACAACTAGCTGCACATCTTCATCTTCCAAATAAAACTACCCATGTAAAGAATCAAAGTCAAATCCCTCCAAAAATTCCGATTAACATTCATAATTAATTCAATATTTGCTCTAAGAAAATATAGAATTACAAAAGCAGAACTAAGACAAGGATTAATTGATAAATTTCTTGAGTACAAAACAATCCCCCAAGAGAAGATCAATTTTAAATACAGAAAGGAGCACTGAAATCAAATCTTAAAAACTTCCTTAGATTTCATAGGCTAAAAATTCACTAGAGATTGATAAGTATTTATTTCTTTAATTTCAATACTAGTTTAAACGAAGGAGTCTAAGCACCATTTTGTTTTACATTTTGTCAATAAGATACTCAGAGTTAATAAAGTGTCAGAAATAAAAAATTGCCCAAAGAATTTTAAATTGTACCAAACAAAAAAAGATATTTTGTATGATTATAGAAAGTTCATCAATGATGATATTATATTTCAATTTATTTGTGTTTATATTCATAACAATTCAAAAAGTAATAACCCTCTTCACTTCATATTAAATTAACATTTATTGCCATCGTTTTTTTCTCTTAATCATAATTGAAACCAATGTTACTGCAGCTCAAATAAATAATTATTTTTGAATCAAATATCTAGAAATTACAATGTGTCTCGATCTTTGAATCTCTCAATTCTTTTTATAGAAGATATATCGATTGTCTAACACAATTGCATGATACAATTCGAGGAACCAATAAAATAAGTTTAAATTTCTTTATAAAACTAATATAAAAACCAGCATATGATTTAATAAGTGTAACAATGTGGTGATATTTTCAATTAAAAACTTTAACATATATTCAACTTTTCAAGAAATAAGATAAGACACGCAATTCAGACAACCTCCAAGAACAATTTCCATATTCCTATTGATCATATTGAATACATTAAAATATAATGAGGTTGTTTATTCAAATATTATATAATTTTTTATAAATGAGAAGTTAATAAAGTAATATTTGTTTGATTATATCATATTATTTCTAATTACAAATCTTATGATATTGATTTATAAATGCAATAGGAATAGATCATAGATTAGCATCATTTTAGATAAAAATAAACAATTGTATTAAGATTTATTTAATAAAATAATGTGATCGACTTTAACTTAATATTTTCATTCAATTAAAAAGGAGGGATTCCTCTTCTATTAATCATCTAACTGCCTTTTTTGCAAAATTGTGCTTCAAAAGACTATAATTTAATATCCTTTTTAATGGAAGATTTGATATTTTTCATGTTCTTTTGTTTTCATAAATAAAATGAATTAAGAAATTTAATAATTTAGAGCCACTTTACCAATAAATGAATTCAAATAAGAAATTTTGAAATAGACTTTGGAAAATACTTTTATTATCATAACTGGTGACACTGGTTCAGGTAAGTCAACTCAATTACCATAATATCTATTGGATGATGAGAATTTCAGATTAAGCATTTGTGAAAAGAGAAAATAGTTTTTGGAGGAATAAGTTGAGGAGAAAGAGTAACCGAAGGTTTAGGGATTCTTGTCTAAGAAGTAGAAGCCATTTGTTCCAGAGGACAGAAAAAATTCAACTGATTTAAAGATTGTGGTAACACAACCCAGAAGGATGGCTGCTATATCAATGGCCAAAAGAGTAGCATTTGAGAGAAATGTATAACTATATCTTATATATCAATTAATAGCAAAACTTAGGCAGTGAAGTTGGATATTCAATAAGATTTGACAATTCCACTACTAATACTACTTAATTAAGATATGTGACTGATGGTATATTGGTGAGAGAATGTTTGTAGGATAAGGATTTAACCGGATATGATGTTGTAATTCTCGATGAGGCTCATGAGAGATCCCTATATACAGATGTTCTATTTGCATTGGTGAAGACAGCTGCAAAGAGAAGGAAGGGAAGTTTAAAAGTTATCATAACATCTGCGACACTAAACATCAATATCTTTAAGACCTATTTTGAAGGTTGTCCCTATGTCAAAGTTCATGGTAAGTCATTTCCTGTTGAAGTGAAATATTCTGAGCATAATATCACTTAATAAAAAAGAAATCATGATGCTGTGAATGCTGCCATCAGAATGCATTTGCATGAAGGTCCAGGAGATATCTTAGTATTTCTACCTGGGAGTGAGGATTGCGAAGTTTGCAGAAAATTTTGTTATGAGAGATTAGCAGAAGTGCTAAACTCTGGAGTTGAAGTCCCAAGTGTATTATTATACACATTGTATGGCAGTCAGACTTCTGAAGACCAGAGTCAAGTATTTTAAAGAGCTGATGAACATACTAGAAAAATCATATTCTGTACAAATATAGCTGAAACTTCTTTGACTATTGATAATATTGGATTTGTGGTAGATACTGGTTATGTTAAATAAAAAGTGTATAATCCAAGGACTGGCATGGACTCTCTCATCATTTAACCTATATCTAAGACTCAAGCCATTTAAAGAACAGGTAGAGCAGGTAGAACACAAGCTGGAAAGTGTTATAGATTATTTTCTAAATAGTTTTATGAATCACTTTCAGAGCACACAACAGCTGAAATCATGAGAGTTAATTTAGCATCAGTGATGTTACTACTTAAATCTATGGGAATAGATGATGTAGTGAGATTTGAATTTATGGAACAACCCACTCAAGAAGCTATTCTATAATCTTTGAGATAATTATATCTAATATAAGCAATTGATGAGGATGGATATATCACTCCTATGGGTTATGAGATGTCTAGATATCCGTTGGAACCAAGTTATGCAAAAGCATTAATCACTTCAAAATTGATGGAATGTTCAAGTGAAATGAGTGCTATTGTGGCCATATTGTCTACAGAAAGCATTTGGTAAAGAATTACCAGAGTAGATGTAGATGGATATTAAAAGTTACAAGAAACCCAGACTCAACATGCAGATCCTGCAGGAGATCACTTAAGTTTATTGAAAATATTTTCAGAATGGAGATAAGCAACATTTAACGAACAATTTGCTAAGGATACCCTTCTGAATTTAAGGTCTTTGAGATAGGCTGATAATATTCGCTAATAGTTATAATAATTAGTTGAAGGCACTAGTAGAAAGAAATGTTTACAGTTTTATGAATAGGATTATCTTTATAAATTGTTTAGAAAATAGAAGGATTCAAAGAAGTGGAATATCAATGAGAGTATTAAATTAGCATTATGTTCTGGATTTTATTTTAATACTGCTCGTAAGATGCATAATGGTGAAGATACCTACTTGATGGTGTATCCTGAGGGCACAGTTGTGGATACAGATCCATAGTCTGTATATACAGTGATCCAACAATACCCAGAGACTGTGATATTTACTGAATTGGGAGGTACATCGTAAGTGAGGGGAGTGATGAAATTGATTAGTGAAATCAATATAGAACTGGGTTAAACCCTACTTTTCAAATATGGTGAAGGTATGAAATGATTGTTGATTTTAGGTTGATCTATTCAAATTGGCAAGAATTGAATTCCAATAAAGAGGAAGAGATGCAGTGCATGAAAGAAGACAAAAGAAAATATAGGAATAAGAGAAGTAAAAAGAGTAGGAAGAAAAGGAGAAACTAGAAAAACGTTAATTATATAAGGCAAGATTCGAATAAAGAAAGAAGGTTAAAATGTGAATAGAATAATGTTATTGTTATAATAGATCATTCTTTAAAGACTGATAGTCTCTTTTATACTGATCTTTTGTTCTCGTGATTCTCATCATACACTGATCCGATTCTGATACTACTCTTACGACGTAATTTACTGGCAATTGTTTCATCTAAATTCTCTTCTTCAATGCCTTCCTCAGCAAAGATATTGATGCCATTAAACCATCTGGAAGGTAGAGTCCTTACAAATATGGCTACGATCATGCCACCCAATGCAAATATCCAACAGAATATATGTTACCACACAGTTAATTCACATACAACTGCGAATTTATCTCCAAATAGAATCAGAAGATATTGCACTGCTACTTCAATTAAATTTATCAACCAAAATAAGGAATTGTTGAATAATCCACTAAAAGGATTAAGAGACACTTCATCCAGTTTTCTGCAGCTGATCGAATTGCAAATTTACATCAAAACAAATGTTTAAAAAAACATTGTTAATCTTTATATTGGTCTGTCTTCATATTCCTTATCCAAGGAGTCATCAAAATCAAATATTCTATCTGGAATAAACAAGATTAGACACAAAATAGCAATTTGATATATACTAGCTCCAATAACTGTCCTGTACATAATTGAATTGACAATGCTCTCTCTTTTACCATAAGGTTTCCTATTTAGAAGCCTATCACTGGGAGGTTCAGTTGCCAAAGCTAAGGATGCAAAAGTATCCATGATTAGATTCACCCACAGCATTTGAATACTTGTTAAGGGAGCTTCCTTTGTAACAGCTGCTCCAAGCACACTCATAAACAAAGCCACAACATTGACAGTCAATTAAAACTAGATGAATTTACGAATACAATTATAAATATTTCTTCCCCATTTGCATGCAGTGATAATAGAACTGAAATTGTCATCCAATAAAATGATATCCGCAGCATCTTTACAAACATCTGTCCCTGTGATACCCATAGCAAATCCGACATCTGCCTTTCTTAATGCAGGAGCATCATTGGTTCCATCTCCAGTCACTGCAATCACATTATCTAATTATTTCAATCCTGTTGCCAATATAAATTTATCTTCAGGAGTTGCTCTTGCCAATACTTTTAAATGAACCACAATTTCTTAAAATTTTAAGAGATCCTTGACTTCTTGCACTTCAACTCCATCCTTAATCACTTTATTCAAACCGCCAGTCAATTACCTAAATTAGGATCCTTCCATGGCTTCATATTCATGTAAGTCACTATCTGGTCCTAGAATTTTGCAATCTCTTGCAATAGCTTTTGCCTGTGTTAATGTTATCACCAGTTACCATTCTGACTATTATTCCAGATCTATAACACTATTAAATAGCACTTGGAACATCCGGTCTTACAGGATCTTTGATTCCAGCTATATTTATTAAAGTTAAATCAGTTAAAAGATATTCTTCTGGAATAGAATCAAAATCATATTCAAGATGATAATTTAATATTTTGTATGCATTTCCTAGTGTTCTGAGTGCTTAACTAGCATAGTCTTCTATTATTCATAACATGTTATTAGTATCCTAAGATGTCAATTTAGCTTCTTCTCCATTTGAGTTGATAAATTTAGAGCACTTTTTTAAAACCATTTCAGGAGCACCCTTCGTAAACAAATATATCTTATTATTATGATGAACAAGGGAAATCATCATTTTTCTCTTTGAATTTAATGGAATCACTCTCAATATATTATCAGATGGTCTATAACTAGACAGCTAATAACCTAACATATCACAAAACTCTATCAAAGCACATTCTGTTTTGTTTCCTATTTATTCGAATTTACCATTAATGCCTCTCTTAGGATATGCACTTGAATTATAGAGATTGCTGGCAGCCAGGAGATCTAAATAATCCTTTTCCAGATTCTTGATCTAGAGTAACTGGTAATCTTTGTAATTAGAACCATAACAAAATATTGAATTGACTTGCATTGTATTCATTGTCAGAGTACCAGTTTTATCACTACAAATATTGTTGACTCCTCCCATAATTTCACAAGAGGCAAGAGTCTTAACTAAATTTTATTCATCTTTCATTTTGTTCACCGAAAAGGCTAAGGTAATAGTAACAGCCAAAGGTAGACCCTCTGGAACTGCCACAACAATAATAGTAACACCAATCATGAAAAACTTGAGTATTTTTTGGAGACAATCAAGATGCCAAAATTATTCCCAAAATGTTTATTCATCATTCTATGCATATTCTATGAATAGTCGAACCAGCAGAATAACGAATGTTAATATTGCCACAATTACACCCACTTTACCTATTGTTTCTGCCACTCCTTCTAATTTCACTTACAAAGGAGTTGGTGTACTATCACTTTCACCAAGTCTCTTCATTTCATTCTGCACTGTTTTCTCACCCACTAATTTAATGTTTTATATCAATACCTTGCAAAACCAACATAACTCCAGTTCCCTCATTAACCTTAGTTCCTGACATCAAAAAAGGAGATTTCCCCTTCTAATCCTTCAAACATACATCGAGTGGTGCCTTCAACATTTCATCAGACTCTCCTGTCATTGCTGATTCATCTATTTTCACTTCACTGCCACTCAAATATAATCCTAAAATCAAATTTTATACTCACCATCCACATTGAAAATATCTCCTAATTAAAACAATAAGACGTCACCAACGACAATATCCTTATTGCTAATTGTTGTTATATTCCCCCCTCGCTTTACCTACACGTGTCCCTCGTCTAGCTTTGATTATAATTTAGCAAATTGTCTCTCTTTAGCATAATTGTTGCCTGCTGTAATTCCTATGATCAAGAAGATTGCCAAAAATATCGTTAAGCTAACTTATCTGATCATAAATTTACCCCTCATACCATCCACCTTCACCCTCGATAATTCCCAATACAGTTGATACAATTGCAGCAACAATCAAGATTTGCAGCATTGTATCACCTAAACACTCTACTATTAATTTCCATAAAGGTGTTAATTCTTTTACAATAGGTAAATTAGCTCCGTATCTGTTTCTAAGTGTACTCACTTGTTCTTCGTCTTGCACGCCTCTCTACACTTATAAATTAAATGATACCTTCAAATCAACTTAAAATATTTTCGCCAATCCTTACTCTCCCCCTAATTATTACACCAGTCCTAACGAAACTCCATCTCTAATATTATCAAGTTTAAATAAATTTTTGAAGTCTGCTTCCTCTCCCTATCCAACTAACTCAGAATCAGAGTTCTTTTCGATGAGGTTTACTCTACTCATTTAATTATGTATTTTATTAGAACTAAATTACTATTAATTAATATTTATTGATACGAAACTTGAATATGGATCAACTAAATGGAATTTTTCTTAATTAATCTTTCTTTACTCTCCCCTTGATAATAGAACATCTTATTGAATTATATAATAAACCAAGACTATCCATTGAAATTTGATGTTTCAAAAGAATTCAACTTTAGTTAAAGCCAAAAATAACATTATATATAAGTCGAATGCTAACCTTTACTAAGAGAACTAGGTATATGATTTATGAATCTTAATCAATTTATTGCCTAATGAGTCAACAGTGACATTTTTGCTGAAAAATATCGTTTTGCATCAATTGCAAATATTAAATTTAAATAGTCACTTATGAATGTTTAAATTCCAGAATTATCAATAATTTCCCTATAAGGATGAAAGAACTTTCATAGAGATTCCTTAATCGTTTAAACTTGTGATGGTTGGAAATTCATCAATAAATTTGACCAAACATGCTGCAATCATTAAGACTAAAATATAGCAGCAAATGTTTAATTTTATTTTTTGTTATAGGATTTATTTTGTGATTTGTAAATATATATTGATTTACTTAGTGAATCTATTTTATATACAATAATAATTCTTTTTTATATTTAATTAACTTATAAACACTCGTTTAGATTTTCTTAGAATTAATTAAATAATAACAAAATTTAAATACAAATAAAATTTAATTACTTTTTGACTTTATTCATCTTAAGAAACATCTATTTTCGAAATCGAAAGCAGTGCTAAGACTAAATGTATTTACCTATTTTTCAAAAGATATTATAATATTCCAAATTATCTAAAATCTTATTACATCGATTTATTCTGTTTTTCACAAATCTTGATATTTAGACCTATCCTTATTAATTTATATATGAATATCTACCATTTTATAGTCCTTAAATTTTAGACAGAAGAAATATATTATAACAGTATTATTTGATAATACTAATTTAAGATATAATGAAAAGGATAAATAAAATTGTTAAATAATAGTAATAATTAAATTTGGCACGATTAGTAATAATAATGAAAAGATAACTTATTATAGCTATTTAAAAAACATTTAATTCCAAAAAAAGAGTATTTCAAAAATGTTTATTTAGGAATCAACTGATTTAAAGATTACATAGTTACTAAGTATAAAAAATTGTAGGACCTAGAACCTTTAGTATTAAAAGAGTAATCATTTGATTTGAATTTTATTATTTTTTTACATAAACAAAGAGATCTTAATAAGAGAAATTAGGGGATAATATATAAACGACTTGGATATAAAGAATTGCCATTATTAGGGGTTTTGACTTATACAATTCTATAGTCTATAAATTTGCATAAATTTATTTATCAATTTTCATGCCAATATCTAATTATTGAATACAATTTCATTTGAATTTGAATGTTTATCCTAGGGTTCCTAGATCATCTATTATTCACTACTATTTAATTCGATTCTAAAATTAATCCATCAAGAGTACATTGTATTTTTATGGTCAATATGAAAAATTAATTGAGTTTATGGAACTGCCTTGGGTATGACTTCAGGGAGGGCTCTCAAAATATTGATTTATGGATTTATTTTTTTGATATTAGGAGTTACTATAAATTCATAAGTGGTAATTCCATTGATTATTAGATATATGTGAAAAATGAATAATTAGAGGAGTAGCATCGAAAAAATAATAGAATCTACAAGCATTATTAATGAGAGTGTGTACTTGATTTCTAAATCGTTTTCTATAAAAAAATGCTTAATCTAAAATGAAATTTAATACAAACTTTTGAATTTCATTGTCTATTAATAACTTTTCATTCTATGTATTATATAATATTATAATTCTGATATAAACAATCCAGTGTGTATATAAATTGTAACATGGTTGACGTTACCATCATCATAAAAATTTTATAATTTAAATCCCCAATGCAATTATTTACCCATTTACAATGATGATCAAAATCTTGACAACATCTAAGATAAGTATTTTTTACAACCTATTACAATGTTTACAATGCTTTGTATTTTCTTTCACATAGGCTTCACAAATATCGCAGTAAGATTCCAATTTATAATTTTCATACATGAAATGTTTTCTTCATAATATAAATTTTAGTTTACCCACGATTACGATATTCTAATTATAATAACAAAAATTGATCAGTGGGGCAGCTTAAAGTAGTCTTACCACTAGAAAACAATGATAGTGTAGTTAAAAGTCCAAGCATTATAAAATGTATAGCCTAAATGCTAATAACAAACTTACTGATTCATCCAGCAAAGATATTAATAGGAAACAGGTTAAGATATTTGGAAAGTAAAGCAAGTAAGTAAGTAATTGATAAACAGTTGGAAGTTATGAGCAACCATGCCGAATTTTATTATTTAATTTCATTATAAAATAAATATATAACTATTTTAGATATATCATAAAATAAGTGATTGCTTAATGAATTAAATATCATAATCGAAGAAAATAGTAAGAGAACAATATAAATTAATGAAAAAAAGGATTCGATTTATAATTGCAACTATTTGTATACATCTTAAAAACAGCTGAAGATGTAAACCAACTAAAAGATATAAGGTATCTCATAATATTACCAAATCATAAAGAAATTTACTCAAATAGTTAGAAGGTTCGATCCAAAATAGAAATGAAAATCAAAGCTTGCTCTATACAAGATATAAATTACTTTAGAGTTTCATTTATGATCACTTTTCTCAAGTGTGTCATCAAATAGTAGGTTTTAACAAGAGTTTCTATGAAAAGTAAGACAATATGACTTAGGCTATTAAAATAATTGAAATAATTAGCTCTCCCAAAGATTTTACTTAATGATCTAAATACAAATCTTTATAATTACTTTAGTTTCAATGTAATAATGAGGATTGCTTTAGTTAAAAGTACAATTTATTTTATTTTAATACTTCGCAATGATTAATAATCTTAATACTCCATATAGAAATTTTAGTAATATAAAATGAATACTATAAAAAATAATGATAGTTCCTTCTATAGTGTTGTCTATCAAGATACGTATGATCCTTAACCATTATCTTCTGAGATACCATCATCTGAAAATGAAGTCCCATTTAAACAACTAAGGTTAGCATTGTTGTTATCAATTAGTGGTGATGAGGCGATAGAGAAAAGCTTCATGGAATCTAATTGTTAATCTTCTATCTGGGCGAAAAGAGGATCCAAAGCATCATTTTTATTGACGAGTATCACTATTATGAAGAGCATGGTTGGAGTTGGAATTTTAGGAATTGTACGTAGAGTTGTTATTTATAGCCAAATGTGATGAAAAATTTTGGTGTAATATTGACAATAGTTATAATGATTGCTGTTTATTCCTTAGGCATGACGACATCAAGAGTTCTACTTAAATGCAAGAATTTAAGCAAGAAAAGTAATTATTCAACAATTGGATATTTTATATTTCGTCATAGTTGGATTATTTACACAGTTAATACTGTAATTACATTATCCAATATAACAACATGTCTTAGCGAATTGATGTAAGAACCAATATCCAATATCATAGTATTTTCGGAGATGCCTCCCAATTGTTGATTAAGTTTTATAAGGGGTAGGATTACGAGGTTCCATTTTATTTATCAAGAACATTTCTACTATGTATTCTTGGAGTAGTTCTTTCACCTCTTTTGATTGTAAAATCTATAGAAAAATTAAGATTTGTCAGTTTAACAGCCATTCTTTCTATAAGCACTTTCACTGTATTAGCATTTTACAACTTCTTTGGAAAGGATAAAATACCTGATGGTATCATAATTAATCAATTTAGGTTTTTCGTTGTTGCTTCCATCAACTTTCAATTTCAAAAATGCCATGTCTGCACTCCCTACTTTGCTATTGGCCTACAATTGGCAATTTAATCTATTTCCCATTTTTAAAGGAATGGAAAATCCTACAGATACCAAGATGAAGTATGCAATGTTCACCGGATATTCAATGGCTTCCTTTTTATATTTATGTGTGGGGATATTAGGTTATGCTACATATGGAAATGATGTATAGATAATTGATTAAACCACTAGATCTAAACTAATTATTTAAAGAGCATTAAATCTGAGGAGGTCGGATCAATATTGTATGTAATTTTGAATATCACCTTTGTTGTGTCGACCACATTGACTTTGCCTGTATTATTCTTTGGCGGTAGGAACAATTTCATTTAAATCTACAAACAGTTGACTTCAGAGAAAAAAACGGTTTAAGAAGTTAAGAATTATAAAGAGTTTTTGGATGAGACCAATTCTAAAAGGCAGGAGAGACTAATAGAAATTAAGTTGAAAAAGAGATCACAAAAGCTTAGGTTTTATTTGTTAACTTTGACCCTTTTCATATTGTTGATGTGTGGGGCTATATTTCTAGATAACCTTGCTTTGGTGTTTAATATCAAAGGAGCTGTGTTTTGTAATACGATTTAGTTTGTCTTGCCAACTATCTTCTATATAAAATTGGTAGAAAAGGTTAAGAGATACCGATTCAAAAACAAATAGAAATAATATTTTTATTATGGTATAAAAGTCTTATTCTGCATGAGTTGGGTATTTTTGGTTACTTGCGTTGTGTGTGGAACCATGGCAGCAGGTCATTGATTTATTTAATTGTAATTTAAATTTATTATATCATTATTTAAGCCTTTTAATAATTGCTATCTTAAAGTGTTAAGCTTTAGTTTTGCAATGTTTTAATATTGAAAATTGAATTATTTTAGTTTAATAATTAAAACATTACTGTTATTGATGAGTGATCACTCTTAATTATTTTATAATAAAGATGACAATACAGATGACTTATTGTTATCACAATTTTCATATGAATCCTAATTCAGAAGCTAGGAATCATTGCCCTAAAGGAAGAAACGATAAAATCAATAAGCAAAATAAAATCAAGTGATTCAAGAAGAAAATTCGAATTCATATATCATTGAAGATCAACAACACTCGTATTTAAAATCTCAACAGGAATCAAAGGAGGTTCAGCTCTTAAAATTGGCTTCTCATTTGAGATAACTCTTATAAAAATAACAATAGGAATTTTACGAAAAGGAACTTGGTTTTCAATAAAAACTATTAACTGTATAATAACAACATGATAGTATGATTTCATTAATGAAAACCAAATATCAAATTATTATAGAAGAACTGTAATAAAAACTATCCATGTAACAAACAGAAAATGCAAATTTGAAATAATAAATATTCTAACTATAAGAGTAGTAACAAAATCAAGTGACTCAAAGAATTCATAAATCAAGTGGAACTGAAGCAAGCAAGGATGCAAATTGCTTTTTTACTTAGAGATAAACTCATCAGAACTCAAAATTGAATGATTACTATCAACCAGAACATGATGAGGATAAATTGCTCCAATTATACAAATAAGAAATAGATAAGGTAAAATAATAGACTGCTGAATTCGAGAGAAAGTTTCAGAATGAAAAATAATCAATAAAACAAGAGATTAGTGCATTGAGAAACCAAAAACTAATGCTTTAGACATTAATTACAAATAAATAAGTAACCAATCAAAGTACAGATAAACCTTACTCTCAAGGTATGAATTCAGAGCACAAAACCAATAAATCCAAAAGAGATAGTTAATCTAGAGCCTACAGTCATGTTTCTAAGAAGTCTTTTGATTTTTGAATAATTACTATGTGATTTTATGTTATAAAGTAATAATTTTACTTTTATAATTATGGATTAGGGCGTTAGTCAAGGATTCTCTTTAAGAAAGATTTGTAAACAACGACTCAAGGGATTGTTTGTGTCACTGATTTAAACGAATCCAAATGTTTAGAATTACTTTTTGATTGTGGATCAGAAAACAGTGAAAGTTGTATCTGCTTACATGAAAATGGCTGAGTACTTTATCTTTTTAGATGTTTAGATTGATGGAATTGGGAGTGAGTGCTGTTGAAAAACTGGAATTAGGCAGAAAGCCTTTTCCAAAATTACATGCTATTTATTTTATTTCACCAACATAAGATTCAATTCAAAGAGTTTTGGATGATTTTAAAGATAAAAAAAATCCACAATATGGGGTTGTTCATTTATTTTTATCCAATGAAATTGATTAAGGATTAATGCAAAAAATTGCTTAATGTATGGAATGCATATATAAAATATAGGTAATTCATTGATAACCAAAATTGCCTCTTTCAAAATTGTGAATTTAGATTTTGCTTGCACATCTGATTAAGTGTTCACCATTGAAACACCAGAAATGTTGACTAAAGCCTATACCTCTTAAAGTAAATAAATTGCTGATACATTTTTAGATGTGTAATAATTATTAAAAGAAGCATCGTACAAATTGGCTACCCTCCTCATATCCTTTAACAAATTTTACTCTTTTGAATTTCTATATAACTAAGCAGAAAATAAATTGTCAGAATAAATCGCCAAATTGGCAGCAGCAAGATTACAAGAATTATTAGCTTCTTTTGTTAAACAAAAAAATGAATAGTATGATAATATTGAAAAAGAAGCTGGGAAAATAACTGTGATGATAATAGATCGATCATATGATGTAGCCACTCCTTTGTTACATGACTTTTATTATCAATCCATGATCTATGATCTATTAGATATAACAAATGACATATATGAAACTGAAGTTGAAGCTGGTGGAAAATAAATAAAATAGAAAGTGATATTCAACGAAAATGATGATTTATTCAATAGATATAAGTACTATAATCTTCATTTATTCAAGATATCGACACATTATATAAGTGCTAGAAGGAATACCTGTTGAATTTAGAGAATTCATCAATAACAATACAACTGCCAAGGTTTAGCAAGGATAAATGAACAATTTGGACCTCAATCAGATGTCAGAGATTGTCAAGACATTGCCTTAATATAATGAATTGTTGGGAAAATATACCTTACACATGGTATGATATTTAAAATCGAATTTAGAAACTAATAGAGAAAAGTTGGTCTATTTTTGAAAATAAGGGTCTAAAGGAGATAGGAGAAATCGAGTAAGGCTTAATTACTGGCATTGATGGAGCTGGAAAAAGTATTTCAACTACCAAAATTTAAAGTGCTGTTGCCACTAAATTAATGAGTGAAACTCTGGATGAGTATGATAAATTAAGATTAATCTTATTAAGTAAGTCATAAAATAAAGTTTTAGCCTCTATTGGTTTGGAAATGTCAGAAAAAGACAGAAAGATATTAACTGATAAAATTAAAGTTGAACATCAACAAGCAATCTTAAATTTAATTTATTTAGGTGTCAATCCATAAAAAGGTGGTCAGAAAAAGGTACAATTTATATTATTAATCGTTAGTCTAAATCATCTAATAGAATAAATGATGATTTAAAAAAATAAGCCAAGCACAAATTGGCAAGTGCTTGTACAGAATTATCAAGAAATACTCCATTAATTGAAACCTTAGTGGAAGGCTTTGTTGAATCTAATTACAAAAAACCTTAGAAATTTGATTCTATAATAATAAATGAAGACGGTGCAGGAAGTAAAGGCAATGGAAAATCAATTAGAAAAGGAGGACAATTGGCTAGGATGATGCAAAACGAAGATAGTGATGACACCATTAATTACACTCCTAAATTAGTATACTTGTTTGATTATCAATAGATTATTTTTGTGGTTGGAGGCATTAGTTACTCTGAGATAAGAAGTATCTTAAGTAATCAAAAAATCACCAGTTCATAAATTACTGTAAGATTATTCATAATTATGTAAGTTGGTTGGTTCAACTAACATAGTAAAACCAAAGGACTTTTGTTAAGGACTATTAGGCATGAAGACTATTTGAATAATATATTTATTAAATATATATATGCATATTTATCCTACTCATTTGTATATAGGTGATCCTCTTGGCTTAGTTTGCTAGAAGTAGTTGATAGATTTGATACATTGTTATTAGAATTTTAATCCTTGTCTTTTTCAAATTCATCGTGGACCCATTTTGAATGATTTTGATAATTTCTCTAATCTTATAGTCTTCTAAATAAATATACTTCGATCATCTCCTTTTTGATCTCTGTCTTTATTATTTCTATCCCTATCGTTGTATCTATTTCTATATTTGTCTCTATTGAAACTATTATTCCTATCATTCCTATCATTCCTGTCATTCATATCATTTCTTTGGTTTCTATCGTAATCACGTCTATCTCTTTTATCATATCTTCTTTAATTAGAATTGTTAAATCTTCTATAGTTTCCTTGACTATAGTTTCTTCTTTCAACCTTATTAAATCTAAGAATTAATAATCATACTTATTAATCTTCTGCTTTTTTTTCTAAATTGACATTCATATCATTATTTGCTTATCCTTGCTCTTAAGCTTTATTTGCTTGGGATCTTTGTTTTTTTTTCATGATGGATTAATCAATTCTAAAATTAATAAGAGTTTGAAGAAATACCTTTTCAGATAAGAATTGGCTTAACTAAAATCTTCATTCTTCCAACCACTTATTAATATCAAAACTAAACTTACAAAAGGCAACTATTCATGTGGCCCCTTCCTTTTTTTATAATGTTTGGATCATCCTTCGGTTAAGATTTAGAATGAGACTTCGATTTCTATTTAGATTTGGATCTCGATCTTTAAGTTCTAAACAATCACAATTAAATACAACTTTTAAGATGCCACAATATCTAAATTCACAAAGTTTGAATTACTTTATGAATTCTTTTCCTTCCTTTCTTTCTTGTCTTTTTTCTGTTTCTTTTTCTTGTCTCCTAACAAATTAACCCAGAAATATACTTCTGGAACTACTTGATGAACTTGAATTCTTCCTATGATCTCTTTTGGCTTTTTACCTTAATAAATTAAAATAACTATTACTTGGAGGATCTATCAGATGATCTTGAGTCGGACCTTGTTTTGGTACTTATACACAATATACCTTTTCATAATAGAGCAATTAATAAATGAATAAAATATTAATTTATTTGTATTATTATGTTAGAAACCTTTCAATAGAAATTGAAAACTGGATTTTGAATTATATGAACAAACTTAATGAATTTTTATCGTTAATCAAATGGATTCTATATAAATCAGAGTCATTCTTGGAGGTCATTCAAAAAATTTACATACATTTTTTGATCTCTATTTATTTTTAAATATACTGGATAAGGAATGCCCTAACTAGGTGGAATAGAATTTCAAAAATAATTCATTATTATTATACTTGTGATAAAATAGAAATGTGACATATAATTTTAATAGATTTTAAAACCATCATATATTGGTTGTAATTTCGATTGATTTTTATATTGACGGATTCTATCCAATTATTTTAGGAATAACATTTTTTCCTAAAAATATGTAGTTAGAAGAATTCTTAATGAGGAAGTATTTCATAATATTAATTTCGTTTCAGTTAATTTTAGGATTATAAGAGTTCTAGAAGTAACAATATTTGAATCTCATCCTTTACTTTAATAATGCTTTTTTGCATCGTTGGTTTATTCTAGAAAAAAGAATTCAAAAGATTGAACAGAGGCTAGAGAATTACCTTCTTACTTATAAAAAAATGTTTTCAATTAATTTAATGATTTAACTAATTTCTAAATAAGTTAATTATTCAAGCTTTGTTTTACTCCTTTTTTTTTGTTGTTGATAAATTTGTACTTTTGTTTCATTCTGTATGTGAATTTTAATCTCATATAAAAAATTTATTTTGGATTTAATTTAAAGTTTATAATGAAAGAAGATCGAAAATAATAAAAAAACAATCAAGGATTGTACTAATGGGTTGTTCTTACAAGTTTTTGCTTGAATTCGTATCAAAGAATATATATTTTAGAATATCAAATATATTTATGTTTACAGGGTTAACACCAATTTGGTCTGAAGTGGCCATATATTATGGCACTACTGACTATGATTTAAATTGGTTTACAAACATGTACTACATTACTTTAATAATATTTTCCTACTTATTCAATCCTATCATCATTAAATACTTCGGAATCTCATAATTATTAAGCTGTTGCCTAACATCATTAGGACTTTGGCTGCTATATTATGTGAAACATAATTATTAGTTGGGACTTTTATGCTTTGGATTAATAGGCTTAGGAGAAGCCTTCTATTTCTAAGTCCCTTTGTGTAATAAATATATATAAAAATAGATTTATCCAAGCTTTGGTTCGCACATGATCAAAGAATTATATCAACATTTATTGCCTAATATTCGAATAATATAGGAATGCTATTAGGATATACAGTTTCATCCGTTTATTTTAATGATGTAACACTTATATTAATTAAGAAAGATTGATGAAAGTGAATTCGACTAGCGATTTGAAAATTTGATTTTATTTAATGCAATTTTAGCTACGATTGTTTTGGGATGTAATTTTACAACTTTAAAATCCCCTTCAATCCATCTTGATATTATTGAAATCAGACTTTCTATTTGGGAATCTATAAAAAAAATTATAATGGCTGAAGAAGCTATATTTGATTTTTTGTCTATTTCTTCATGTAGATAATCTTAATATTCTTAGTTATAGGATTAAGTTGGTGCTACACAATACTATTTGGAACTCAATAATATTAATTGGGCTAAACTTATTTTTAAGTTACTTAAACTAATATATACTTCTAAGTTGGGTAAATAGCGGCTGCTGCTTACTGTACATGGTAATTATAACGGTAGTCCAAAGCTGGAATTCAATAAGATTATGATAAATAGATAAAAACTGTTATTAGTTTAGGATTTTGGATGCTAGTTTTCGAAATAATTTTATTTGAATATATCCCTTTCGTAATTTTAGTTTTCATCAATTTCTTTATTGGAGCAGGCCTAGGAGGATTATATTCAGTATTTTTGGAATCCTTAATGGAGAAGCATTTTCCAGTCTAAGAATTGGCAATTGGTTCTATTTTTGCTTCCATTTCTAGTGTAATCAATATTCATTATTTAGACTGTTTCTCTCACAATAACAATGACATTAGTAATCCCTAAATTTCTAAAGTATGGATTTCAAATATCTTGTTATCTGATGATTATACCGTTTAGCTACATAGTTTTATTCTACAAGACTCAATTTCGAAGATTTGAAGCCGAAGCTTGAATTAATCATTTGTACCTAGAATTATATAATTTATATAAAAATAAAGTCGCATTATTTAAAAGTCTCTATATGGTAATACTGTAAATTTTTTTCATTCTATTGTTGAATCTCTATTCATTTTGTCTCTCAAATTACTTTATTTTTATCTGAAGAAAATTTCCTATCTAAAATCCTAATTTTATTTTTTTTAGTTCTTATCAAGTACTTTTAGCGTTTTATTTAATCCTTTTTATAATTATATTTGTTATAGAAATTGACTAAATTTTTATTGTTGCTCTTTTCTTATTTTCCTATAATATTATTTGAATTGGTTAAAGAATTATGTTGTATGAATTGTTAATATAAAATGTAATATCTTTTGATTTCATAAAGAATTTGACATAATTATAATCCTGATTTGTGAAATCCAATCTTTACCACATTATTAATTGACTTATTACTTATTCTTTGTTAAGGGAATATTTTAGTATAGATTTAATTTTAAGATTAATGATTTTTATAGATACACAAAATAGACAAAATAAGTAGATAAAACAATAAATATGTGTTTAAATATAGTTTATTAAGAGAACTCATTTATCTTATTATAAATAAGTCATTCTTTAAGTGGCACGACATGCTTCGAGTTCAGCTTATGCGAAACATAATTATTCTTGAGCTTTATGATATTTTTCATTTAAATCTTAGAAATTTCTTCTCCAATCTAAGTTTTCATTGTGGTATGAATCTTATAATTCTTAATTTTTGAGCAAAATGATTCTGTTTAATCTATCAATTTCTTTGTAGCCTTGCTCTAGAGCCAATTTTTAATTTCGATTTTCCTCATTTAATTACCTATTAAATTAAGTGACTTATTATAATTCATTATAAATATTCTCGACTTGTTTGTTTTACTATTACATGGAATTATCTTTGTCTCTAAAATTTATTTGAATAATACTCTAAAATTTAAGTTAGAACATTTATTTAGCTCACTAATTAATCAATGTTTTTTTCTTGTTCTCTCAGTTTACCAGTTGGACCAATGTTCTCTCTTTATGTTGACTAAGTCATCTATAATTATTCTTGCAAATAAAAGATAGTTTTTTATTTGGTAATTAATTCATTTCGCAAATCTTCGACTAATTTCTAAATTGCTATCAGCTCTTAAGCTAATTGTTTTTAATCATTCTATCTTAAAATCTGCTCATTATCGTTGTATCTAATTAATTAATAATTGTGAAGTCTTTCAATTTCCATACTCATTGCAACAACTTTGTCATTAGACTCTTTCAAAAGGTTCTAATGATAGATGCTATTTTCTCTGAATTTAATTTCAAGTTCTTAGGATCTAAATTTATAATCTTCATTTTGCTGCCTTAGCATGTTGATATCATTGATAAATAGTTATTCATTTTGCACTATTAATGAATTTGCAATGGTTACCTCTCTAATTGATTTCGCATTGCAACTACAGCTCCAATTAAGATGATCTCTATCTTTCCTATTAGATCTCATAACGCAAGTATTAAACTTCTGCTTTTTCTTAACAGGGTTGGAGAACCTGATTTTCTAATTAGTCAGTTTTAAAAGTAAGATTTGGTGAGAATGGTCTGATTTAACTATTGAGTGCAGGTGTATTTCCTTTTCTCATGGATCTACTCATTTTAACAGTTAAATATAAATTAATATTAAAAAATCTATATAAGTTTCAATAATGGGAAAAGGGAGAATTAATTCAATTGATGAAATCGAGAGAACATTGTATAAATAATATTGATTTAAACAATTTAGATTGGTTTACAAATCGAAATCTGAATTGATTATAAGTAAATAATTAAAAAAAAATTATATTAAAAAAACAATGAGTAATGGATCTGTGAAAGACATTTTGAAGGATAAAAAGAAGGTCAGATTTGTTGCTGAGAGTGCTTTTAAGCAAGTTGATAAAGATGGTAAGTCATAAGAATTTATAAATTAAAGGTAGTGGCTATCTTGAAAGACCAGAACTTGAGGAGGTGATGAATAATGTAGCAGCAGATTTGGGAGTCGAAGTAATTATTATGACTATTAAAATTGTAGCCTCCAACAAGTGAGGAAATAGATGAAGTACTAAAAGAATTAGATGAGAATGGGGATGGAAAATTGTCAATTGATGAATTTTAAGTTTTAATCGAATAGGTTCTAGAGATGATGGCAAAGGTCGAAGGTTGATTTAAATTAAGATGCACATTTCTTATTAATTTTAACATTCATAGTACGTTTCTCAAAATATACATATGCATTTCGATAAGCAATATTTTATAAGTGTTTTGTATGTATTTTAAAATGATGTTATTAAAGATTAAAAACAAATTTTTTCTCAATTAATTTGATTGAATTAAATTTTATTTCTGTATGATACTATCAATATTTGGCGTATAAATATAAATCTTTTCAAGAAAGATCTTAATAATTTAATTAAGTAATTTGAATATGTCCTTTTATCCTGGCTACAGATATCCATATGCAGCACCTCTCACATCATCATTTGCTGCCCCATTGACATATGCTCCCCAAGTATCATATGCTCCCCCCGTGTAATATGCTCCCCAAGTCTCATATGCTCCTCCAGTGTCATATGCAGCCCCAGTGCAATACGCAAGACCAGTCACTCAATCATACGTTTAACCAGTTTTACAACAATCTGTGATCGCATAACCAGTCGTTGCTCAACCAGTCTAACAACCAATCAAAGGAGAATCAAGAGTCGAATACAGAGAATACTAAAGACCCGTTGTAGAAATGGAAACTGAGACTGTTTAAGTCTAAGTCCCAAAAACAAAATATGTTACAGATTACTATCCTGTTGAATACCAAACAGAATACATTCCTAGAACTGTATACGAGTAATAAACAGAATATGTCCCTGTAACAAAAACAGTCCCAAGAGTCGAATACGAAGCTTTCGAGAGAGAAGTTTAAAGAGTATAAACTAGTGTTATGTATATAGGCTCAACCAGTCGTTGTTTAATAACCAGTTGTTCAATCTGTTGTGTAATAACCTGTTGTCTAACAGCCATTGTCATATTCATTGGTAAGACCAGCACCAACCTATGCTGCTCCAGTGGCTTATTCAAGTGTAGCTCCAGTGGGCGCTTATCCAAGCTATTATGGTGGATATAGACCTTATTGAGATTATTCAAATTCAACATTATAAATGCCCAACAAAAATTTATTCATCCACTTCCTTCTAGAAGCTGCTCCTTTTTATCATAAAATCTCTCCTCTAAACCCCATGATAAAATATAGCAGACTTATCATCACATCAACAAAATGTGGCTTAATTTTATTTTATGATAGCCAATAATCATTATTTTATGTTTTTTCGGCCATGGAATTACCCCTGAGAATTTCTTAGATTTATTTGAAAACCTCAAGAGTTAGGCCTACCTCCTTAAAGCATATATAAATTACGCAATTTTGAATCCACAAATGATGCTTATTTTTAGGTTGCTTTGAACTCTGGTATTATGAGAACGATGAAACATTTAATAGGCTAAAAGTACTTGGAAATACAACTAGAAAGGAACTCAATATTATTCATTAGGAAAGGAGAGAAAAGTCAACGATATTTTATTAAGTAAGAATTCAAGGCATTTCCTATAAAATTGATGAATTATATAGGATAATCTAAACAAAAGAAACATTATTTCAGGTTTGGAATATTTTCAAGCATGAACATCAAGAATATTTGAATTTCCTTGTTAGATTTAACCTACTCTGATAAATGGAGGAAATAAATTATAGTAATGATGTCTTTATCAAAATAGTCATTTAATTATCATACCATAATAAAAGCAAAAAACTTTAGGTTTATCAAAGAAATTCTAAGCTTTCTGAAGGATGCTAACTAAATATAAACGGAAAAATAATATTTACATAAAATGCCACCAATCACTTTATTATTATTTATTAAACAAAACGAAAGTTGGCATCGGTTTCAATAATTCCACGAAGTAATATCGACCTTTTATGAATTGATTGTATTTTTATTTAGCACAAAGTGTTCAATATAAATGCATAAAATATTAAGGAATATTGACAAAACTTAATAAATAAAATTTATTAATATCAAAAATATTAATTATATTTTATTTCATTTATTTCTGTTTAATAAAAGTTGTAGTTATCTAAAATCAATATAATTATTTTGCGGTAATTCTATAAAAAAATTTTAGGTTCATAAATTCATAACAATAAAAAGGAGAATTCAGAATTCAAACGTTGAGATCGAAATACAATTTATAATTTAGAATTTGTCTAGGGGATAATATATATTTATTTTGAAATCATTATTGTTTGAATACAAACTCCCATTTCTTCAATTATTATTTATCTTATGGGGGCTTCTCTGCGAATTTGGCACTATTAGTAGATTCCACTAAGGAAACATCATTAATGGATATTCTAGACAAAATACTAATTGTTTCATCAGGTAAAGGTTATTGTTATTGGAAATGTAATGTTTAGCTTCGATTAATCATTTTAAAACTGTCCTTCTTGCCACTATTGCTTATACTATTTGTTTTATTGTGAGATAGATTTAGTTATTATTGTTTGGATGCTAATGGTTATTATTATTATTATTATTCTTATGAAATGAAACTGGAACTTAATTATGGTAATTCTTTCAGAAAGGAATCATCTATGTTAAATTGACCATTTAATTTTTATAGTTGTTATTTAATCCAAAAAATACTTTTCCCACCTTGTTAGGGCAATCGAATAATATCAGGGTTGAAAGAGTCAGAACCATTGTTCAACGATTAAAAAAAATGATTCAATATAGAAATTAATGTACTTAAGGTATCCTGTAAAGAGCATACTTCATCAATTAGGCCTTTTCTTGTAGAGACCCATGTGTCAAAACCATTCTATTATGATATCTAGGTTTTCAATGGGATTACGTCATATTTATTAGCATAATTGATTCTATCTTTGCTTCTTAACTATGTGTTATTGTATTATACAAACCTAATCTTTCATTTTTAAAAATTCCAATTCTTTTTTTTTGAACTCACTCTGCATCAATTGCACTTTGTTTTGAATTTTAATAACTTTTTAATTCAATTCTTCCTGTCTATTAGGTTAATTAATACCTTTTCTGAGAGAAGTTTATCATTTACGAGTTTATTGGATTTATTCAAAGAAGTAATTTAGTTTTCAAGTTACCCAATTTGTTTTATTCTATTCAAATATATGAAATAGAATTCTACTTTTAATCTATTTCTTCTTACAATCGTTTAGCCTTAACCTTTAAGGATTCGTTGTCACTTCTGATTTTGAAAAATTCATCTTCATGATTGTTAAGGTTTTTCATTGTGGCTGATTTAAATATAAAAACCGCATGTATTATTTCATACACTTTTGACAAGTATAAGGGTATGTTAAAATTATCCTCTGGAAAAACAGGCATTTCTATAAAATGAATTATTTTTGAAAAGTACATTGCTAGTTTAAAATTCCATTAAATTATTATAGCATCTGCATCCATTCTAAAACATTAATTAAGATTATACTTTTAGTTTCACATACCATGCAAGATTCCGATATTTTACATTCGCATCTATAATCCTCTATCTCATCAACCATTTTTTCAAGGAAGCTTGACATCTGAACTTTCTCCGAAAAGATGATCTTAATTAAATTTGAAATTCTATACACTCTACTCATATGTGTTCGAAAACATTATTAATTAAATTATTTAATATATGTTAATCAATAAATACTATTTCAAACAAACTTTAATTATAGAAATCCATAATACTTATAATTCTATAGAAAAAAATAAGCTATTTTTACATGAATTTTCCCTCTTTTTTAAATTTAACACACATTATATAAAAAACCGCAAACTCAACTAAAAAATATGACAGACGCTTTTAAAACAAATTCGATTTTTTAAATTCCGAATGATGAGACTACTTATTAAAGGAGCATGCTTCCTTATTTATTTGTTTTTGGTTATAGATAATAAATAGATTTGGATATCATTCATATTAGAAAAATTAAATCATTTTCAAAACTTAATCAAAAAATAAAAGAATGGATTCTGTTTGATTAATAGAACAAAATTATCAATGCAATCATAGTTAATCATCTTCCTCAAATGCCATTTCCTGTTCAGCGACATCATTTTTGCAAATAGGGCATGTAGTCATTTGTTTAAACCATTTTGAAATGCATGTCTTATGAAATCTATGTATGCAAGGAAGTAGAATTAATTCTTCTCCATCTTCATAATCAGTTAAACATATTGTGCATTATTTATATTCTTGAGCAAGACCATCGTATGGTACATATTTGATAACAGCTAAATTTGTTAATTCTTAAGGAACTTGATGTAAGAATGAAGAATTCCTATAATAATAATTGAAATTACGTCATTGGCATGAAAATGTTATTTCTTAACCTCGGTTAATTAGAAAAGACATTTGTATTAAAAACTTAATCAAAAAAAGAAACTAGATTTCCACCTTAATTTTAGCTTTAAAATGATCCACCAAATGGCACTTATGGAAATTATTATGGATATTATTATTATTACAATTATTATGGCATATGAACTGTTTCAGTTCTAGTTCTAACCTCTCCTGTAACAAAATTTGTAGTAGTGATTGACTTTAAAATCGATCCATCAGGCAGAATTTCTTCTCGAATTTATGTAATATAATTAGAGTTTTCATTGTCAGATGAATCACTACTATCCTCATATTATTGTGGTTAATTCTAATCTTAATTAACTTCAGAATCTTAAGAGTCTTAATTATCTTAGAATTCTTAATTATCTTGGGAGTCTTAATTATCTTGGGAGTCTTAATTATCTTGGGAGTCTTAATTATCTGATTCATCTTAAAAATCTTGTTGATTTTAAGCTTGATAATGATTATTCTCATGCTAGTCTTCAGCTAAAGTTAAGGATTCAATCAGTATTTTAGCTTCGCATAAAGGATAATGTTATTCAAGAATTTAAATAGGGTATTCTTCATCGCAGTATTCGCATTTCCTTTAAGCTTATTTCAACAATGATTCCGTATATAAATTGCTACTCTATTTATTAGATTGTTGTATTTCTTATTTGTTATTTTGTTAAGGAAAGTTAGAGTGACTGCGATTATTCATGGATTATTATTATTGTATTTTGCTTGGTTGTATTGAAGATTATATAAATGATTCTACAAACTGATCAGGTTATCTTGATGAACTTTATTGATCATTTATTTCTTAATTTGTAACCTTCTGTTTTTATAATTGGGACTGATTTGATAACACAACCGATTTGATTTGCGAGTTAAAGTTGGGATGATTTGATGAATTGCATTCTAGAGTGTGGGCATACATCTAAATTACATGTATTCTTTCTTTGCAATACTTGCATTTCACGTGATCTTGATTTTGCGTTTACATTGTATTCGTCACTTTATTTAATTACTTAGAAAATAGAAAGTATTAGATTTTACATCCTAAATTGTTTCATAATAGAATTAATTTGGTATGAGAGGTGTCTTATTTTGTGGAATCGATTATTAAAATTATATTGAAGATCTTTTTGGTTTTAATTGATAAAGAGAGCATATTGCCAATTTATTTATAAATATTTCAGAATTCATCAATTAAATAAGCAAAGATGGTTGAGAAATCTACAATGAGATGGTTATGTGCTGTTTGTACTTGCTGTTGCTGGCTTAATTATTATGGCTTTTTAAACAATTGTGTAAGAGGATGCTAAATTTGTATAGATGGTAAATTGATTAATTATTTCAAGTTTTTGATGCAACTGCTTCAGCTGTTTGGAAAGGGATATTTTGTATATTCATGTGTTGTTGTTTTGGGTTTGAATGTGTGGCATGTGTGTTGTGTATCTACTCATGCATTGAATTATTCAACGATCCATGTTAAAGATATTAAGCTGAAGATTCATGGATCAATGCTTTTTGGCAGTTGGTATATCTAAAGGATCTAGAAATAGAAGGAACAGTTAGAGAGAAACTTAAGGAGATATTTGCTAAATGATAAAATGAATAATATATATAATGGATTGCATGTTCATTCATATTTTAAGTTTATTTTATTTCATATACAACTTGACAATTCCTAAAAGATACCTACATAGTTTATAAAAATAATTCAATTACCTCCTGGCGTTTCTAATTTAATCCTCCTATTAAAGTATTAACAATACATTTCCGATCATCTTTCCAAAATTCCATCATCTCTTATAAATAATTCAAACCAAGGACAGATTTCATTTGAATATCTTTTAACTCAAATCTAAAGGTTCCCTCATCAAAAATTTAATATATCAGAATCAATAATTGCAGTATTCTGTTATTGTATTTCTTGTTTAGAATAAAATAGTAAATTTAGTAAAAGAAATCTTATTTATTTTGAGACGATTAATTAAAAGCCCATACATCATCCTAATAATAACATTAATTCGTCCCATATCTGGAGAGATAATTCAGAAATTATTGTCATTTGATAATGATTTACATTTAAATATTTAATGTTGTTGGAGGCACTTAAGATTGTATGATGAATCCAACATTTCTGAAACTTAATTTTACTAGATAACTTATTCTATAATTAATTTTATATAATCTTCAAGCAAAATTAAATCAAAAATGTTTTGAATGCATCATTAAACAATTATATAAATTTACAATTATTTCTTAATTGTTTTAACCCAATAATATAACTTTAAGAAATAATAAGAAATTAGAATCATTCATTTTGGATGTAATTATTAAGACTTATGAATTTTCAGGATAAAGTTCTCGCATTCATATTCAAACTTTAGAGAATGAGAAAAATAATTCTTTAATGATTTTCCTTATTTTCCTAGTTTCTCTTAAGTCATATAATATTTTAATGTGTTACCATCATAATACTTAAATCAAGAGGATTCAAATCCAAATAATTAATAATGTTCACTTTTCCATATTTTATAATTGTAAGCATATTTTCATATTACTAAAGTAAAATTGCAAGGATAACATACTAAAAAGAGGTTTGATATTTATTTGTTATATACAATTTAGATTTAATAAAGTCCACAAAATTCTATGATAATCTTGGATGTAAATCACAATCATAAGTATTTCAATAGGCAACATTATGGTTGTTAATTGTATTCATGGCTTATCTAATTAAAGTGAATTTCTTGAAATATAATCATAAGCAATGATATTCCTAATTCTAAGAAAAATTAAGAATAATAATATTGGAATTACAGATAATTTTATTGATAGAAAAGAACATAGGAATTGACTCAATTAAGATAACCAAATAATATTAAGAATTAAATAAGAACAGCAGTCTTAATAATGTCCTCAAACTTTGTGTATTTATTTATTTTAATGGCATATTGTAAATATAAAATATAAAATAATTTATTTAGTTTTTTGTCTAACATCTACCCTACTTAGGTTTAATATACTTACATAAACAAAATTACATAAGTATTAAAATCTGAGTATTACTAATGGGATGGTATTGATTGTTATAATTCATTAAAATAATATATCCTAAATCCACCAATCAAATGAGAGTTTCGATATTTTTTGTGTGCCAATTTTTGAGTAACATTTTTAATATTAAAAATGGCAAGAACAAAATAAACTGCAAGAAAGAGCACTGCTGGTAACAAAAAACCAACTAAGCATTTGGCCACCAAAGCAGCCAGAAAAACTGCTCCAGCTGTTGGTGCTGCTGGAGGTTTGAAAAAGCCACACAAATTTAGACCAGGAACTGTTGCTTTAAGAGAAATTCGTAAATACCAAAAATCAACCGAATTGTTGATCAGAAAATTGCCATTCCAAAGATTAGTTAGAGAAATTGCTCATGAATTCTAAAAGGAACTCAGATTCTAAAGCTCAGCCGTGTTGGCTCTCTAAGAAGCTGCAGAAGCCTACCTTGTTGGATTATTTGAAGACACAAACTTATGTGCAATTCATGCTAGAAGAGTCACAATCATGTCAAGAGACATTCAATTAGCTAGAAGAATTAGAGGAGAGAGATTCTGATATTTATTACAGAAAATTATTATATAAGATTTCATAAATCTTTAAATTTAAATTGCTATTATATGAATATTCAATTGATTCCGTAAGAATAATATCAGTTGTTTGTCGATTCCAATTTGAATTCTTGATTCCCTCCTATTTTTATTAAATGTTTTATTGTTTAAAAATATAATATTTGATTAGATTAAGAACTATATATAGATATATTATTGAGCCTTAATTATAAATATATCGGAGAAAATTTGTATAAATTAATTGCCTAATAACTTTATAATTTGTATATTAATTTTATAAGTAATATATCAGAATATGTATTTTGAATGTCCATGCTCCTTTAGAAAGGAATTAGAACAAGAAAATCAAATAATACAACACATAGATAATTGTGAACAATTTAATAGTGACAGTCCTCTATGCAATATGTACAAAAGGGGGAATGTTGATGAAGCACCAATTGAATAACTAGTAACTTTTTTATGCGATCTCAAATTGCAGGTTGAAAGAATAGAAAATGTTTTAAGAAGACGTATAATAATATAAGCTTAATTTAGGTGGCTATAACAAAAAGACAGCCTCAAATTAACAAGAATTAAATTTTGATCATTATGCTAAATACACCTCGAGTTCCAAAATCCGATCAAATACTTCTGGAGTGAAATAAAATGGAATCACAGTCAAGATTGTTTCTCATAACATCTCAAGTGAAAAATAACAAGGCTAAATTGAATAAGAAAATCTAAACTAAAATAATTAGCTGCCTCCTACTCCTCCTCTATCACCTAGTCGATTTGAAGAGGAGAGAAACTAAAATACATTTACAGCTCATTAACCAACCATGTTAATTGAAGAATAACCAAAAACTAATGGCCAATAGCAATAACTATAAAAATAGCCATCAGATTAAAAGGTTGCTTGTGAAGCATGTAGAAAAGCCTTCTATTTCAATCAAGATTTTGAAAAATTATGGTTTTTAGAACATTGTGGACATGTAATGTGTAAATTATGTATTCATCGATTGGCATAAGAAAAATTTGTTGAAAATGATGGAAGAATAATGTGCAAGGAAATCGGATGCATTGCAAGGATTACATACTTCGAATTAAAATAAATACTTGGAATTGATAAATTCAATGAATTGGATAAAAAATTAGCTCTTAAAAATTAAAATATCGTTGAATGCATTAAATGCTAGTCTCAATTCTCTTTTGAAAAAGGTAATCCTAACGAATAAGTGAAAGATTAATAAGGTAAAAGTATAAGTGGTGATGCACTAGTAAATTATGCTAATAATCGATTTATTTGTAAATAATGTAAGACTGAACAATGTAGATAATGTAATTCAGTACCATTCCATATTGGAATGACCTGCTAATAATATAAGACTAACTAATAAGCAAATAAATGTATTCTTTGTGATTTCCCTTGTGAAGGAAAGGTTTGTAATTAGGAAGATTGTTAAAAAAGAATTTAAAGATTATGCCAAAAAACCTTAGATTGTGGTCATGAGTGTAATGGAGTAAAGGGTGAAGAATGCTTATGCTTACGATGCTCAAAACAAGAACCTGATGACTATTGCAATATGTGTTTCACTGAAGCCTTAAAGAGTGCTCCTTGCATTAAAACAGAATGTGGGCATATTTTTCATGAAGAATGCATAATGAAGAAACTAGATGCCAAATGGAATGGACCCAGAATTGTGTTTCAATATTGTACATGCCCTTTATGTAAGAAATGGTTGGATGTTAAACATAAGGAAATTTAAGCAAAGTTAAATGTGGCTTAATAATTAAAATTATAAATATAGGATTTGTGTACAGAAAGATTGGATATAGAAGGATTGAAATAAGCAAAAGAATTAACAGATCCTAAAAGCTAGTATTATTAAAAACCTCATGAATTTGCGATGGATAAATTTTGTTTTTATGAATGTTTTAAATGTAAAAAGCCGTATTTTGGAGGAATGAAAAATTGTTAAGCTGCTGCAGAGAATAATGACAGAGCATAATTCAATAAGGAAGACTTAATATGCTCTAGTTGCTGTCCAATCTCTTTTGAAGCTAAATGTAATAAACATGGAGTTAAATATATCGAATTTAAATGTCGATTCTGTTGTTCTGTTGCTGTATGGTTTTGTGGGTAAGCATATTTTATATATAATTTTTAGAGGAACTACTCATTATTGTGAACCATGCCATAGTGGAAGAAATCCGAACATGAATAAACCTTGTCCAGGACAAGAAAAATGCCCATTGGGAGTCAATCACAAACCAACTGGTTAGGAGAATGCATTAGGCTGTGCACTTTGTAGGTCTTAAAGAGTTGATGATATTCTTAAAAAAAACTGATGTATATAATTAATATTTTATGTAATAACTATTTCTTAACTATTCCATATAAAAGTATATTTCAGATCTATTTGTAAACTCCTTTAATAATATATGCAGTAGGAATTGTAGATTTATAAAAATATTAGATAGGATGATTTTTGAAAAATTATTCATATATCTATATATATATACTATTTTTGAATTATCAACTACCCATAGATCAGAAATAAGAAATTGAATGTACAAATACAGACTGATTCGTGTATGATTAATTCTAAAGTTTAATTAATTAAATATGCGTTCTAATTAACCAAAAGCCACAGAAAATGGGTCTAAGCCATCACAATATTTTGAGGGCAATAGAAAAGGAGAGGTAAATGAGTTGAAAATGTATCAATATATTCATTGAATATGTAGATTGGTTAAGAATACAATAAATGAAAAGGATGACAAAAAGAAACGAGAAGTAGTTAAGAAGGTGATTGCTTACATGACATTGGGTAGTATTAGATTCTAAAATAGGAATCGATGTTTCTAAATTATTCCCAGAAATGTGCATGGCCTCTTATACTAATGACTTGGTATAAAAAAAGATGATATATTTATATCTGACAACATATGCAGAATAGAACAAGGATATGGCATTCATGGCCATTAGTACATTTCAGAAGGATTGCAAACACAATGATCCCAAAATTCGTGGATTTGCTTTGAGAAATTTGTGCTCTCTTAGATTTAGTGGTGCAATAGAATTTTTAATGCCTGCAATAAAGGAGGCCTTATCAGATATTGATGCATATGTCAGAAAAACAGCTATAATGGGATGTGTAAAAGTTTTCTACATGCAACCAGAGTAATTAAATAATATTGAAGACCAATTATATAAAATGATTAGTGATAATGATCCTCTAGTAATTATAAATGCCATTCATGCACTCAATGAAATTCTAGCACAAGAAGGTGGAATGGCATTATCAAAAAAGATGGTCGATTATTTATTAGGGAGGTTGAAAGAATTTAATGAATGGGGATAGGCCACCATTTTAGATGAGCTTTCCAAATACTCTCCAAAAGATGACAAGGAAATGTTCAACATTATGAATCTATTAGAAGAAAGATTGAAACATTCCTGTTCAGCAATTGTTTTAGGAGTTATCAAGGTTTTCATGAATTTTACTAAAAATAAACCTTAAATATATGAATAAGTCATTACCAGAGTCAAACTACCATTAGTCACTTTAGCTTCTATTAGCGAAGGCAATTTTGAAATAATGTATACTATTTTGTGCCACATCAAATATATTGCATCCAAAGGGTACAATTCTGTATTTGCTTCCGATTACAAATCCTTTTATTGCAGAGTAGACGAACCCACCTACATTAAATTACTTAAACTTGAAATTCTATCATAAATCGCATGTGATTTTAATTTAGGAGACATGCTTAATGAACTAGGAGAATATGTTACTGACGTTGATCAAGAGATCTCTAAAAAGTCAATCTAAGCTTTAGGTGCTATTGCCATAAGACTACCTGATTTAGCAACTGCTATTGTAAAATAATTGTCATCCTTTGTAACTTTATAAGACTATATTACAAACGAAGTCATTCTAGCATTTAAAGACATTTTGAGAAAAGATCCAAAACACATTAAGGACTGTTTAGAAATTATCCAATCTGATAATATAACAGATTCAAATTCAAAAATTGCATTGATCTATATTCTTGGTCAATTTGGAAGCCAGATTCCTTTGGCTCCATATATTCTAGAAACATATATAGGGGCCCAGGAATCTGTAGAATTAAAGCATACTCTGCTTACATCTTGCTTGAAAGTGTTTTTTGTTAGAGCACCAGAAATGCACTAAGTCTTGGGTAAGCTATTTTATGTGATCATTAATAATGAGAACGAGGATATCGATTTGAAAGATAGGGCTGCATATTATTATAGAGCATTAAAATCAAATGCTAATGAAGTTAAGTAATTTTGGTAATATAACATTAAAGTCGATAAATTCCTTGAAGAAACTATCATAAATAAAGAAGCTCTACTATTTGAATTTAATTCTTTGTCTGTCATTTATGAGAAAAATGTAAACAAATTCATAAAGCCAATTGAATACTTTAATAATCTTAGAAGCAAGGAGTTACAAGATCTTAATTAAGAATAGTCACAAACCCAAACAACTTAGGAATAGACCTCAGATGTTATAGAAAATCCATAATCATAACCTTATGGCTAAACAAATGGCTAAACTAATGATCTCCTTGAAATTTCTGAATAACCTCAATAACAGATGTCTCTTAGTGTAGATAGTTTCATAGTCAACTTTGCAATTGATGCTGATCATTTTGAAAATATGTGGACCAATTTAAACGATGGGTAATCTGTCTATCCTTTATATTAGGGCAACGTTTACAAGGATGTTAGTGCGAAATGATATTGCCAACGAAACCTCAATTGAATAACTATTCAAGCAATACAGACTGTATAATATCGCTGCAGGAGAAGAAGAGAACGTATTGAAAATGTATTTCTACGGGTCACATTAATGCTAAGTCTTTTTTGAATTTGAGATTAACAAGAATCTTAGTACAGTTATACTAAATACAAGATCGGAAATAGAGGATCAAGCATATTTAGCATCAAAATATGTTGAAGATTTTCTTAGATAAGTTCATTTAATTGAGTGATCATATTACATTAAATATATATATTAGAGTCAATCATTCACTTGTTTAACCACAAATAATTTTCAAATAACGATCTGATTAAAACTATGATTAAAAATTTAAAATTAATGTATATAAACGATTTTTATTATATACAATATATAATATAATTAAACCGATGTACATTTATATTGGAATAGGTGTTTCACTAATTTTATTATACACTTTGGTGATTAAACCATTAATCTCGCTTTTATTGATCAAAATCAAATTTGGAAAATAGGCTAAAATAATTTTTTACCCAATTGTTGGAGACATTATGGAAATCGAAGGCTCTTTTAAAAAATACAACGATCATTATGAATCCTTAAGAAGATACTTTACAGAGAACAAAGACTTAAAATTTATTTTGTTAAATGTCTTCAAAACTCCTCTCATCCTAATTGGAGACCCTGAAATCAATAAGATGATCCACCAAGATCATGAAAACTATAAAAAAATTGATTTTTTAAACAATAAGTAAAAAATATCTAAATTATAAGTTCTCGTCTTATGGGACAGGGTCTACTGTATTAGTCTGGTTAGAAATGGAAGAGCCAAAGAAAATTATTGGGAAAGCCTTTTGATTATGACAAATTAAAAGCAAGAATTCCAATGATGAATTAAGTCGTCAAATAAAAATTGAAAAATACTTATAACAATCCTTTAGATTTAACCAGATCTATTGCAGGGGAAGTTGTAATATAGACATTCTTTGGATAAGAGGCCTAAAATGCATAACTTAATAATAGAGAGGCTCAAGCTGAAATTGTCGAACTGTTTAATGATGTAGCAGAAGCAATATATGGTTCAGTGTATGGTTTTCTGAAATGGATGATTTTGGGAGAAAAGCAATGGAAGTTATTTCCTAATAAACTAGAAAGGGACATCAATAGAAGAATAGATGAACTTACTCAATTTGCTAGAAAGGTTATAGATAATAGGATTACAAGCATAAAGCAGGAAGGATTTAAGAAAAATTAAGATGATTTTGATTTCTTGGATATTCATTTATAAGAATTTTTAGGATCTAAGAATGAGAGTGGAATCACCAAAGATGAAATAATATCTTAGTTTATCACTTTATTTTTTGCTGGAACTGATACCACATCGAGCGTTGCCGCTATGTGTTTATTTTATTTAGCTTAAAATCCAGATGTTTATGATGCATTGATTAAGGAACTAGAGAATGTAGTTGGTGATGGTGATGGTGATGTTCTTGATTAGCATCTTCCAAAATTATAAGAATTGAATTCATTCATTTGGGAAGTATTGAGAGTGAGAAATCCAGCCAGTGGACCTTTAGTGAGAGTGGCTAAATAAGACTTGGTGCTAAAAGATTTGCATATCAAAAAAGGATGGATTTTAATGCCAGCTAATTTTGTGTAATAATAAACAGATAAGTACTTTGAGAATTTTAAAGAATTTGATCATAAAAGATTTTTGAAGGCATAAGCGATAAAAGAAGATAATGGTTATGTTAATATTCCATTTTCTGCAGGCCCTAGAAATTGTATTGGACAAGTAATTTAATATTCTTATATATTTAGCATATGGCACTCATGGAAATTAAGATTATCTTATGCCACATTTTGAGAACTTTCAAAGTTATCACAGTGCCAGATAAGATAAAGGATTTAAAATGGAGAGCCAAGTTTTTGTATTTCTACGAACCTTTAGATTGCATATAATTAGTCAAAAAATGAAGATTGATTAACATTAATCCATATTCAAGAGATAAATTATTTGAATTTTAAATATTATTATAAAAATCTATGGGATCCTTGGTTTATATGATTTCCTTTTATAAGGATGATAATTAGCTATGGAGTTTATTTATTTTAATTTTATATTTATAAAAACTATGTCACTGTAAAGAGAAAATACATTAATTAAGGAAAATAGGTTAAAACGGATTCAAAAACTATTTGTCGCGCGTAGTTTGGCGATGAATGAACCATAAACTCAAAGTGACAGAAATATTTTCTAAGAAATCAATGATGAGTTCAATATTGATAAAGGTCCAAAGTATAATTAAAAGGGTGAAATCATTAAGCATTCAATAATAGGAAAACCTGATTGGTTCAATAAAACAAAGTATGGAAAAAAATAGACTTAATTCGATGAATTCAATCTTCGATAACTCCCACAAAAATCACAAACTCGAATTGATTAAGATTAAAAATCAATGGCCAAAAGCGATGTAAAAAGTTTATAAAAAGGTGGAGGTTCTGGAAAATTCAAAAAGGAGAAGAGAGATTAATTAACTACCAAAACTCAGTTACTTGAAGAATTGGAAAAGATTAAAGACAGAATTGAATTAAATAAAGAAATAGAGCAAAGAAAAATCAAGTAACTATTAAATTCTAAGTTTAGGGAACTGTAACTTGTTGTTAGATGCAATGCTACAAAGTAGGAAAGAGTAATGGATAAACATACTAAGATGGAATAATACTGGAATGATTTCACTTATAAATAAGCAAATCAATTAGGTAGATTTCCTTCCGATTGTCAATTGATTTAAGCCGAAAATTATAGAACAAGATTAGAAGCTGCTGCAGCATTTGATGCTCTCAAAACAGACTATGAAAGATTTGGACCAAGAGTTTGGTAAATGACTCTAAGAAAACCTGATTAATCAAATGAAATGTTACTTAAATTAAAGGATACATAAATGATTGTAGAAAATGAAATAAAATATGATTTTATAGTGGTAATTAATATTAAAGATATTCAGGGATCTGACTTGCCGAATGCTTTTACAGAGTCATCTGTGTGTGGACATAAGGGTGGCATAGAATACTATAGAAAACCCAATTTTCTGCCTGATAGCAGTCAATTAACATTCTCCAGTAGATTCAGAAAATCTACAGACTCGGAAATGAATTAAAGCTCGCTTCCTTTTAAAAGTTTTAGAAGCGAAGAATATTTGATGAAAAAAATTGAAAAACAAAAAAGTTAATTCAACTAATCTCATATGTTATCGATCGATAAGACTGATGGATATGATTAATTAATAATATTGGGAAAGAATTAGTATGAAATAGAAAAATAAATGTTGCTGCATGATGGAACAGACAATACGGGAGTATATCGTAAGAACATTGAAAAGATACCTGAAGAATTAACTAAGGAATAGATATATGAGTAGAATTTCACTGGGACGTAGAGATTGATTCTGCCATAGATTTACAAGACATAAATGTCAAGAATTAAAAGGCAAGGATCTGCCACCAGTAGAAGTTAGGACTCAAGGAGCAGTCAGGACTTTCAAACAGAAAATTAAACAGTTATATAATGAATAGAAAGATTTTGATTTTGTATTTCACATGATTAATATACTTATTTTATATTAAGCTTTTTCATTTTTTCTTGTTTCCTCCTTTAGCTTAAGCTGCTGCTTTTCCACCTGTATTATTCTTTCTCAAAGATTTAAGTTAGGTACTGAGGAGTGCACTTCTCTATTTTTATAATTGAAAATAGCATTACTCTCTTTCTGAGAATCATAACTCTAAATCTATCAAAATCTGTTAATTTAGCTCTCAAAGCTTTCTTGGCAACTTTCTTGGCAGCAATAGTATTTTGATATTGTGCAAATGGGTCACTCTTTTTAATTGCCTTGGTAATCACACCAGTTCTAGCACCTCTTGTGGCACCTTTAAGATTGAATTTGGTAAGTGTCAATCTTCTGATTGGGATGACCTATCTTTACACACCTGTGGTTGGTCCATCAATGAGGACTCTCTTGTCGTTGAGGATTTCAACAATAGTGGCCAATTTGCCTTCTTATGGACCATAGTTGATCTTGACAACTCTTCCAACTTCAGCAAACTTCCCAAGCACCTAGAAAAATTAATGGATGTTCTTACCATCTCTAATAAAACAAATTTTTTTTATTATTTAAAAATCCTTTTAATCTTTTTAAAAAGAGGTGTTAAACTAATATATAATATATTATAAATTATCTTCACTCAACCTAAGTCTTCTCTCTTACAAATACATTTAGTCTAAATACGAGAATCATTTGTAGAATTCACACTTGGGTAAATAAATTATATAATTATATAAACTTCAAATGCTTTATTTTTATAGAAAAAATATGATACTCCTCATAATGCTACATTCCTTTCATTTATGTCTAATTTTAGAATTATTTACTAAAATCCTAATTTCAAATAAAAATAATCATTTTTAATGATGATGCAATATAAAATGAATCTTTGAAATCTCTTAAAACTATACTAAATAATGTGTATTGCCACTTTAATATTTAAACATTAGAAGTTTATTAGTAAATATTAAATACCATTTTGAAATGGGATGAAAAATGTAATGGCAATTATATTAACCAAGAAGATAGAAGGTTCATTTAAATTTAATATATTTTAGATAATATAATTAATATTAAACTAATAAAAAATGAAATAGAATCAGAATTAAATAATTGTATCATATCATATCAAGTCAAATGAAAATCTTTAATTTACTATCTAATTAAAGAGGTTTATTTTAATTACTATATATAAATTTACTTAAAAAAAGCTAATTATTTAAATGAAATAGAGGTGCTAATCTTGTTAAATTAATATTTAAATAAATGATTAAATTTAAATAAATTCCCTCACTAAATTTCCATAGGATGAAATAATAATCAGATAAAAATGTAGAATTATTTTTATATCACTATCCTTTACATGAATACTATGTGTTTATTAATTCAAATTTAATAATTAAATAATTAATCAAGTTTTTTTGAATTGTGAATGTCTTCATCATGCATCTTTCTCTTTAATTTTGTCATCAGAAACTATTCTCTTTGAGCTACTCCCAATAAGGATCTCTATCTTATTTTATTAAATTTTAATCCTTCATAGATCTTTCTTCAAATTATCCATTTTTTCATAAAAGTACTTTCTTTAGGGGATTGTGTTATATTTATTAAGAGATAAGGAAAGTTATTATTAATTATTGTAAAATTATAATGGCAAATACTAAACAAAATATGAGACCATTACGGCCTAACTTTAATATAAAAAATACTTCTTAAGTTTCAGAATAGGAGCCTCCACAACCAACTCTTGAAAATAGAGAGTACAAAGCTACAGAGCCAAAAATTAATTTAAGACCTTTCGTACGTCCGCCTAGTTCAAAAAAAGATGATGTTCAACAATCGTAATAGTTTTAAGAATCAATAATGGATTCGAAAGTGGATGATTAAAAAAACACATAACAAAGTAACAGATTCCACTTACATTTAAAGGAAGAACACCAGTAAATGGATTTAGAAAATTTAATCTACAAGCTGCTGCACCTATCTCATAGAATGAAGAGGTCTTGAATGTGCCTTAATAATATTAAGGACCAGCCATTAATCTATTTGCTAATAAAGAAAAAATTTAATAAGAAGTTAGTCAAATCAAATAAAAAGAATTAAGGCAAATGGTGCAAGTGCAAATGAAACAAAGACCTCTGAATGCACCTGAAACGAACATGTTTGCTGGTAAAGAGTCAGTTGATGGTCAGGATACTTTCAAGAAGATGAAACCCATTAAACCAACAAACAATAAAGAGCCAATCACCAAAGACACTATCAAAGTAGCAGAGCTTTTGGAAAACAAGATTCAGTTTCAGGCTCCCTAGGAAGATCAGCAGATTGAAACCAAAAAGGTTCCTAGAACAAGAGTTAAGTAAGCAGTTCAGGAATAGATTGATATCGAATAGTTGAATAATAATTAGTAATAGAATGCAAAACAACAAGGGGAGGATACAATGATGGAAAAGACTCAGAGAGAGATGAATAAAAATATAAGTAAGAAAACTGGAAAGACTAATTAGATTGCATAGTAATAATAATAAAATGTACAACCAGAGGAAACTAATAAATAATTAGCATAAACAAAAGAAGCAATCCAGAACCCTTAATAAACTGTCACTTCAATAGATGATTACAAGGAGAGAGTAAATAATACATTAATTATTCAATAGACTATTTAATTTAATACTAATACTACAAAAAATGTGTTGTAAGGCAAGACAGAGGAACAAAAGAAAAGAGTAAAGGAATTGCAACAATTAATAACGTTAGAAGTAGATGATTATAGCAATTAGTTAGCGATTCAACCAAGAAGTAAGACAATTCACTATATATTTAATAGCTGAATATGAAACCTATCTCAATCATATCAAAGCAAACATAATCAGAAATTCTTGTGATCAAGCATTTGATGACCGATTAACAGTGGATACTTAAACAGATGAATTTTAAACAAATGATTTCGGAGGACAATGTCCAGAAGACTATAATAGAACATTCCTTGCTCACAAACAACAATATCAAAAGGACAATCGTCTATGTGAGTTCATTGAATAAGCTTGTGAGATTTTTGACGAAATTCTTAATATTGGAAACAGAAACCAGATTCAGTTTGATTAAGAACAGTTGAATCATAAATTTCCTGATAAAATAAAAAGTGCCTTCAAATGCAAGTGCTTAAACATCGTAGCTCATTAAATATATAATAATCAATTGGAAATATTTGAAACCTATTACATCGAGAGTGATAAATTTAAGTGGCTCAATGGCTCATTGATAATTTAATACCCCTAAAATGTGCTTTACTATATTCCTTCAAAAGTAACATGTTTGATTTGTGAATAAAATTTATTGATTTGTGGAAATGCAGACGGATAATTGGCTGGATGGAGTATAAATGATGTTGGGTACAACAATAAGTATATTGATAAAATGAGAGAACTTTTGTAGAATGAATTTAAAATAAAAAGTATTAACTTTGCTTCAGAATGGAATCTCTCAATTTTAGATTAATTTAGCGATACGAATATGAACTAATTGTCATAAATACAATAAATAACCCATAACTCATTTATCAAATTGATTTTTGAAATAGTTGTAATGGATGTATTTGGAAATATATAAATTTGGGAGGTTTAAGATTTGAAATATAATGAATAAGAAAAGCTATATGTAGATTTAGGAATAAAGTCAAAAAAGAAATTAGTATTATTAAATACAATCAGCAAGAACCTGACAAAGATCTACAGTTGTATGAGTATGGACATAGATAAGTAATATGAATAATTTAATATTTTATAGTATTCTTATTTGTGGACCCTCAAAAGTGATTAATATTTCTCAATAACGATCCTATTTTGATGATTCAGATATGCAACCCTGTGTTATTGGCAATATCTATTATAATTATTTTTGTGTTGGATATATTGATGGTCATATTGCGTAATCAAAAATTTATATTTTGTAGAGTATTTCACAAAGACTTTACCAAGTCGATTTGGTAATTGAGAATTGGATTAAAGAAGATCATTTGGATCAGAATTCTTTCTGATGGTTTGATAGGTGCCATTGATAGTGAATAGAATATATATGTATATTGTGCTAAGGATAATTCCTAAATGGTAGGAAAGTAATTGGCTGATCAAGATCGTTGGAGATTCAACTATGCTTAGTATGTTTTTATAATTAATTCAAGCTAAAATGGTTAAGAGTTGACAATAGTAGGAAAAGATAAAAATACTGATTTGCAATTGATTAAAGAGAGATTAGAATTATAGGGAACCAAAACTGACATTTTCGATAACATTTATTTGGATTATTATGGATAATGAAAAATATATAAATAAAATTATTAAATAGATATGTCAAGAACAAACAAATAGGTTGAATCATAGCCAGTCCCAAACAAGAAGGTCTAAGCACCAGCTAAGCCTTAAAAACCAAAGGAGAATTATTTGACTCCAGAGGAAATCAATGATTTGAGAGTAAGAGTGTTGTTAATTATAAAAAGGAAACCTTTGATTTGTTTGATGATGATAAGAGCGGCACAATAGATGCACACGAAATTAAAAAAGTGCTTGAAGATCTAGGTGTTGATGCTAGAAACAAGTTCGTGTATCAAATGGTATAAGATTTGGAAAAGTATTCATTCACATATTAAGGTTAGTTTTGGAGGCTCAATTGATTTTGATACTTTTGTGAATATTATATCAGATAGATTGGGAAATAATAAAACAAAAGATGGTGCATTCAAATTGTTCCAAATTTACGATCCTGAAGATACTGGGTTTATATTTGAAGATATTTTAGATTCATTGATTTCACAAACCTAAAACGTGTGGCTAAGGAATTGGGTGAAACTCTCAATGATGATGAATTGCATGAAATGATCCATCACATTCACATTCTTAGAAAAACAGAGAGCCCAGAATAAATCTCATTTGATGAGTTTTACGAAATCATTACCGCTCCAAGAAGATATTGAGAAAATAAAATTACATATATATTAAATCATCATTTGGCATAGATATTTCTACTTTCAAACTATAATTCACTACTTCAGGATAAGCAATATGACCTAAAGACTCCAAATATTATACTATTAAACAAATTAGTATGCATTGTTAGAAAATTCATAATCAAAAATAATTATTATTATTATATTCAAACCCATTTGATATCTTTACATATAGCTTATGCATCACTTAAAGAACAAAGTACTTTTCCAAAATCCTCCTTCAACTTCTGCATCTATCCATTTATTGCAATAGAAGGAACATAACCCAAATTTGGAGTTCTCAATCTATTTGCATATAAAAGTTCAATTCCTTAGGGCCCATTAGCACAAGCTTTAACCAGCAACTTTTATTGCGTATTCTCTAAACATTTATCGATTTACTCCTGAAAATTTTATTTATAAGCTTCTTTAAAGAAACATCTCACAAATTTAGTACTAGAAACCTAATCTTTTTGCAATTATAGACCACATGCTAAAATCATATTTCCATAACACTCCTCCTCGCTATGCTAGCAATTTGTGATATATGTATTGGCTTCATATGAATTTGAATTCAATTTTCCTGAAGGTATAAATTCAACATTTGCCAATTGATCCAATGAGTCGATTGTTGCATTCGATATACCTCTCATCATTGCTGCTGTATCAGGACAACGTGACTCTATGTATATTTTTACATCTGGCAAATCCTATGCGTTGCTAATCAACGTTAGTGTAATGAATATAAGGGTAATATTAATCATGAGAATATTATATCAATTTTATGATTCTACAATGCCATCCGATTAAAAACATAGGTTTCTATTTGCCCGATTCTCTGGAGACCCTTCAAATTAAAGTATGGGAGGTGAATTTTGTGCCTAAGGAGAGGAATCCAATTCGATCTTTAACTAAGTTCGAAAAGGAGAGGATGATAATTGAAGTAAAGGAAAATTCCTATAAGTTTGTGATTGTGGATCATCCTTAGATTTCAGAGCTTCCTCTATATTTAAGTCTTCGACATTTCGATTTCCTTTGTTCTTGATTTCCATTAATTCATTAATTTCTTTTTCAAGTAAACCTTATCTACAAACTGGACAATTGGCTTATTTTGTTGTCCTGTGATAGAATATTAATTTAATACCAATCAACTAAGCATTATTCATGGAAGACATGTCTGCAAGGAGTTTGGCAATATTTATCTTTTAATTCAAATTAAACTAAACAAATTGAACATGTATCTTTAATCATTTTGGAATCTGCTTTTTATGGAGGCATATATTTCTTTATTACTTTTTTATCCAGAGCTGGTTTTATTTAAGTTAATTTTTTGTATTATCGTCTAAAAAGAAGTAGAATTATTAACAATAGGAGCATACCAAAAACTATTATAGATATCAAAAGCATTGTGACCCAAAAAGGAAATTCTTCACTCTTTAATCCAGCTCTAATTTGTAATTAGCTATATACGTAAGCGTGATAGTGATTTCTTGAATTTAAGTTGAATTGAAATTGAACAAACCAATGATATAGACGTTATTCTAATCATCTTCAGATCTATATATTTAGATTTCCTTTTCTTCATTATTTTATTCCAAAACTACAAAATTTTATAAAAATGATGGAAGGATAGTAACATTTAATTTGTTAATTGAAACTATGGAGACACCAAATAAGGATTCTCCATTTTAGACAATAACCTAACAATAATAAGGTAGAAATTACTTCATAATCATTATTTTCAAGTATTGCGTAAGCATACAACCAAGTATTGTTTAGAATTAAGATTGTCACAGAAAATTCCTTTTAGATTTGCAAAATTGAAAGACTACAGTTTTAACCATAATGGGGGAATTAACATAAAATTGAAGAATGTTATTTCTAATATTTGAAATTAGATTTACAGCATCATTAAGAGTCAAATTAAAATGCATAGTTTTATTGATGTTTTTTGGATTTTTAAAGTACTCCAACATATTACAATTTACTTTGATAATGACACTTCCAGTTCCATTAATATATACTTTTTGAATTCTAGCCCTAACAGAATATGCCTATGAGTCATTATAAATTTCGTTATTTATGATAACTTAAAGCAAAGGTAAGCAATAATTATTTTATGGGAATTGCGTTATTATCATAGATAATAAGTATGTCTTGGAACTATTCAAATTAGTATGTTGGATTTCCATTTAATCAGTAACGTATTAAGTATTAAAGTTAGCTAAAACATATGAGATGCATAATAAAAATATCATTAAATTAATGTATAGAAATTTATTGAAATTGCGCTACGCCTATCAATAATGTATATTTTTTGCATCATGCTAGAACCAACACAGTTAACTCCTATAAAAATGACTGTGAGAGAAGCAATCAATCTGGCCATGGATGAAGAACTTGCCAATGATCCAAATGTTTTTCTGATAGGTAAAAGATTCACACAAATATCTTTAGGCGAAGAAGTTGGGCAATATCAAGGGGCTTATAAAGTGTCAAAGGGGCTGTTCCAAAAATATGGAGGAGAAAGGATTATTGATACACCAATAACTGAGGCTGGGTTCACAGGAATCTCAGTTGGAGCTGCTCTTTATGGATTAAAGCCAATAGTTGAATTTATGACATGGAATTTTGCTATGCAAGCTATTGATCATATAATAAATTCAGCAGCCAAAGCTCATTATATGAGTGCTGGTGATTAAAAGGCATCCATTGTTTTTAGAGGAATTAATGGGTATTAAATGAATAATATGATTCAGAGCAACTGCATATGTGGCTGCCCAACATTCTCAATGTTTTGCTTCTTGGTATAGTAACGTCCCAGGATTGATAGTGTTATCTCCGTATGATTGCGATGATGCAAAATCATTATTGAAGGCAGCAGTCCGTAATCCTAACCCTGTTGTATTTTTGGAGAACGAAATTCTATACAGTGAATCATATGAATTATCTGCAGAAGCCAGAGATCCAAATTACATTGCTCCAATTGGAAAGGCTAAGATAATGAGAAAAGGAGAACATGTTACAATTGTGGCATTTTCGAAAATGGTCGAATATTCACTTAGAGCTGCTGAATAACTATTTCGAGAGGGCATTAGTTGTGAAGTCATTAATTTAAGAAGTTTAAGGCCATTAGATAGAGAAACTATTATTGAGAGTGTAAAGAAAACAGGAAGAGTGGTTTGTGTGGAAGAAGGATGGCCATAATCTGGAATTGGAGCTGAGATCACTGCTCATATTATGGAAGGAGGAGCTTTCAAATATCTGGATGCTCCAATCTAAAGAGTCACAGGTGTTGAAATACCAACACCATATGCTTTCAATTTAGAAGCCATAACATTTCCAAAAACAGAACAAATTGTTGATGCTGTCTTAACAGTATTAAAAGGAGCTCGTTGATTTATAATAATTAAATTATAAAATGGATCAATTTACAATTCTTGGTCAAGGGGCTGAGAACATTGTTTATCAATATATTGGGGATGATCCCACTCTAAAAGATAAGGTTATCAGAATTCGTAAACCAAGAGAAATATGTGAGATAACCAAAAATCTCATTCTGCCTTATAATGATACAGATTGGACTCCTCTCAAAAAGCATTTCATAAAATAATAGCCATATGAAATTGGAGATTAAAAATGCTTAATTATGGACAATCTATTATATAATATTGCTTTTGCCTGTGGAAATCAAACCCAAAACATTCTTACCCATTTTATCAATGAAATAAGTAAATAAAGACCTAGACGATCCTAAGAATCAAAGGTTTTTTATGATTTCATTGTTAAAAGCTTAAAGGAAATTAAAAAAAGAAGATAAAGATATTTATAAATGTTCAAAAGAAGAAATCGATCCAATAATCTCAAAATATGATCCTCGAAAGTTTTATAATTGCAATGTATAATCTCTATTCGATTCTATTATTGATTTATCAGTTGTTCCTGACAGCAATCTAAAATTGTTTAATAACCAATAACAAAGAGTTTAAAATATTCCAGAGTTTAATATTGAAGATGTAATACATTTAATAACTTCAAGATAGCTAAGATTATTAGTGAGACCTTGCTTTAAGAAGGTATCATTTAATAACTGAACGGTTTTTTCCAAATGTTGTCCTAAATGAATTTTACAATTGAGTAAGCATTTGAAGCATATGAACAATTAAAATAAAGAAATCTGACCAATAAGTAATTCTCAGAGATTGTGGAAGGCAAGTGCTAAGATCCTGAAATATCAAAACTAGCCTCTAAATTATAGACCTTTTCCTCCTTACAAGCTTTAAGTGATTTATCCATTGTAGGAAGTTTCAGGAAGGAAGGATCAGGCAAATTTATTGAGATTGGCAATCAGAAATTGTTTTATTAATATACAATAATCGATTGTGATTTAAAGCCACTCAATAAAATTACTGATTACATGTCAACCATAGATGAATTAATCAAATTGAGAGATTATTACAATTCTCTTAAATGAAATATTTTATATAAAAATGAATAAATTATTACCAGCCATAGTGTCTGACATTGATGGAGTTTTGATAAGGGGGAAATCAACAATTCCAAATTCAGACATTGTCGTTTAGGAACTATTGAATTGTCATTACACAAATGGAGAAAAGCATAATATTCGGATTCCCTTTTACTTATTGACAAATGGAGGAGGATGCACAGAATTGGAGAAGGCCAATTCTCTGAACAGGATCATGGGTTCCAATTTTGATAGGCATCATATCTTTCTGAATTATACTCCTCTAAGACCAATAATGAATGAATATTAGAATAAGCTAATACTACTCTGTGGAGCAGGCCACCTAACAGAAATAGCCAAGGATTGCGATTTAAGATATTTTTACACAATTGATGAATATTCGGCTTTGTTTGATTAAGTTGAATTTAAATAATATGATGATGGGGTAATCAGATAATACGAAACTGATATTAAGTAAAGAAACATGGAATAGATGAAAAATCAGTAGATCGAGGCAGTGTTTATAGTGTTTGATCCGATAAAGTGGGAGGAGAGCATTTAGACAATATGTAAATTGGTTAAAGAGAAGAAGGATTTACCTATTTATGTTGTGAATAACGATGTAACTTATGCAGACAATTTTAAATTACCTAGATTGGCATTTGGAACATTCACTAATGCCCTCATTTCTATTCTAAAAAAAGAATATAATATAAATCCAAATATCATTTATTATGGAAAACCATCGCTTAATACATACAAATATGTATAAGAATATATACATGAGAAACATGATAATATTGGTAACATATATATGATTGGTGATAACCCTGCTAGTGATATAAGGGGAGCAAATCTAATTGGATGGCCATCAGTATTGGTGAGGAGTGGTGTGTTCAGAGGAAGGGATAATGATCCACAAGATCCTGGGAAATATGTGGTGACAGATTTAATGGATGCGTACAATAAGATATTGCAATTGGAAGGCTTAAAAGTTGTTTAATGATGTTTTAACTATATAAATTTAAAAATGGGTGCTAATTCTTCTTAGGGTGAGAAATTCGTGTAAGAGTTCTAAAGACAATGTGTGAAAGTAAGAGAGTTGAAAGACTTGCGCTTTGGGGACGTGTAGATCTATCGAACACAGTAGAATTCGTACATTATGGTCAAGAGCATCTGGTGCAATAATTCAGCAGAATATGATGCATCAATCAGTAATATCCAATTGATTAATATAGGTAATTGTGAGAAGCGATCTAAACTTCAACATTAGAATCTAGTCAAACTCTTAGGGTATCATTCAAATTCACAAAACTAATGGTGTGGAGATTTTTCAAAAATAACAGTATATTTGGAATTCTTTGATTACACTCTAGAAAAGTCTATTGATACAAGGAGACAGACCAATCAATACTTTACAGAAGCTGAACTATGGAAAATGCTATTCACTATTGCAAAATTAGGAATCTATCTTGAAGAATAAAACAAAGTTCTTGGAGATATCAGACCTTGCAACATTTAATTGTCAGATGATTTGAAGATGGCAGTAAGAATTATCTTTAATTCTTTATAGGAATTAGGCATTTTGAAACCAGATCAAACAGGTTATTAAAGACAAATAAATAACCTAGAAGTAGCATACTTAAGTCCAGAACAGTTGTATTCACTCAACAATCCTTCAATTACTGCTAAATCAGATGTCTATTCTTTGGGAGTTACCATGTTAGAATGTTCAACTCTAATGAGTGGAAAGAATCTTTATAAATCTAATAGAATTGACAACCAACTACTTTAACAATTACTGGAAACGGTCAAATAACTTGGATATTCAAACCCATGGTACAGAATGGTGAGAGAATTATTAAAAGAATAGCCCGATGAAAGACCTTCCTATTAAGATATTTATGTAAATTCAATATTAATAATTAGGATGCCCTCAAATAATTCGAAGTTTAAATCCTTAATTTGTAGCCTTTTTCCCTTATATATCAATAACCACCTATACAATAATAATCTGTATCACCATATAGGCCATAATATTAATAATATTCATAGTCCTTACCACCTCAACATCAATAACCATAAACCCAAAATTCAGTTCCAATTCAATATTAATAATAATTCCAATAATAGTAACCATAATAATAATAATAATAATAAATAACTATAATAATAATAATATGTTTAACTCATATAATTGCAATTTTTAAATA